ATTACTGACGCAGTGCCAATCTTTTGGGTAAAATAATTGTTAGAATTTACTATTTGCTAATTTTAAAATAGAATTGTTTAAAGACTAAGAAACAAGTAATTTCAAATAACGTGTGACCTCGGTTAGGAAAATATTTGGATGTAAAAATTACTACGAATGTTGCAATCAGTTCCTATAAATAATATAACACTTGTCCTTTGTGAGTGGGTTTGTTCAGGTTGTCGGTGCAGTAGTTAGGCGAGGCAAACATAGTTTAAAGTTTTCGAGAAAGTTCCAGATATTTTGTTTGAATGTAAGCCCAATTTTTTTAAAGGGAGTGGCAAGGTTGAATTGTATGTTGGCTTGTATTTTTTTTTTTTTACTTTTTTTCAGTTTCTCGAAACCTGATTTGAGGCTAGTTGACAGCTATCTGTGTATGTGTGTTTTAGTTTTTGTTTCATTTATTTCAAGCAATGAAATAGTGGCTGCATCTGTTATACTTTAGTTTATATAGTTTTTCTATAAGGGTCGGTCATATGTTATACTTTACTATAGCCCAGTGGCGTAGCTACCGTAAAGCTAGCGTAAGCAAGGCATAGGGGCCCAAGGCAAATAGGGGCCCTTTTTTGAAAGTTTGAGAGGGGGGGTGCAAATCGAAAGTCTGAGGGGGGTGCAAATCGAAAGTTTGAGGGGGGGGGGGTGCAAATCGAAAGTTTGTCCCCGGTCGCCGGGAAGGGTCGCTACGCCTCTGAGGGGCCCACTAACATTTTTTGCATAGGGGCCCAAAAATCCTAGCTATGCCGCTGCTATAGCCTGGTGTTTCTATTATTTATGTCCATATGCTTGTCCATCTGTAATACGTAACTATAGCTGGTGTTTCTAATCTGGGTATTACCCCCACTATATTGCTTACAAAGAGAACATAGAACAAAAGACAGAAGAAACGAGTCATTGAACGTCAAAATAAAGGACAGGCACCACGGATAAAATTTTTTATTTTATTTAACACATTTCTGGTTGTTTAATAAGTTCATATAATTATAGTTGTTAAACTATAGACAAAAATAATATATAGCCGTCAATAGCAGTACTGGTTGCCATGGAAACCGCGAAAAGGTGTGAAAACTAACACCTTTTCAAATCGCTAAGGCTTTGTTCCCATAAGAGATTTTAAAAAGCAGATGAAAGATTTAGGTTTCTCAAACCAAACTATACATTTCTACGTTTACTCATTGCGATAGCTTGTACTCAATTTTTAATACAAATTTTTAAGTAAATGTAAGTGCAAAAATTAGGGGGTGGTGTTACATAAATATCAATATTTCCTAAAGTATTGTAGCAAAGTTAATGTACAAACGTAGTTTTGTAGATGGTATCATTCTGAATGCACGTGGAATGTTTTATTCTTGTATGACAAAGGGTTCCAAAGCCTTAGCGATTTGAATGTTGAATTTTGAGTAAAAATGCAAAGTTGAGAAAACGTGAAAAGAAGAGCGGGAAAAGGCACGGCGCGTTTTCTCTTATAGAAAACAGAAAAAAACGTCTTGTTATATGTGGAAGAACCATTTGTCTAATAAAATACGCTTTGATTTATGTTGTAAGTTTTAGACAGAATTTTTCTATGTAAGCAGAAAATATGTATACAACAGGTAATGAATGTATGACTATTAAGTATTACACATCCTATCAATCGAGCGGTATTCTCAGAACAGCTATTTTCAAACCAGATCAAGTTTTGTTTGTTAGCCGGTCTTCTCACTTCAAAACAATGTCTTTCTCTACTCAAATTGTAGCTTACACGAGTTTATTGCCTTATGAAAATAGCCTACAACACAACACTGGGTACAACGCTTGGGGCTAGACACGCCCCCTCCACCCCACCCCATCGCTGGATAGTACGTGAAGAACCGATAAGCCATAGATTACCAATGTTCATTCAACCGCGAATAACACATCTGTGTAGATAGGGTCAAGTACAGGCCCTAAGTGAATGCTTCTCAGCTATCCTATCTAGTATTTACATTCGTTGCTACCACACCCTATACGGAGAGATGGGCATACACATTAACACATGTGTCGTATACAGTCCGGTGTAAAGCCTGATGAACGCGTTCAAGCCTATCATAGCATGCCGTAACAAGATTATAAACCGGCCGTTGGTTGAATGGCGAGAAGGGAATGAAGGGGGTAAAGGGGATGGACAGTACATTCTTCAAACTGATAGTCATGTCCATGACGCATTGTTTCAGCTTAGTATAAAGCGTACGAAACAGTGTTTAATATTGTTCCAGTGATAATCAACAGTGCATTTCTAGGCCACGTTTCAATTACTAAACTTAATGTTGATGTATAACTTTAAAACAACAAATAGAAGAGTAAACGCAAATGAGGTAAACAAACGAGACAGGCGATTGTTTTGTTTATCTAGAAACAAGATGGCTGCCTAGCACACGTGGTTAGTTGCAGCCTATCGTGAATTATTTTGATTTACTGTACTATAATATGATTGGTCAAGCGTATCAATGAATCTCTTCCCCTTCATAATTTTTACGCGCATGCCCTTATATGGAGTTTGATATAAAATTTTACTTTGTAGAAAACAACTTCTATCTCACTTATTTTTAGAACAAAAGAAAAGGTCACTACACCAGCGGGTACACGAGTGCTTGGCCCATAGATTGCTGTAAAGTTTATGGTGCCCCGCGGGCCATAAATACATGTAATACCCGCTCGAAGATAGCCGCTGTCCGCGTAGTAGTGTGAAAACTTGTCGGGGGGTACCATGTTTCACATCGCAATAAACGGATAACCGTAAGCTGTAGAAGTCCGAGATGTTCGGGTTAGAGAGATAAAAGGTATTAGTATCGAATTAAGAAATAAAAATTTTGGGGAGCAAAAATATAATTTTATCGAAAACATGGGTATCTTGTTCCCTAAAATATGTAAAGAAAAAAAAATGAACGTGGGTATGTTTACACAGATGCAATATCTATATATATAATTCTCTTCTGGGATCAGTTAGAAAACAAGCTGCAAGCGCACCTTTGCAGTCCCCTCTCTTCCTCTCTATCACTATCACTACCACCCCCACCCCACCCCCACATGATCTGGTGAGCGGTGTTCACTCTGTTTACATTTTACAATCACAGAGACGGGTTTGGTGACGGCTATTAGGGGCAGATAATTTAGTTTGCAACGATTTTAAACTTAGAGGAGGTAACTAAGAGGAGGCTGCTTTCACGTGGGGGGGGGGGGGGGGGGGGGTAGCGTTTTTAAGCAAATATTTTCAATGGCAGCATTGGTACTGTCGAATTCACAAATTATAAATTACTGAAAAGTAGAAAAAAAAACAACTAAATAGCGGCGTACGATACGCAGCGGGTCGGCTCGTATATAATAATGCACCCCTGTACTTTAGTATGTATACTAACTGTAATATTGGCAGATGCAGGGTTTTTACGTTAGTTGTCAGAATGTATAGATGAATGTGTAGGTTTTCGATTGCTTTATTCCTGAACTATTGAACGTTTCAGAACGATTATAGTTAAAATAATTGTTCAAATGGTTGAAATGGTCGGGTTACCCACCAGAGTTTCTTCCAGGCATCTCTTCGGGGGGGCGAAGCCCCCCCGAAAAATTTTTACCGCCCCCCCGAACGAAATGAAATTTATATAATTTATATAGAAAATATATACTTTTAACAGTGTCCGCCCCCCCGAAGAAAGTTTACCGCCCCCCCGAAGATTTCAAGTGCCCCCCCGGAGAAAAAAGTCTGGAAGAAACACTGTTACCCACATAATTAGATCCATTTACCTCCAGCAGCCCGGCAAGATTTTACCGGTCACGTGTCAACCCGTCACGTGTTCGCTACTCTGATAACGATTGGTTGATAATCTGATCGTTTCACCAGCACGCAACTACTGAACTCAATCACCTAGCAGAAGTGAGTGGGTGGGCTTTGGTGATCGCCGTAAAGTGAAGTTAACATACCAATGTATGTAGTTATTTTAAGCGGCGCTGTCATACAGGTCTACACTGCTTCATACAAATGGAACAGTATATCTTTGTAGTCCCACTTTAACGATAATATTTGATGTAATTAATTCATATAAGAGAAAATGGCAACAACAAGCATTTTAAAATGTATCCAATAAAAAAAGGGGTCGTCCATAAATAACGTCACACTCGTAGGAGGAGGGGGGGGGGGGGTCCGTAATTTTGTGACGGTGTGTGGCGACGGAGAGGGAGGGGAGAGGTTAAGATGGAGTGACGTCAGTTTTTTGCATTATAAAAAAGCAATGTTAGAAAACGAGTTTTAGCTGTTATTTCGCGTTTTAGAAAACGGTTTTAATAAATTGTAATAGGAATTTATTCTATGTTGATAGAGTTCTGACAAGATTTCGAAAAATATTGATTCTTTAAGAAAAATTCAACATCAATTTTTAAGGGGGGGGGGGGGGGTTGTAGGCTGAGGTGTGATGTCATTTTAGGGGGGGGGGGGGCTGACTTTTTGTGACGACGTGTGACGGAGGGGAGGGGGAGGTAAAAATCGTCAAAAAAGCGTGACGTCATTTATTGATGACTCCCTAAGTTTGTCGTTTTTTTTTAAAACCTCGTTTTAATCAAGTATATTAGAGAGGGGAGTCAGTAATCAGTGTAGTTTGATATATTTCCGTGAGTAATATTTAAATTTCGTATAGGTATCATTAGAAATTTAGATTAAATACTTAGATTAAATCATAAAGCTGTACCGATTTTTATCCATCCTGAAACGGCAAAACACGTTTTTTCAGTGAAATAATGCATTATCTGCTAATAAATACTTTAGATTCTTTTCCAACATTAAAGTTTAATTATTTCTTTACAGACTAAACAAATATTGAAATCAACCATCTACTTGTAAATCGTGTGTTCCAGAATAAACCTACACAGACATCAGTCGTCGACTTGTACATCGTGTGTCCCCCAGACTAAACCAACACAGACATCAGTCATCGACTGTCACCTGCACCATTCACACCATGGACGCCAGCAACGACAGCAAAGCCGTTGAAGGCGACTCTCAGCTGCTAATCAACGATGAAGTGGAGTCCGTCTTCAACCTCCTCAACAACGCCACCCTCCTCTTCATCATCACCTTCTGCGGCGTCGTCTTCAACGTCATCAACATCATCGTCTTCATCAAGATGGGCTTCTCCGACTCTGTGAACATGTCGCTGCTGGGCTTGTCCGTGGCTGACCTGTGGGCGTCGGCCATCCTGCTGGTGTGCAGCGTCTGCAACAACCCGGTGCACGCCCACCAGTACGGCGTCATCGGCGTCTTCTTGGGCTGGCCCCACATCACCATGGTCCGAGTCTCGTCGTGGCTCACCGTCTTTATAACATTTGAGAGGTATCTTTGCGTCGCCTTCCCTCTGAAGGTTAAAAGCATCATCACGCCGTCCAGAACCAGGTCTTTTATTATCATCGTCTTCATCATCTTCACCGTCGCGAGTATCCCACCGTTGTCCGGGATGAGGTTAGAGTGGGTGGTGCTTGATGAGGAAACCAACGAATCCGGTCTGTCGTTTTACTTCACCCCGGGGGGAAAAGAAATCGAGAACGCGTCCTTCACCTTCAGCAACGTGTCCCTGCTCTCGTCTTTCCCGTGCGTCATCGTCTTCACGTTCCTCATCGTCGTCAAGTTGGAAGAAAAATCAAAATGGCGGAAACAGACGTCATCGATGGCGCAAAAAGACACGACCAGCGCGAGGGACACAAAAGTCGTGAAGATGATAATCCTAATCTCTGGGATCTTTATCTTCTGCTACATGCCGGCTGTCACCTCCATAGCCGGGGCTTTAGCCTACGCCGAGTACAACGCCACGGGCCGGCTCAAGAACTTCTTTATCGTCTGCTGGTCGTTTGTCTTCTGTCTGGAGGCGACCAACGCCACGGTCACCATGTTCGTCTATTTAAAGATGAGCACCAAGTACAGAAGTGTGTTCTTGAGTATCTTCAGGTGCAGTCCTCAGGAATAAACAACCAGCTTCTGTCTGGTTTTTTTTTTACTCTAGCATATGCATTCATTAGCAGTTATGTCATCTAATAAAGATATATAATAATGTAATAGAATTAAGTTTTTGACTTTTTTTTCCCCTTGAAAGTCTTACGTACAATGCGCAAACATAAAAAGGATCTATTTACAAGGTGTTATTACAAGCTTTTTTTTTACAAGATTTTATTTAACTTACTTCCTCTGTCTGTCTGTTTGTCTGTCTGTCGTCAGTCTGTTGTCATGGATCGAAACGGGCGAGCGTTATTTTGGGCACTTCTAACTGACGTGGGCCTAGAATTGAAGACAATGCAATATGACGTTAAATTTGAGTTATTTGGATGCCTAATTATTTGTTTATGAATTTATTAAAAAATTCTGAAATTAGTAGGCTGTCTCACTACTACTATTCTGCACTATTATACGCGCGTTAATATGTTCATTTGGTGCGCAACATTTTTCAACAGTTCTTGATGTGTTAATGAGTGGCTGAAAAAAAAATGGGACACGTGAAGTAGAGTCAAATGTGCCACCTGGATATCCGGAATCGAGAATCTTTTTTTTTTTTTTCGCTTTTAGGGTTCTCAAAATTTTAATTTTAAAGTTACCTTCTTTTTCTTTTTTTTTTTTTTGTTGTTGAGTTTTTTAACGAAGTCAAGCTGTTTAAACTGGAAAACATATGGCCTTTCCGCCTCTTGCGCATGCGTAAATGGTACAATATTCATTATCCACTGCTACAAACCAAGAACTAATCAACTTTGGATGGACGTGACGTCATTTATTGAGCTGCCGCTACTTTCGTTTTCTTTTAGCTGACGCTGATACGGTAACAGCTTGTGCTGATTTCCGTTTCCCCCTAACTCCTGATGTTTTGGTGGTAGCGCGTCTCTTGCGTATGCGTCGCATGGGTGTGGATATGATTATTCCTTATGCGCGCGGGTGCCGGTAGCACTTTGATGTGCCTATGGATATTCCCAAAAATTAAGCTACGGTAAAAAGAAAACATAAACCGGGAGTGATCTCCCCTAAACTTTCTCGAATATTCTTATATAAAAAAAGGGGATGGGAACTCGGGATATAGACATGATTTCAATCCATTTTAAATACTTAAACTTTTTTAAAAATAGAATAAAATCTCGTGGAAAAAGAATTGACACGAAGTGAACGCCAAAAAAAGATGTGCGCAATATTATTAGTACCTTATAAATTAATTGCGTTTTTGAGAAATTGGAAATAGCGTAAATTACTACTTCCGGTCAACGGAAATTACTCAAAATTTGATAGAAGGTAGAGAATAAGATCATTTACGTACATGTGAAATTTTAATTATCTATCTGAAATAGTACTCAAGTTATAGGCTCTTGAAAAATTCAAAGTAGAAAAAGTACCACTTCCGGTTATCGGAAATCGCCCAAAAGTTTATACGGATCTACGATTTTGATAAAATACTTATATATGAAATTTCATCAACCTAGCTGTAACGTTACTCAAGTTATCGTGTTTACACACAAACACGTTGGCCTACACACAAACATACACACACACACACACACACAGCACTACGGACAAGATTGCAAAACTGTGTTTTTCCGACTCAGGGAGGTGTAATATGTCGAGATTTGCTGAAATACTTTCTCTATACTTCGTATATACGAGAAAGTAAAAATGAGCCACTGCTCTCACTGACGTCCGCGCAAATAAAAGTGGGTAGAATTTTTTATTTATTTATTATAACAAGCTTTTACAAAGTATATCATTATGCATAGAGGTGTAATACCATGCTGCCACACTCCGTTTAGTTGTCCAAAATCCGACCAAAGAACATTTGAGAAAATTTAGGGGAGATCACTGCCGCTTTATTTTTTTCTCGATCACAGATTGTAGAGAAAGTATTGTAATTGTATAAAAAAAATTGAAATCGAGATTTTCTCGAACCTCGACGTTTTAGACCTACATGGGTCCGAGAAACGTAGTTGCTGTTTTGTCTGTGTGTGTCTGTCTGTCTGTGAAAGCTATACCTTGAGTACTGTTTCAGTTTGGTTGATAGGTATTGTAGTTAATCTAAAATCCCGTATAAACCTTTTACCTATTTCCGATACCCGGAAATGGTACGTGCTCTACTTCCGGTTTCTTAAAAGCCAATAACTTGAGTACTGCTTTCATTAGTTGTAGAAATTTTCAATTTAAGGTTGTATGTTCAGGTTTCGCTCAACTTCCGGTAGTCGGAAGTGATACTTTACTCTATTTCAAGTTTCTAAAAATACCGATAACCTGAGTACTGTTTCAGTTAGGTGCACGAATTTCATATATAATTATTAGTCCCGTAAATAGGTTTCTTTTAACTTTTGCGAGATTTCTGGTAAAAAGAAGGGGTACTTCACTCTATTTACGATTTCTCAAAAGCATTCGGATTTCTAGAATTTTATATTATATTTTCATTTTCATAAATCATATTCTAAGAACATGTCTTTTTGAAAACCGCGCGGTTTTGTCACAAACTTCTATATTTCTATAGCCAGATTCTACTGGAAGTTCTCTCCTAATCCTTCCTGATATAAGAATATATGAAAAACTTAGAGGAATTCACTCTCGATTTTTTTAATTCCTTAAGTCTCTATTCAAATGTCCCAGATTTTTTTTCTTACAGTTCCATTAAAAGAATGTTATTTTAATGTAATTTTGATGCGATAGTTCTAATAAGAAATCGATATAACTGACACTGCTCAAAATGTTTTGTACTTCTTTACATACTATTAAACTTAAAACCATGACACGACCATTAAAAGAAGAATCGATGGTTATTAACCTTAAAAAGTGTAAAATATCTTTAAACAGTGACATAATGTAATAGATTAAATTGATTTAAAGAAAGATAAAATACTGATTTAATTAACTGAAACAATTATTTCACCTGAAAATTGTATGTTCTTAAAATAATTTTTTAAAATTTTGGTTAATTGTAAGGGAATTGGGTTTTAGTTTCAAGGATAATCAGATTTAATCACGTTATAATTGAAAATAATTTATTTCTGAACTTAGTGACTGATGCCAAAAGTCGACGTCATGCACATGACGAACATTTATGCAACAATTACATTGAACCTAATTTTTTGAGAACATTTTGTTGCCGTGGCATAATATGGTAATAGCTTTTCTACATTACAAGAAGCGCCATGATGAAATAATTTGACCTCAACTGCATTTCAAAATTGCATGGTGTCACTGTCAGGAACGAAATATTCGATCTCTTAAAGCACGTGCGCTTAATTTAGTGTGAGCAAATTATTTCTGTAATTAGTGATATCAATTCTGGTTGACTGGTTCAGTAGGCAACTTCGGGGTGTGTACACTCTAAAAGTGTGACACTCGACTAGAGATAAAAATAGCTCGTGTACAGGGACACGTTGGGTGAGTTGTGCGACACGGGGGTTGTGTCGGCGCGTGAATGGTGTCCTTACAGTAGTCACGTGAGTGAGCAGGGAGTGCGTGATTGGCTGAGAGTAAAATACATTTAAAGTGATAGTACGTTTTATTTGTGTCGTCTTTAACTACTGATGGTGCCATAGAAGAGGTCAATGTAGCGAATGTGTAGGAATAAGGGGTAGGGGTACAGGAAATTATTGAAGTTTTGAGCTTGGGTTTGGTTGAAGGGTCAGAAGGATGGTGACATTATGTTAAGGGATCAGTAGACTTGAGATAATTTGTTACAGGGAACAGCAGACTAGTCACAATATGATACGGGGAACAATTGACTTGTGACAATATATTACGGGGACAGTAGATTTCTTACAACTGTTACAAAGGTACAGATAATTTTTAAAAAATTACCTTGATATTCGAACGTATTTACTTCGGCATTGTATTTCTTGTATCAGAGTGTATTTAGCTATTGCTTTGTGCACTAATCTGTAGGTTTCCGCTAACCATTCCAGGCAATGTTTCTTCCAGACTTTTTTTTTCCGGCGAGGGGGGGGGGGGGGACTTGACATTTCCGGAGGTAGGGGGCGGACTAAATTTTCCTTGGGTAGGGAAGGGGGGGGCAGACACTGGTAAAAATATATGTTTTCTATATAAATTCCATTTCGTTCTGGGGGTGTTAGCCTCCCCCCAATCCCCCCCCCCCCCCCGACAGAGGTGCCTGGAAGAAACTCTGATCCCATGGGTTTATCCAGCTCTAAAGTAGACCTACACCGATAGATTGCAGATTTACTTATCTCGGCATCTCCGCATTAAAACTAAAAACCTTAGCAAACTGATGTTGGTAACTAAAGTTTATTACTAACCTAATTCCTTTCTATTTAAAGGGCCAGACAGTGATTATTGCACCAGTGGGAGAGAGTAGAAATGTTGAAGAAAATACGTCTTAAATATACATTTTATAACGTATAAAACAAAATATTTCATACTTCCTCTAAGCAATTTCATAGCCTGATAAGTTCTAAAACTTTACTGATATCCGTACTATTTTCTAAATTTTTGCTTAAAAGATTTTTATTAAAAAACACAATGGAAGAGAGTGACGTCAAGAACAGCACGGCTGTTGACACGTCACCGCTGTACATCAGCGAGGAGGTATTAGCCGTCTTCACCCTCGTCAGCAACTGCTCCATCCTCCTCGTCATCTCCTTCTTCGGCGTCGTCTTCAACATCATCAACATGGCCGTCTTCACCCAGATGGGCCTCACCGACCCTGTCAACATAACCCTGCTGGGTCTGGCGCTGTCCGACATGGGCGCGTGCCTGATGCTCATGCTGTTGGGCGTCTTCTCTCACCCCACCATCTCCCTGCAGTACGGCGTCTACGGCTACTTCATGAGCTGGCCTCACATCGGCTTCAGCCGTGTCTCTAGCTGGTTGACTGTCTACATAACATTCGAGCGATACATCTGCATCGCGTTTCCTCTCAAAGTGAAGCGTATTATCACAACCGCACGTACTGTAATGATTGTTATTTCTATTTTTTCAATCTTCGCCGCCAGTGTAACCCCGGCGCTTTTAGTTCTAAGAATCGTGGAGTACCCTATATCCGGAACAAACCTCACCTACGTATACTTGGGCTACACGCCAGACGGGCGAGAAGTGGAGAATGTCGCCGTGACCTTCAACAACATCGCCTTGTTTCTCTCCTTCCCTAGTGTCATCGTCTGCACTATCCTAATCGTCATCAAGCTCAACGCTAAAACAAAATGGCGGAGTGAATCCTCTTCGTCGTCAAAAAACGAATCGGTAACTCTCAGAGACAAAAAGGTTGTCAAAATGGTTACCTTTCTTGCCTGTAATTTTATCCTGAGTTACATCCCCGCGGTGGTTGCGACTATTGGGATGGTCAGTACCAGCGATTACAGCGCTTTGGGTAGTTTCAGCCGTTTTTTCTCGGTCAGCTGGTCGCTGATCTTCTGCATCGAGTCGACTAACTCGGCCGTCAACATCTTCGTCTACCTGAAGATGAGTTCAAGGTACAAGTCCGTGTTCCTGGCCATGTTTGGGTTCAATGTCCAAGTACCACGTGCTCAGGCTGATTGAGTTCAAGGTACAAGTCCGTGTTCCTGGCCATGTTTGGGTTCAACGTCCAAGTACCACGTGCTCAGGCTGATTGAGTTCAAGGTACAAGTCCGTGTTCCTGGCCATGTTTGGGTTCAATGTCCAAGTACCACGTGCTCAGGCTGATTGAGTTCAAGGTACAAGTCCGTGTTCCTGGCCATGTTTGGGTTCAACGTCCAAGTACCACGTGCTCAGGCTGATTGAGTTCAAGGTACAAGTCCGTGTTCCTGGCCATGTTTGGGTTCAACGTCCAAGTACCACGTGCTCAGGCTGATTGAGTTCAAGGTACAAGTCCGTGTTCCTGGCCATGTTTGGGTTCAACGTCCAAGTACCACGTGCTCAGGCTGATTAGCTTAAAGCTTGAAGAACTCAAAATCAAACTCAATAAAAAAATGTCATTTACTTATATAGCTAATATTTATGCTTGATTTGTGTATGGCTATGTTATTATTCATACTATTCTTAAAATACTCGAAATCTCCACTGTTATATTTTATCTAAATTGTATTTGTAGCTATAAAAACGAGTTAATTTAATAGGGAAATGAAAACTTTTCTTTCGTCGAATAGTTATTTAACCTTACATAGGGATTTCTAGTGTGCTGTTTGTGTATGTACAAGATCTAGTTACTCTGTAGAAGATACGTGTGTCAGTAATTTATTAACTGTATAGGATGTAAACTATTCGCATAAATAACAATCTTGGGGCTCAATGATCTATATTTTCACTAAAAAACTTGGTTACTAACGATACTCTAGTAACACGCTATGTTTGTGGTTTTCCTGGGCAGATGAGGCTGGTTAACGGTAAACATCAACTCACCTAGGACAGAAAACTCCGAAATTTAACAACTGCTGCCTTTCAGATGCCCTATGTTTTACTAAAGGCATAATTGTACATCCAGAAATAAAGGCAGACATACATCGGCGTCAACTAACCATATGGAACATCACATGTTGTCACATAGTACTCATCCAAATATCTTGGAGGACTGGCGAGTACGTTTTAACACCTCCAATTAAAAACAGATAGAGGGCTGGTTTTTAATTAATGATTTTTAAAAATGGGTCTACTATTTTCATAAAAACACATTTTTATGAAAATTGATTTTTTATTTATTAAATTTTGTATTGAACTAAAAATGAAAAACTCTAGTTATGAACTTCATGTATTGAGATGTTGTGATCTTTTTTACAGGGACTGTACTTAAATATTTAATTACTTTAATTAATGCGAGATACTGCAATTAACTTTGTGTGGTTTCTTTTCAAGTATCGAATATTTTAACCATTTACAAAAACATCTAATTGGAGTAACAAGGGAGAAAATTAAAGCACAGAGCTGGCATTGTTATAATTAGAAATCTATTATCACAGGGGAAGATAATTTCATGCGAATTTTTTTTTCTCCCCTTCATTTCAATCCCATTATTACCAGCTACAGACTTTCAAATTAAGTTAATTAAAAGTTTAGAATATTATTTAAAATAAGTAAAACAAGCTATCTTTATCCATTTAAATAAATATCTTGCCGTTTCAGTTTTTAAATCTACAAATTATTAAAGCAAAACTGAAAAGAAGTTAAAGTAAATAACAATGTCTATATATTTAGTAAAGCACATGAATGCAGTGTTAGCTCCAATAAATACATTTATTAAACACGTTAATATATTGTCATTTAACCAGTAGAGTTGGTAGATTTAGGAGAAATATCTTGATTGTGTTGATAACATTAACTTTCTTTTACACACACATCAACAGCTGTGGAAATAAATTAAGAGGAGAATCTGTTGCTCTGATACTGGTAACTAATAACATCGTGTGGCTAGTGAATGTCATAACAGCATGTGATATCATCGTGTGGCGAGAGGTCAAAACATATTACAACATTGTGTGGCATGTGGTTGTTATAAAAACGTATTACATCATCGTGTAGCTAGTGGTCACATTTTATAGTCTTATCACAAAAAACCAAAATGACAAATATTCGTTTTATTTGACCGGTTACTTTAAGAAATCCTTCGGATAAAGCTGCAACTCTGGCTACTTAGTTATAAACACACCCTCTTTTTAAGTCAGATAAGGATCTTGGACATCTTTATTAGTCAGATACGGATCTTGAACATCTTTATTAGTCAGATAAGGATCTTGGACATCTTTGTTAGCCAGATAAGGATCTTGGACATCTTTGTTAGCCAGATAAGGATCTTGGACATCTTTGTTAGCCAGATAAGGATCTTGGATAACTTTGTTAGCCAGATAAGGATCTTGGATAACTTTGTTAGCCAGATAAGGATCTTGGACATCTTTATTAGTCAGATAAGGATCTTGGACATCTTTGTTAGTTAGATAAGGATCTTGAACATCTTTGTTAGTTAGATAAGGATCTTGAACATCTTTGTTAGTTAGATAAGGATCTTGAACATCTTTGTTAGTTAGATAAGGATCTTGAACATCTTTGTTAGCCAGATAACGATCTTGGACATCTGTGTTAGTTAGATAAGGATCTTGAACATCTTTGTTAGTTAGATAAGGATCTTGAACATCTTTGTTAGTTAGATAAGGATCTTGAACATCTTTGTTAGCCAGATAAGGATCTTGAGCATCTTTGTTAGTCAGATAAGGATCTTGAACATCTTTGTTAGTTAGATAAGGATCTTGAACATCTTTGTTAGTTAGATAAGGATCTTGAACATCTTTGTTAGTCAGATAAGGATCTTGAACATCTTTGTTAGTTAGATAAGGATCTTGGATATCTTTGTTAGTCAGATAAGGATCTTGAACATCTTTGTTAGCCAGATAAGGATCTTGAACATCTTTGTTAGTCAGATAAGGATCTTGAACATCTTTGTTAGTTAGATAAGGATCTTGAACATCTTTGTTAGTTAGATAAGGATCTTGAACATCTTTGTTAGTTAGATAAGGATCTTGAACATCTTTGTTAGTTAGATAAGGATCTTGAACATCTTCGTTAGTTAGATAAGGATCTTGAACATCTTTGTTAGTTAGATAAGGATCTTGAACATCTTTGTTAGTTAGATAAGGATCTTGAACATCTTTGTTAGCCAGATAACGATCTTGGACATCTGTGTTAGTCAGATAAGGATCTTGAACATCTTTGTTAGTTAGATAAGGATCTTGAACATCTTTGTTAGTTAGATAAGGATCTTGAACATCTTTGTTAGTTAGATAAGGATCTTGAACATCTTTGTTAGCCAGATAACGATCTTGGACATCTGTGTTAGTTAGATAAGGATCTTGAACATCTTTGTTAGTTAGATAAGGATCTTGAACATCTTTGTTAGTTAGAAAAGGATCTTGAACATCTTTGTTAGTTAGAAAAGGATCTTGAACATCTTTGTTAGCCAGATAAGGATCTTGAGCATCTTTGTTAGTCAGATAAGGATCTTGAACATCTTTGTTAGTTAGATAAGGATCTTGAACATCTTTGTTAGTTAGATAAGGATCTTGAACATCTTTGTTAGTCAGATAAGGATCTTGAACATCTTTGTTAGTTAGATAAGGATCTTGGATATCTTTGTTAGTCAGATAAGGATCTTGAACATCTTTGTTAGCCAGATAAGGATCTTGAACATCTTTGTTAGTCAGATAAGGATCTTGAACATCTTTGTTAGTTAGATAAGGATCTTGAACATCTTTGTTAGTTAGATAAGGATCTTGAACATCTTTGTTAGTTAGATAAGGATCTTGAACATCTTTGTTAGTTAGATAAGGATCTTGAACATCTTTGTTAGTTAGATAAGGATCTTGAACATCTTTGTTAGTTAGATAAGGATCTTGAACATCTTTGTTAGTTAGATAAGGATCTTGAACATCTTTGTTAGTCAGATAAGGATCTTGAACATCTTTGTTAGTCAGATAAGGATCTTGAACATCTTTGTTAGTTAGATAAGGATCTTGGATATCTTTGTTAGTCAGATAAGGATCTTGAACATCTTTGTTAGCCAGATAAGGATCTTGAACATCTTTGTTAGTCAGATAAGGATCTTGGACATCTGTGTTAGATAAGGATCTTGAACATCTTTATTAGTCAGATAAGGATCTTGGATAACTTTGTTAGCCAGATAAGGATCTTGGACATATTTGCTTGTCACATAGAACTAGTGACCTCTGCTGGTCAAGAGCTTACCACAGACAACATAAACCGAGGTCAAATGTAAGACACAAATATAATACAGTTAATATTTGCTACACGCATTGATTTAATTTCTTAATTTGCAATACGAGTACTAATTGTAATACAATACACGTTAGGTATCCTACACTACGTAGCCCAAAACTTCAAAATGAATGGATTGAGTATTTAAGATACATCTATTTGTTATAGAGTGAATTAACATCAACAATATTTCCATTTGTCGTTTTACTAACGTTTCTACTTCTTCAATGCCAGTTCTAAATTTAAAGTATCAGACAGATGATTGATGCATCTAACAACAGGAGCAAATAGCCTTTAAAAGAAATTTTGTTGATGTATCATCGTAATGACAATTATCATTTCAATTACTGAAAGATTAAGCAATCTTAGCGTAGTCATGGAGACGAATTTAACGAATTATTCAGCAGATACGAATGAACTAATAAGCAGCGAGTTTGTGAAAATATTTAACGTTGTGAGCAATGCTGTTCTGTTGTTTGTTATCAGTCTGTGTGGCTGTGTTTTCAACGTCACCAACATGGCGGTGTTTGTAAAGATGGGGCTCAAGGACCCCGTCAACATCACCCTCCTCGCCCTATCCGTCTCAGACCTGGGCGCCTCGGCCACCTTGTTCCTCTTCAGCTTGTGCAAGAACCCGGCTCTGGCCCAGGAGGTGGGCGTGTTCAGCTACCCCGTGAGCTGGCCGCAGCTGGGGTTCATCAGGACGTCCAGCTGGCTAGTCGTCCACACCACCATTGAGCGGTACCTGTGTGTGGCATTTCCGCTCAAGTTCAGACACCTCGTCACGTCCAGGAGGACCCTGGGACTGGTCGTGTTGGTGTTTGCCGTGTTCCTAGCCAGCATCGTGCCGCCATTTCTGGCATCGGAAATCTCGTTTAGGTTTGATCAGAATAGAAATCAGAACACCCTTGTTCTGGTATTTTTTGAAGATAAACAATACCTAGAAGAGTTTTCGGCCATCTTTAACAGCTACGCCCTGCTTGCTTCATTCCCGATTGTCATCTTCTTTACGTGTCTTCTGGTTGGGAAGCTAACCAGCCAATCAAAATGGAGGAACGAAATGTCGACTGCGGGTAAGAATGAGAAGATAACTCTGCGCGACAGAAAAGTTGTCAAGATGATTCTTCTTATCTCGTGTACATTTATTTTGTGTTTTCTACCGGAAGTAGTAGCCACCCTGGCAATGCAGTACGTGCCAGATTTCAGACCAGGGGGGAAGTTATCTAACCTCTATTACGTCAGCTGGTCGGTTATCTTTAACTGCAATGCCGTCAACTCGACAGCCCCTATATTCGTGTACTTATCAATTAGCTCAAAGTTTAGGTTCATCTTCACGGGTTTTTGTGGAAAACGTGGTCAAGTTAAATTCCCGGACCAACAGAGCCAAATTGATTGAGCTGCCAAATCTTATTGAGATTTAACTGAGCCACGTACAGGGGTTTTAGCAGCGCTACATTTATTGAGCTTTATCTGAAATGGGTAGATTGAGAAGCACTACATTCATTGAGCTTTATCTGAAATCGGTAGATTGAGAAGCACTACATTTATTGAGCTTTATCTGAAATGGGTAGATTGAGAAGCACTACATTTATTGAGCTTTATCTGAAATGGGTAGATTGAGAAGCACTACATTTATTGAGCTTTATCTGAAATGGGTAGATTGAGAAGCACTACATTTATTGAGCTTTATCTGAAATGGGTAGATTGAGAAGCATTACATTTATTGAGCTTTAACTGAAATGGGTACACTGAAATTCAACTGAACAAAATGTAATAATTTTGCATTGAAACGAGTACATTGAAATTGAATGGCAATAAATTTATTAAAATTTATTAAAAATTAAAACTTAAGTGAACCAAATTTAAAATTGAATTCAAGCATTTTTCATGACAATGTAAGACTGCATTTTACCCAGATATTATAAACAACTTCACTAACAATTTTTAAAAAGGCAATAATAAGCTATACAGTCCATTGTATTGTACTTACATTGTAATAACGCTCAAATAGTATTTGCCACTCTGTAGAAAAGTGTGTGGTGGTCTGAGCGGAAAACAAAACCAACAAAACAGTTCGTTTCTCTGGGTTTATCGTGCTTGGAATTTTTGTTTGATAAACACATGAAGTTGTCCATGTTTTTGGTCACAGTTAGTCACAGATCTTTATTCACAACCTTTGTCAGTCTCAACACAGCCATTCATCTTTTACACGGGATGCCGAGTTTCTACTATATTTTGGTTTTAAGATCAGTCTAGCGACGAAAGATAATCACTTGGGGAGTGCCCCATAGAACACCACTTTGCTTCACTCTGCTACAGTGTTTCTTCCAGACTTTTTTCTCCGGGGGGGGAGGGGCACTTGAAATTTTCGGGGGGGGGGGGCGGTAGACTTTCTTCGGGGGGGGGGGGGGGCGGACACTGTTAAAAGTATATATTTTCTTAATAAATTATATACATTTTATTTCGTTCGGGGGGGGGGGATTTTTTTCGGGGGGGGGGGGGGGGGGGGGGGGCTAAGCCCCCCCCCCCCCCCCCCCCCCCCCCCCCCCGAAGAGATGCCTGGAAGAAACTCTGCTCTGCTATGCCAATACTACCAGCAGACCATCTGATCTAGAACATAGTTCTAAGGTATCGTGAGTACGAATATTCTTAGGGGGATTGTGTTAAAATTACCGTGCAGATGTTTAGGGGAGGGGTTAAAAGTAAACTAAATAAATGTAAAGAAAAAATGTCACCCAACCTCAAGAACGTCGAAATTAGTCCAGTTGGTCGGTATGTCCACGTCTACTTAATAAACATGCTTAATTAAATAAACTCCCGGTAAATTTAGTAAAAAAAAATTTGGAAAAATTTCTGAGTTTACAAAAAAAAAGTAAAACTACCTCCAACAGATGAATCCTCTAAGTTCAGGGGGAAAAAAATAATTTTAGTTGATTTTACAATTAGAATTCCATCATTTGAAGCGGTTAATCATTTCTACACTTGTTATTGCGATTACCATTAAAGATATGTGTGAACAGTGCAGTGTCTCAGCTCAGATATTGCTATTATGTACAGTTAGACTACAGTTAGTCAAAAAACCTGTAAACTGCAGAAAGAGCATCTGCCTCTTTAATTTGTTTTTCTTCCTTTTTTTTTTTTTTTTTTTTTTTTTTTTTTTTGTTTTTTTTTTTGCCTCAAACATGTAATTTACAGGGTGGCCGGAAAGAACCGCAACGGAAAAAAGCGCAACGGAAAAAAGCGCAAAACAAAAAGCGCAACGGAAAAAAGCGCACACGGAAAAAAGCGCAAAGAGAAAAAAGCGCACACAGAAAAAAGCGCTACGAGAAAAAAGCGCAAACAGAAAAAAGCGCAAAGAGAAAAAAGCGCACACAGAAAAAAGCGCAAAGAGAAAAAAGCGCAAACGGAAAAAAGCGCAAAGAGAAAAAAGCGCACACGGAAAAAAAGCGCAAAGAGAAAAAAGCGCACACAGAAAAAAGCGCAAACGGAAAAAAGCGCAAAGAGAAAAAAACGCACACAGAAAAAAAGCGCAAACAGAAAAAAGCGCAAAGAGAAAAAAGCGCAAAGAGAAAAAAGCGCAAACGGAAAAAAGCGCAAAGAGAAAAAAGCGCACACGGAAAAAAGCGCAAACGGAAAAAAGCGCAAACGGTAAAAAGCGCAAACGTAAAAAAAGCGCACACAGAAAAAAGCGCAAACGGAAAAAAGCGCAAACAGAAAAAAAGCGCAAACAGAAAAATTCGCAACCAGAAAAAACACAACGAAAAATGTGCAAAAGAGAAATTTAGCACAAAGACCATATGGACTAGATGACACATTTATACATGACTGTTAGGGCTGCTGTGAGAGTGTCGTGTTGGATCATCCTACATCAAAACTATATATATATATATATATATATATATATATATATATATATATATATATATATATATATATATATATATATATATATATATATATATAGTTCGGACTAGGGAAAATGTGAAAGATACTTCGTGTAATGTCGATAGTTTTATGTTTATTTATACGAGAATAGTAGTTGAATAATTATTGACCAAGAAAATAATAGGCTTTGTGTAAAGCGATTATCGCCTGTATCATGGTGATAGAAATGCACTTGGTAGTGGTACGCTTTAAATGGTAGTAGATCACGTGATCAAACACGACACTCTCACAGCAGCCCTAACAGTCATGTATTAATGTGTCATCTAGTCCATATGGTCTTTGTGCTAAATTTCTCTTTTGCACATTTTTCGTTGTGTTTTTTCTGGTTGCGAATTTTTCTGTTTGCGCTTTTTTTCTGTTTGCGCTTTTTTCCGTTTGCGCTTTTTTCTGTGTGCGCTTTTTTCCGTTTGCGCTTTTTTCCGTTTGCGCTTTTTTCCGTGTGCGCTTTTTTTTCTTTCCCTTTTTATCCGTTTGCGCTTTTTTCTGTTTGCGCTTTTTTCCGTTTGCGCTTTTTTCTGTTTGCGCTTTTTTCCGTGTGCGCTTTTTTCTCTTTGCGCTTTTTTCCGTTTGCGCTTTTTTCTCTTTGCGCTTTTTTCTTTGTGCGCTTTTTTCTCTTTGCGCTTTTTTCTCTTTGCGCTTTTTTCTCTTTGCGCTTTTTTCCGTGTGCGCTTTTTTCCGTTGCGCTTTTTGTTTTGCGCTTTTTTCCGTTGCGCTTTTTTCCGTTGCGGTTCTTTCTGGGAACCAATTTACAGCGTCAGTTATGTGTTCGCTTTAGTATTACAGTTTTCATCATCGGCTTGTGAGGACTGATACAGATTTACAATAGTAATATGTCTTTCTTACTCGTAGCCTACTTTCATTCATTTAAGATGGTTTACTTATAGTTTATACATAGATTTTTATTATTCTTCTGAAAAACCATAGCACACTTACAGATTCTTGTTGAATTAATTAAATTGAAGTAACATTCAATATGATTTAATATGGGAGTTAAATTACGCGCGTTTTTTATAATTATGCTTATTATAATAATATATTTAACTTTGTTAGCTGACAAAATATTTTGTTAAAACTATTAATAATAAGTTACTATCTATATTAAAAGAACAAATTATTTCCCCTACTGTTGTTTCAATTTATCCAATTACTTATTACTTTGATAATTACTAAATTCTAAATTGAATAAATGGATTATTTCCCCTATAATATTTAACTGAATTTCTTTAAATTTTAATACTATATTTATTATTTCAATTAAAATAATCTTTGCCTCCTTTATTGTTATTTTTTCTTGAGTTGTGTGTTTATTTTGTGTTGTATTTCGTTTTGTGTGATTAGTTGGTCTGAGTTGTGTATTGTTTGTGCTTTGTTCTTTTATTTTCTTTAAAGTAATTTTTTTTTACATTTTTTACACCGTAGTAAAGCAATGACATATCTTCTGTACACACATACACACACACACATATATATATATGTAATCGGTATTTTAACAACCAAAGTACAACTTACCGATATCGGATGTCACTTACAAATTGAAAGTAATCGCAGAAAAATATCTTTTACATATATATGAAATTTCATCCACCTATCTGAAATAGTTCTCAAGTTATCGTGTTCACATGGGTATAAATTATCACTTCTGTTTACACGAAATAGTTCAAAAGTTGATAGAAACCTGCGAATAAAATGCAATGCGTGTAATGTATGTAAAACGCTTTCGGCTTTTGAATAAGTACCACTTCCGATTACCGGAAATTGCACACAATTTGAATTAGAACTACAAATTGAATATAATACTTAAATATGAAATTACATTTCATAACTGAAACGGTACTCAAATTATCGTGTTCACAGATACATACACAGACTGACATACAGACAAGATTGCAAAACTAAGTTTTTTTCCGACTCAGTGCAGTGGAAAGTCAATATTTTGCAAGATTACGATATTTTCTCTATACTCCGTGTGCGGAAAAAAAAACGAAACGAAAGATTACTTACAGTGAATTCCTCGATCAAAATCTATCCGTAGAGAGGAACTATTTTTTTTAAGTGAGTAGAGCTCAGGTCTTACGTCTAACTCTATTAAAGTAAAAGCTAACAGCACAATAAAAAATTCAAATATTACTGCAATAATTGCGTGTAGTCTGAAGCAGGGAACAGGGCGTATACAAGCTGTGAAAATTATACAAAGCTGCAGTGATGCGGCAAGCATATAACAAAACAATAGGGCTGAGACTAGCAAGATCTTGTCGGAATTTAATATTTACAGCCTGTGTGTGTTCAGTAACACATTGGTGATCGCGCACGTTTTACACATCACACAGGAAGAACGTTTTGACACACCAGCACATACAAGTCCTCTAATATTACATGATACACATATAAACCACCCACCCCTCAACCCTCCTAAGGCTTTAGTAGTAAATTTGAGGTCACAAGGGGCAGTAGCTCAGATTGTCACAACCGTTGCACACAGCGAAAAGTACACTCACACACACACACAGAGAGAGAGAGAGAGAGAGAGAGAGAGAGAGAGAGAGAGAGAGAGAGAGAGAGAGAGAGAGAGAGAGAGACATATGTATAAAACATCCTTATGATAAAATTATTCCTACTTGTGACACTACAGCCCACTCCCAAACAAACACGTAGGCTACACAAAGAGTTGCGATGAACTACATAACTGCTTTGAAACATTTTTATTTTAATTTTAAAAAAAAAAACAGCTCTTATAACAGTTAGTGTTCCTGCTAACAATTGTTTTTAAATAATTAGCCCAAGCAATGAGTTTTCTCAAGTCTTTGGGAATTGAAATATTAAATAGTTGTAAACATTCCTGGGAGATATTGTCTTATGAAAAGAACACACGTGTTAATTATTATTAATTAACACCACTCTCAACCACCACGTTATCCTATATCTAAACAAATAACAGTAACCCAACCCCCTTTGTGTTATAAAATGTCTAGAGACCCTTGGTGTATTACTGGACTAAAAACATAAAAGTTGCTTTAATCCTCAAACAGATCAACTTCTTTTAATGTTCTAAATACAAAACAAAATGGCCGACTCAATCATTAGTAACTTTAACCCTTCTACGCCCACCAACTCTGCTTTGAAAAGGTTCTACAACTCTTCATCTTATAATCGATTTAATCCAATATCAGAGTAGAGAAATGTTTTAATTATAATTCGAATCTATTAATTATAATACACATTTATCCGACACTAGCAATTATATTTTAGTAATTTTAAATACATGATGTTTAGAGGATCGAGGTTTATAATTATGAAATATTACTGTTCATCTGGGAAAACAAGGACTGTGGAAACTAGAGAGCTACTTACATGATCAATATGTGGTCCTTATAATTATGTTGCTCTGACTTGTTAGGATATCTTGAAACATTTTTTAGTACAATGCGCAAAGATACCTTTGTTTCAATGAGATGTTTAAAAAAAAAAGAAATTGTGCCTATGAAACGTAAAATTCGACTATTACTTGGTCTAGAAACGAATAACTAAAAGAGAAAGTTCTAATTTTCTCTAAAAGCTGAAAAGCGTTAACTTTGCAATTTTTATAAGTTAAAACAAATCCATAATTACTTTGACGAAATTGTAGCGTCTATGTAGGCCTATAAATGGAAATGATTTAAACGTTCTATCTCTAGTATCTGTATGCCGTGAATAAGTAATTGTTTTTCTCTACTTGATACAACTTCAGTCCATCAGCACCAACCAACACGTCAAAATATTAACACAATAATATAAGGCAAATTTTGGGGCATCAAACAAATCAACCGCTGACTAGATGTCAACTTATTGCCAAGCAAGTGTCATGAGTCTATCTAGCAGATGTCAGATCTATATCTAGTAGATGTCAACAGATGTCAAGTGCATGTCCAGTAGTTGGTCAGTAGGGGTGTGGCTGTAGTACTACCATGAATAGCCCTTGGTTCAACAACTTAACCAAGGACACACCACTAGACGGCAATTGGTTCAACAACTTAACCAACGACACGCCACTAAACGGCACTTGGTTCAACAACTTAACCAACGACACGCCACTAAACGGCACTTGGTTCAACAACTTAACCAACGACACGCCACTAAACGGCACTTGGTTCAACAACTTAACCAACGACACGCCACTAAACGGCACTTGGTTCAACAACTTAACCAACGACACGCCACTAAACGGCACTTGGTTCAACAACTTAACCAACGACACGCCACTAAACGGCACTTGGTTCAACAACTTAACCAACGACACACCACTAGACGGCTACATCAGCTCGGATATTGTGGAGCTAATCAATCTTGTCAATAACGCCATCTTTCTCTTAGTCGTCAGCTTCTTGGGGGTTCTCTTCAACCTGACCAACATCGTGACCTTCGTCAAAATGGGGCTGCACGACCCCGTCAACATCACACTCCTCGGCCTGTCCGCCTCGGACCTAGGCGCCTCCTGCATGTTGCTGACCATCAGCGTGTTTAGGAACCCCGCCCTCGTCTCTGACCTTGGCATTCTGGGATACCCAATCAGCTGGCTACACTTGGCGTTTATCCGGACTTCAAGTTGGTTGACCGTTCACACGACAGTTGAAAGATATCTATGCATCGCTTTCCCGCTCAAAGTCAAACAGATGGTTACGTCACAGCGATCCTTAACAATCGTCTGTTTGATTTTTGTTATTTTCATAGCAAGTGTTGTGCCGCCATTTTTCTCTTTCACGATATCGCAGATTTTCCTTGGGGAAAAAGGCGAGAGCGTGTATCAGCTTGAGTATGTTGAAAGCAAGCGTTACCTAGAAGACGCGTCAGTCACGTTCAACAGCTACGCGTTGTTAGCTTGTTTCCCGACTGTAGTTGTACTCACGTCGCTACTAGTAGGGAAGTTAGCGAGTAAAGCAAAATGGCGGAACGTCACCGTTTCTGCAGGGAACAACGAAAAAATAAACACGAGGGATAAGAAAGTTGTAAAGATGATCATCTTTATTGCCTGCACATTTCTAATCTGTTTCCTACCGGAAGTCTTGATAACTATTTTAATGCAATTTACACCAGAGTTCAACCCTCTTGGCCAGTTTGCCGAGCTCTACTACATTACGTGGTCTTTTATCTTTTGTTTCGAATCAACGAATTCAACTGTTCCGATTTTTATTTATATAAAGATGAGTTCAAAGTATCGTCGAGTTTTCTTTGCTACATTTGGAAGAAACAAAGCTACAGAAACAAAAGTTGACAGACTTAAGAGTGCCTACGTCGCGTTGAATTGAAAACTACATTGTTCCCGTGCTTGAAGTAATTGAATTGGGATATTTAAACTTAACAAAATAATAATCAAAGGGAAGCAACGCCATCACGTAGACGTGAACCTTTTGAGTTTAATTCGACATGCTGGAAAGAGTTACCGGGTTTGAGACTTCAGAATTTAAATACAGATGTTCTTAAATTTGAAATAAACATAAAGAAAGTTAAAAATGCTGCATTCTGCAACAGTATCGCCGTGAATTTTTACAGACAACATTTTCCAAGTTTAGCAGTACTGTAAGAGTTAATGTGTAGCAAGGCATGAATTTCTGTGTATGCCCTGCTCTTAGATACAGCAGCAAAGTTTCTTCAAGGCATCTCTTCGGGGGGTGGGGGTAAAGCGCCCCGCCCCCGGAACGAAATGGAATTTATATAGATAATATAGAACTTTTAACAGTGTCTACCCCCCCCCCCCCCCACCGGAGAAAAAAGTCTGGAAGAAACTCTGTACAACAGCAGAAGTGGGACATTTCAATTAGTGTTGCCTTTGTAAAATTCATAGCGGCACTAAGTTAACTCGCAGTAGCTAAACTTGCAATTCTCACTGTTTCTTCCTACAAACCACTGAGAGATGGAAATCTAGATATATATCAAACAGTTATATATTTTCTGACTACACTCTCACTCATTTAGTAGCCTACAGTGTTTTGTCTGATTTAAATCTATAAAATCATAACATTGATTGAATCAAATTATTATAATAGTGTAGACCCTATATAATTCTTCGTTACTGGGAAAATGGGTTAAGGTATCCAAGGTGGCTTGGCATTGTGCTGATCACGCAATTCTTACATATTCCTGGGTCGTTGAATAGCTGAACAGATCGGCCTAATGTATCTCAGGCATGAAAGGGAAAAGATGGTGATGTTGATGAACCCAAAATGCTGAGGTTAAAGGTAGAACAAGGAATTCAACCACACTGTTCTAAAAAGTTATTTAATAAAATGACAAACCAGATCAAAAGACCAAGAATTTAAATAAGACTTTTATACTAAAAAGAAATTGTATTATTACAAAGTCAGTCTCTAAGAATAAGTAAAGGCTTCAATTGTCTTAATTCACATAATTTATTTTATTTTTTATAAAATAATATAAACACATAACATTACATGTAACTTTAATTAGGGAATATAAACTCGTTTTACAATTTATTTATTTTTTAAATAAGGTATGCATTCTTGTAAGTTATCTTTTTATTACTAGTTAAGGACGGAAATACAATTTTTAAGAATTTTTTCTACTAGTATAAAGGTAAGATGCACAGTAAAATAAAAGATGAAATTATGAAACAAATAAACGAAGAGCAGATTGCACATTTTGGAAAGATATTAGTAACATTTCTTTAGATATATGAATAATAAAAATTGCAATCCATTAAAAAAACCATCTATTTGAGTATTTATACAGCAACACTTTTTTCTTATTCTTTTAATTAATCTTTCTGTTGTACTTTTTGTGGGGGAAATAAAAACAAACATAAACACTAGTTTTTAAAAATACACTAATCTATCTGGTTATAAAGGATATAGATTTTTAAATATATCAGCTTTATTTAACAGTAGGCGGTCAGTTTATACATCAAACATTCTGTCTACAAATAAGGATGGTCAAAAACATCTTTACATTAGTAACTGTTAAAACTGACTGAATGCACAAACAATATAGGCCTACCTTTTAAGAATAAGACACTTTAAATTCAAATCTATTGTTCTTTTCAACAAAATAAATAAATAAAAACTTGGATTCAGAAAAACAAGTAACAATTTTATAGAGATAATAATGATGAATTTTCAAGTAATGAGATGAAATTAACCCTTTACTGTCCAATATGTGTGCTAATGTGCCACAGATTTTATGTGATGCTGTTATATGTGCCAGAACTATGTACGCCCTTACGTAATGTAATGAAAGTCTCATCCTAAAGAGATTCTAAGATACTTGAAGCACACATAAACAGAAAGTTTTATCAACTTGTTTTTCTCTTCAAAAAGTTTATAAATTTTTTTAGAAATAATCAGTAAACCTGGAACACAAAACTTTATTTACTGAAGTTACCTCATTATAACATTTAATCTCTAAAGATTGTGGGTTTTTCTTAGTTGGATATTATTTGTATTCATTATTTGTAAATAATAAATTTAAATATAATGAACTAAGACTGTATGATGATTTTAAAAGAAGTATTGTGACTGAAATATGTAACATTATTTGGCTTGGTAAGACTGGAACTTCTACTGGAGGAAAAATATTTTTATGCCCTGACAGTAAAGGGTTAAGCATAGAGTTCTCTACATTTTATATATTCAACAAGTTGGAAGACTTAAAAATTTACAGTAATTAAAACAACAAAATAATTGAAATAAAAGGAAAGACTGAAATTTAAATGGATTAAATTATTAACAATAATTTGAATTTACATTTTCATCAAAAAACATTATCCCTTTACCATAAACCTTATGTTATCCCAATTTCTTTTTAAAATCTTTTCCTTGGCAAATAATAAATAAAATTATTAATGTAACAATTACGTTATTTTATCATTAGAAAGAAGATAAATAAAATTATGTTTTCTTAGATCATTGATAGGATTTATTTTAAACCAGTGTTATAAAATGAATTGTATAAAATAGCATCCATCTGAATAATTCCATAAAATAACACTCACTCTCCACTTGCCTGATGTGCATCTTGAAATATTTAAACATGAAGTTATATATAAGGCACTTGTGTTGCAAACTGATATCTTGGTCCTTAGTGTTGTAAGAATGTTAATTAAAGGCTGATTAGAATTTAGAAAATCACAGTCAATTGGTTTAGTTAAACAACATTATGATTCTCCCTCATCAGTTTGTTTCTCTTCATTATGTGGAACATCTATTTCTGCTTTCTCTACTTCATGAGATACTGAACTAGCAGGACTTGTTTTAATATCTTCATGATGTGAATTCGTTTCTCCCAAATTTTCAGCCATTTTAATGCTGTCGTGTGTATCTGGCAAGTCATCAGAGAGTGATTCTGTTCTAATCCCCAGGTTTTCTAGATAATCTGTAGCTTGTAAATGTTTGGCTATTGAATCTCCATCATACTCCTCGTCAACATCCTCCCCCTCCACAATGGTAATCTCTTCTAAAAGAGTTGCATTGATGTACTGTACATCATCAATAAACTCTGCATCCTGTTTAATAGAGAAATCTGTCGTGTAATCGTCCTCAATGTAAGGGTTTTCACCGGACAGCTCCAACTGACCTGTGGAGAAAAATTAAAAATTTGAACCTCCGTTTTGGCATGTTTTCTGAAAGTATTTTACAATACTTTTGTTTTTCAGGTAAGAAAAACAAGAAATGATAATACATTAATACATGTAACAAAAATTCTATTATGGCAATACTGGAATACTATTAATATTAATAAATGATATTGGAGAACTTGGTTCCAGTTTGTGCTGATTTTGGTAAAAGAAAAACATGGATCTTCATGATTGTCAGTACTTACCTGGAGCATCATCCACTTCACCAGAGGGTCCTAGAAAAGAATCTAATTCCACTTTATCATCCTCTATAACAATTTCACTCAGGCTAGAAACTTTTGGAAACTCTGAGTGGACACCTGAAATAAAACACAAGTATTTGTAACCCAAGATCAAATGTTAACTACAAAATTATAAGCACAAATAAATATATAGCTTTATGTTTTTAAAGTTACTATTAAATAAATGACCATGTACTGAAAGAAATTGCTTACGATCTGGATGACCATGCGCACGATAGTATTCCAAGTCTTCCTGAAATGCAGTTTTAAATGCTTCAGCACGCTCCTGCAAATTTATTTTTTTCTCAGCCTCTAATTTGGCCATCTTCTTGGCATGAATTCGGGCCATTTCAACTAGAATCAGAAACATAAAATTCATTAAAAAATTCTGCAATAATGTCATACAAAAAGAGAAATGAATTTGGTCTTGTATGTAACTAAATTAAAGACCTTTAACTTTTTCTGCCTCTGCTTCTTTTTGTAGCTTGTAGACTGCTAACTTTTTATGCTCGTTCATTAGTTTACTCCTGAAATCTTGTTCCTCACACAGATTCTCCAGCAGATCCAGCCCTTTCTCTGCCACTACAAAGTCTTGACGTAACGTCTCTGAAAAACACCACAAAACTCTGTGTATTTGTTATTGGAGAAATCTGTTACAAATATTAGCATGTGTCATTGTTTATCACTTTCCCAATCATGATATTTTATCAAGACACTGTACTGTTGGAGATATATAAAAAAAATCATACACATTGAATCTCTATGTATTCCATACAACTGATTAAATAACAATAACATACCAAGCAAAGTTTGCAGCTGGCTCAGAGTTTCTAGGATATTGGGAATAGCTTTTACTTCCTGCTCCAGTTGGGAAATGGACTCTCCACATTTATCCCATTGTAAGAACAAAGGGTTTAACAAATTGCTCACTTCCTATGGAAACCAAGAGGTACATTTTGTTTTGCTAGGTCATTGTCAAACATTTTTACTGAAGAAAAAACTTAACTTTAAACATAAATATATGCTATAAATTTTAATACCTATACAAACAACTAATAATACAAAGACTAAAATAATTTACAGAACAAATTGATCAGAGGGCACTCTGACTTTTTTTTTTAAAATTACAAGTCAACATTAAATGAATCAAATATGAAAAGACAAATTACAAATAAAGGAAAAATAGGCTAAATACAATAATAAATTGTCCTACCTCAGCTTTTTTAGCTGACTCTTTTGTATCTGTTTGCATGGCACTCCATGTTGCTTGGTAGCTTTAAATAGAAGAGTTAAAATTTATATAAATCTTTAGAAATTGATTTAAAAATAAACATAAATTCAATACAATTCTTGTGGGATGGAGTGGTCTAGCGGTAGTGAGCTGGACTGCTAACCAGTAAGTCTCGAGTTCGAATCTGGGTTCAAGTTAGTAGACCGTCCCTGAGTCCACCCAACTCTGATGGGTACCTAACTCACGTTAGGGAAAGTAAAGGCGGCTGGGCACACTATCTCTTCATATGCCGAGGTCACAGAAACAAGCGAACTCTACTTCACTTGCCCCATAGACCGTCAGGTTTGAAAGGGAAACTTTTACAATACAATTCTACTTAAATAAAGTAAGTAAGTTTCTTAGTTGTGCTGTAAAATTTAACTAGCAAGAATATAGACCTACATCTTTTTTATTTCAATATAGAGACCTACCTGTAGAGTAAATCTGCCCCTGCATCCAGGTTGATTTCTCTAGTTTTAATGTTGCGCAATTGCTCATGTCTTGGTTGAGAATCTAAAACAGTGAGGGAGCGCAGACTGGAAGAAAAGAGAATTGAACAAAAATGTTTGAAACTACAAGGTCAGGTAAAGAATCTTTGGGCTCCTTATAAAAAGATTGGATGTAGACCTATTTGATGTTTTTACTATTTTCAGTAACTAAATAAAAAATTTAAAAATAGCAAAAACAATTTGGTTTTCTCGTGTAATGGTGAATAAACAATGGCATCCAGCTATTCGATAGGCTAGCATAAATTTTATTGCAAACAAAAAACGGCAGAACTAAATTTTCATTATTTAAAAACTTTTTTGTAATGTAGGCCTATACAAAAAACTATGATGTGGGGCTGTCAGAAATCGATCACAGAGTTCCAAAACTGCCAAAAAATGTTTGTCTTATTAAAGTGAAACATCGGGTTATAACTTAGGCTTGGTGAATATAAAAAAAATAGAATTGAGGCCTTGCTTAATTTAATAATTAATAATTAACTCAACAAATTAAATTATTTTCAAGTTCTCTGGATTTGCAACATTGATTCTAAAAATACTAAATTTCTGAAGTATTTTTAATTTGTAGGCTTAAGTTTTTATTTTTTATTATTTTTACGGTCGCTTTGGTTGCAAAATCTAAAAAAATACGTTTTTATTTTAATCCATGTCAACTGTCAACAATGAATGATGGCTTATGATGGCAAGATTCTCGTCAACTGCTTGGTCGCTCAGCCTCCAACTTGAACTTACCCATCAACAATATCTTGCTGGGCACTTTGAAATGTTCCTTTCAGTTTTTTAAATACACTCATTATTACTTTATATCATCGAACGCTGTTATAAATTGTATACAATTTTTAGTGATCCGGATCAAAGAATTTGAATTTATTATTTATTCTACGTAATTAACAGCTGGAATATTATTTTGGTTTCTACCATCTTGTAGGTCACATGACATACTTTAACTCTTGCATGTGATAAAATTTAAAACACCTATCTGAAAACGAAAGTAACTTTGTCAACAAAAACAACCGATTCATCCGCACAATAATAGTTCCATCTGAGAAATATGTTTCACTTTTATTCAACTAACGAACTGATGGGATATCATGTTTAGACAAAAAGATTAGACTTCTAGATCTAAATGTAATTTGCATATCCTGCACTGAAATTTTGGTTTCACGACAACGTTGCGCTGTTTCATATTTTATGTAGATCTAGATCTAGATCTGGAGAAGATTAAGAAGAGTTTAACTTCCGGCAGTAGTGAGGCATATGACATTTTCATTTGCATTTTTAAAACTTAATGAAATATTTAATATACAATACTGCAGTCTGGATTGCAATCAGATTTCTTTATCTATACAATTCACACCGAATAATCTAGACTACATTTATTATGGTAAAAATTGACCGGGTTATTTCAATACTTTTAAATTTAAAACCATTAACAGAGTCCTAGAGTCTAGAACAAAATCTTAATAAAATTTCTCATGATTCTCATCAGTGAGTGACATCAGTCATCACTGAAACTACTGAACTGAGTGACTACTCACTACTGACTTCAACAAAGTCCACCTAGATCTAGCTAGTACCGAGTTACTGATAGAGTCCTTGCAAACACGTGACCTAAATCACGTGATACCTACGCCCGCCGCCACAGTGGTGTACATCAGACGTAAACACAATCAGCTGTTCGCCAGCGCTGGACGTGTTCACCAGCGCTGGACGTGTTCACCGTATGTAAAGAATAGCGCCCGCGGAAAAAGGAAAAATATGTTTAAAAACTTGAACTCTTAGGAATTGAAGATCCTTATACGGTTATTGACAGTTTCGTGGATAATATAAATATGTGGCCGAAATTTCTAAATAAAAATACTGTTAGTTATACCGTTTGCGTTTAGAGTTTAAGTAGACGAAGCTGATCAAATGCAGTAATATATTATAGGTTATCTACTGTAGCAAACGTGAGACCACTTGACTTCTACCCACACTTCAACGGCTAATATAATCCATGGGTAATAACCAATCTGGGTAGCATGTTATACAATTTAAGACCCTTATAATCCAGCAGGGAAGTAATCAGACACATTAATACTGACGTTCAACCCTCATGATGGCTGCCCCCACCTGTATCTAGCCCACAATAAAACCAAAGAGGAGTCTGCCCTGCCCTCCCCTGAAAATGTCTCACCTCCGTGATACCCAGCCCCACAGAGATAGTATTTCTTATATAATTTTGACCCTCAGGGCCCAGCAGGGAGAACAAAGGGGAAAGTCCCACTGCTCTCCCCTCAACACTTCTCACCTCGGTGTCATGTTATGTCATTTATAGCACACATGGCTTATCAGGGGAAAGCATTAAGAATCTTAACTCTGGACAGCTACACACTAGTATACTAGCTACACACTAGGTGCCTACTGTAAACTACTAGACTGTAGGCCCTATGTAGACCTGCAATTGTATCAATTGTAGACTGGGTCCATTGTTATTATTCTAAACCATCTCACTTATAATGTTTCTAGCTTGATTTGTTTCTTTTATAAACAGTGGATTTAAAAAAAAATTAGCCTAATCATTAACCAAATAATAATAATGTGGTTATTTGTTGTTGGCTGGTATTATCTAGATTGTACTACTAGGCTACAAAAACTTAGTAGACCAATTACTAGATATGAATTTGAATTTAATTAAACTCAGTCCAGTATCAGATACATATTGCTGTAAAAAGACAACAAAGTAGGTAGGCCTTAGTAATTTATTAAAGCCTTCTACTACAATAATATCAACTACATGCTTGTATAAAGTTTTTACAATTTAATTTAAGTAGCAGATTCTAGATCTAAGTCTAGTCATACAATCTATTTCAATTTCAGAAAATTTCGTTTGCTAAAAAAAATAATTAGATAATAGAGCGAGATTTTAGATCTTAGAGACAATTAAATGCTTTATTAGGCCTATTATGACTACTTTTGATTTATTATGGGTGTATTTTGAATCGAATGTAGATCTAAAGTAATTAAATTTAAGTAAAGAAGTAGATGCTAGATTCTATGTCTACCCAGCGGAGCCAGGTATTAGGCCTACTATTAGATCTTATTATTCTTATTATTACTTTTGACTTTGTCTTTTACTGTTAGTATTTGTGAAGGTCGAGCATATTTGTTTTATTAATAGTTATCTTTTATAATTAAAATGAAGTTTATTATTTTACTGTCCTTACCTGAAACAAAGTATCGAGAACTGCATTTGATCAGATTCGTCTACATTAACTCTAAACGCAAACAGTATTACTAACAGTATTTTTATTTAGAAATTTTGTCCACATATTTATATTATCTACGAAACTGTCAATAACAGTATTAAGATCTTCAATTCCTAAGAGTTCAAGTTTTTTAACGTATGTTCCCCTTACCGCGGGTGCGGTTCTTTACATACAGTGAACGCGTCCAGCGCTGGTGAACACGTCCAGCGCTGGCGAACAGCTGATTGTGTTTACGTCTGATGTACACCACTGTGGCGGCGGGCGTAGGTATCACGAACGGACGTGACGTCATATGAAAGGACTCTATTGACACTTTGACTTTAATGTCAACGAGATTTAAATCAAATAAGCAGGTCTAATACTTAAAGTTAATACCCCCTAACTCACCAAAGACACACTTACTGACACTAGTGACTGTCACACAGTGTCACAAACTATAACTAACCTTTTGACTTTATTTGAATAATTAGCAGGCCCTATGGATGATTATAGATACCAGTGTCCGATAATGGAATCTTCTTTAAAGAAAGGGGTGTTGGGTTGTTAGTAGTATACTATTGTAATCTCGACTAATTTTATGATTAGAAATTAGGGTTAGGCGTATGTTTGGACCAGGGTTGGGGTTAGGGTTAGGGACAGGGTTAGCATTGACATCCAGCCATGTGTGTATTTAGATCTAGTTAACTACCAGTGACCTAACACCCCTTTTTTAAAGAAGATTCCATTTTCAGACACTGGTGTAAACATTCTTCCGGCCCTATATTAGATCTATAGGCCTATAATTATATAATATATAATATTAACTTTAGGGTAGGCCTAATTAAATTGTTAAATTATTAGGCCTAATTATTCCACAAAATTTAATTAGGCCTATTGCCTAGTTATTATTATAGTTTAGGCGGCCAAGGGCCTATGACTACATACAATAATTTATTTTATAGGCCTAATTACATTAGTAAAGTTAGAAGATGTTACCAAGTCCTTGTAGGTCTGACAGTTACCCGTCTTTGAAGCAGGTCATTAAGATTGATTCTACTTCATCTACCCCATGTCTTACTTAGGCACGAACGGGGAATAGATGATGAATGTAGTAGTCAGATATGTTACTGGATTATTAGCATATAATAGAAATGCAAGAAATAGAAAAATCAAAAGCTTTGTTTTTACGAGCCTCATGTTGTTAAATAGTGGACTAAATTCTTCTGCAATCCAATACCACCCTCACCCACCCATACAATTTTAAATTCATAACCTGTAGCTTTTTTTGTTTTCTTATTAGTGCTTATTCCATATTATTTTATTCCTTCTTTTATTAATAATAACTCCTTTTTTTAGCAGATAACTACTCTTTCTGTGCAACAATGATCTAGTGGGGCTGTGTTATTCATTAGAAAACCTGTGCTTTAACAAACAAAGGAGGGTATGTTTTAAAAGAATTAATTGAAGCACCAAGATGTCATCAGGAAGCAGCCTGGTTGTACCCATGGTACTGTGGGGCCCACATGCACCAACGCATTGTATATCTGCAATTTTAATGACACCTGGTGGGAAATACATTGTTACTGGCTGTAATGATGGACAGATCTGTGTCTGGGATGTTATGGAACATTTTCAGGTATTTTTTGTAGAGTTCGCATTTTTTAATGATTGTTGATTATCCATAGACTCTTAACAAAAATCTTGATCTTGGATTTTCTTTATTCTTTTTGAGAAAAATTAACTTCCTTTCACTTTAATAAGAGTGTTGGGTTAGGTCTCTTTAAGCTTAGCAAGTGGACTCAATGAAGTTTTAAATTAGAAATTCTTCCTATCTAGTAAAGGCACTATTTGGTTTTGCAATGTTGTAACTAAGCCACAAAAATTTGTTTAAAAGATTATTAGGCCTATAGTTACAGGTTGTGATGAAGGGTCAACAATATTTTGTTGATGGTTTATTCTCTTTTTTAAATAATTATTGGCCAACACTGCTTTAAAGATTTTTAGCGAGTACCATCACATAAAATGTTAAAACTTAAACAATAAAATTATTTTTATTAAAAAATGTTATGTTTTTATTGTCTAATCTATTAAAAGACAATTTTTAACTGCTAGGTTGCACCTAGAAACATGTTATTTGGTCACACTGCAGCCATCAGCTGTTTAGCTATGGGAAGTGAGCACAAGGACAGGTGTTATATTGTTAGCTCATCAGAAAACGGGTGAGAGTTTATAGTCTCAATTTTTATGTCACTGTATTATAACAATGTTGATTAGCTGTAATGTATGTATTCTTGAACAGTGTTGAATGTTGTACAGGAGATAAAAGATACATTGCTTATAATCTTACCAGTAGTCGGGCATTTTTATTTATTAACTATTTTAACATTAAAAGCAGTGTATCTTCTGTATATTTTTAATTATTAGAGAAAAATAATTAATAGTAAAAATTAGACAATTGAAGTATACAATGCTTCTTTGCTTAATATCTACATGAGAAAAGTAGAAAAATATATCTGTTTGTGTTGTTTTTTTTATCAAATAGCAAACTATTTCACTTTTTGATAGGGAGATGTGTTTGTGGGATGTTTCTGATGGACGCTGTATAGAGAATACAAAGATTGATAAAGTTCACTCTGAAATTAAGGTAAATATTGAAGTAAGCTTGTAGTAATATATATTGTTCATAGTTATCTATTAATGTTAGCACTCCTATTTCAACATGTTTTCAGTCTTACCACCTGCGATCTGCTAAAGCTCTGCGGCTTGTCTGTAACGGTTATTATGATGAAATTGTGATTATTGACCCACTTAACCTGGAAATAGTCACACGTTTAGTAGCCAGGGCTGACTCTGATTGGATGAGTGCTTGTTGTGTTTTTAACCCCCCTAACAGGGATGGTAAGTAGTTGAGTGTTATCATATTTCTCTAATTTTTTTAATTTCTTAAGATTTTCATTGCTAAAAATTAAAAGTTATTTACCTTCGCATTGTGTCTACATATTTTTTTAATGTTTATATAACAATTAAATCTGTTTAGATGATGTTATACTGGCTATCACCAATTCTGGCACTGTTAAAGTTTGGACCATTGTCTCCACAACACAGGAACACAAGGTTTTTATTCATCACTGTTTTTTAATTATGTTAACGTCACATTTCTAATTGATAGTTTCAGTTATTTCACTAGTTAATAAACACAATGTTTAAACACTTATAAAATTTGGTTAACATTTCAGGGCAACAAAATCCCTGAAGATGAGTCCAAACAGATCCGATGTTTAAATGCTCAGACACTGACTTGTTGTCCTGGTAACCTGCGCACAGTTTTGATTGTGTGTAGCAAGTATTGGCAGGTAGGAGAACCATTTACTTAAATCTGAAGAGTGGATTTTTTTCCTTTGAGTGATAATTTTCTTTTATATTATTGCATGCTTTTATTTTCTTTTTTTTTTTTTTTTTAATATCCGTGTTTGAAATAGCAATAGTTATACAGGAGTGGTTTTTTTTTACTGAACTGAAATTATGCCTGCATGACTTATACCCCTTGAATGTTTTGTATGTTATTAAAATATTTTAAAAGAATTTCAATACAAATTACTGTAGATTTTTTAATTGCAAAATTTAAAGGCTTTATGATCTAATAGAAAATTTTACTATTTCATTGTTCAAATGGGATTTTCATTATCAATTCTTTTGTATACTTATTTAAATTTGCATGTTTCCTTTGAGCACTTTATTAAGGCAGTGGGGTTTTAGTAGATATGGGAGGTATTGTTAAATGTTTAGTCCCCTTATTTAACTTATTATATGCAGTCAATTCTGTAACAAGTTATTTTAGTTATATTGGATATTTATGAGAAGTTCTTAGACTATACATTCGTTTTTCGGCTTCATTTTTTAAAAGTAGAAATAAAAAGTAACATTTTCTTTTTAAAATATATTTTATATAGGCCTAGCCTAAATATTTTCTTTGTTAAAAGTACAGAACATGGAGTTAATTAAAGTTTATGATTTTATAAAAATCTAGTGGTATTTCTCTACTTCACATCTATGTCCATTACATCATAAATAACAAATGATGGAATGGGCTTACAGATTATCTTGTCTTAAATATAATAGAACTAAAATAACTTAATCCAACAGTTTTCTTATTGGCCATTATAAAATGTTGATAACAACATATTCTTATTCCAAAAATGATCTTACTTGACAATAAAATTACATTTGATTTCTCTCTCTGAGAGTTGAATGTGTCTTATTCAGAACTTTCACCATTATTTCCTCCTTTTCTGAAATTCTGCTCCTTCTTCTCTTTAAATTTAAATTTGCCTTTCTCCACCTAGTCTAATCTTTAGCATAGCTATCTAAAAGTTGTTTGTAAAGCCTTATTATCACTTGAACTGCCAAATGCCTAGAATGCAATTTTTTAATTTATAGAAATTTCTTGTTGGATGCTTTGCTAATTCTAAACATTATGGAATCTAAAATGAAATTGATCAATTCATTTTAAACTAGTATAAATACTGACTGAAGTTTGTAGAGTCATAAAGTCTGGTATTGAATTAAAAATTGTTGAAGAAGTTGTCTGAATCTTGTGAGTTTAAAACTATTAAAGGAAAAATTCACTTCTCCACTAGCCAATTAACAATTAGATTTTACTTAGAAGTGAGACCACTATCTTTAAGCTGATGACTCAACCAAGCAATCTATTGGGCAGATGAATGTCTAGAACATTGTTTTTTTCCTTAATGTTCAGCTATAAAATGTATCAAGCAATGAATTAAATTTTATAAAAGCCTTCAAGTTTTATCTGATGCATGATCAAGTGATTTACTTATAACAGCAAAAAGAAATATAATGTAAAATGATGATTCTATGATTAAATTTCTTAAAAATAGATATCATTTTATGCTTGATAAATACTTAAAGTGTTAACAATGGTTTCATTTTAAAATTTTCTTTTTTTATCAATTTTCATGAAGTGTGTTGTGTTTCTTTGATTTTGTGACTTTGAATTTAGTATGTATTACTCCCTCCTAAAGGTGTATAGTTATTCCAGTCGGAGACCAGAAACACAAGAAGGGGTAAGAAGGGCTTGACCATCAGTGTCCTTGTGCATTAGCAGCAAGTTTAGCTCATCAGATAGCTTTAGCTTCGAAGTAGTTAAGACCCCCATGAGATGATCAAAGCATGAATTTTATCTTTAACAAATTAGCTAGGGCCACACACTAAATTTGTTATGGAGTTTACTTACACAATTAATTTTGTGAACAATACCTCATGATTGGGACCTGCTCCTTGTTTTGAAAGTTTTTTTGTTTTTAGCAACTTCATTTCTGTTGTATTTTTTTTTCTTTCTACGTTTAAAAATGAAAGGCATTTTTTGCTTCAGCACATACAAAAGTGTACGGCTTTTAACACATGTTTAATGCACTCAATGTTTTCCTTAAAATCTTATTGTGTAATTAACAGCTATGTGACTCCTGTACTTATTGTTTTAAAATCTTTATTAAGCTCTATTTCAATCTGTAAGTGTCCTTATTTTTAAAAACAATTCTGTTTAATAATCAATAAATTAACAAAATTCATCTTTTTTCATCATTTACAATTAAAATTTGTAACATCTTTCATATTTTCTTGTTTACAATTTAAAAAATTAATTATGATTTTAATATTACATTTAATATGTAAATAGTGATAATTAATTGCATAAAGCTTATTGAAATGTTAACACCCTAATGATAAAATCATAAGAAATCAATACATCATCACAGTGTAAACAATAAGCTGGTATTCACTTTTTGAGAATAAATTCAACTTTTCCTGTAGATGAACTTATTGTCTTTTGTGTATTGGAGTGTAGACATTTTATTTTTCTCTAAAGCATGTTATGCTATCTACCAGTTCCTGTTTTCATTTTTACAAATTTCGCTTAAAGTTGATTTTAGTTAATTTAGAAAAGTAAGAACAAATAGTAAATTTCTCTTATCATTTCTCTTATCATTTGATACACTGGCTCAGAGAACTAATTTGTTTTACACAAATTACAAATTAGTAGTTATTTGTGTCTTTTAAGGTGTAGTAAAAAAAATTCTTGTTTTTAATTACAATCTTTGATAAATACATTTTGTTCTATTTTTATGTTGACTGAATATTTGATATTGGATATGTACCCACTTGTTAAAGTTATTAGGAGTGGATTGTTTCTTTGCTGAATCACTTTTTGTTGTACTCTTGACTTTCTATATTTTTGCCATTTTTCTTACTTTTGCTTAAAGTCTTGCTTAAATGTTTGCTGTGGCCAAAAGCACTTATAAAATTTAGTATTATGCGTAAAGGATGGCAAACAATGGAACAACCTAAAAAGTGTATGATTATTTATTGTCAACGTGCTTATAGCGTTTAAAGTGCACTTTAATTTTGCTATTTGTTTTCCGACCTTAAAAAATGTGCACTATAGTTACACCATGTCACAATATCTAACCTGTAAGTTTTAATATAATTTCATCTCTCCCTTTCTTTCATTCTCTCTCTTTTTTTAATGTGGCAATTATTATTTTCTGTGTTCAGTTGTGTATGTTCATGAAGTTTTTCACAAATATTTAATCAATGCCTAATTGAATATTTTAATAATAAAATTACAGTAACCTTTAAAAGTTGATTTTCATTAAAAGAATATTTTTGATTCGATTCCAGATTTATGATGCCAGTGATTTCACATTACTGTGTTCTGAATCCAACCGCCGCGGAGAGCGCTGGACAGGTGGTGATTTCCTCAGTGTTGATCGGGTGATAGTATGGAGTAACGAAGGCCGCGGGTACCTCTACAAACTGCCCACCAAGTAATTTCTTTTTCACATTTTTTATACTTCTATGTTGGATGTGATGTACTACTACATACAAGAATCTAGTTATATACTTGTAGCACTCAGTAGTGCACTGGTACCCGTTGTGTCTAGGATAAAACAGTGGAACAGTATACAAATGCTTCTAGACTTAGTGTCACCACTGCGCTTGTTTGGGACGTATTTATTCAGTGTGTGTGTGTGAGCTGTCAGGGTGTGAGTCTAACCATGGTGGGACTCTGTGTCATGTTCTAGTTTTAGACTGCTTGAGAAGTGTAGCTGTATTGTGGCATAGTGTCATGGTCTACCATACACATGAGGGAAATAGTTTAACTAAATATTTATCCACTCAAGTAAAAACCAAAACACTTATTTCTGTAAATTTTATTTTGTTTATGTCATTTATTGACCATTCTTAAACAAAAGTATTCACATTTTTTAAAAATTGCTTCCACATTTTCCCCAAATAAACCTAAAATACATTTTTTTATATAACTGTCTAATCTCTAAGATGTCTGATACAAATATAGATACAAATATAGACATTATTACTTTATTTATTTATTTTTTAATTTCATCGTTCTAAAGCCACCACTAGTGTATATTTCTATATATATAATTATTTTATAAAATCCCCTTGAATGAACCCTATTTTGATAACAATCTATTTCTGCACACTTTGTGTTTCCGAAGTTTTAAAACATTTATTTTCTTGTGAATTATTTTAATACTCACACTAACTAACATAACAACTAGTTAATGATAAAGGTTCACACATACATTTTAATATATGTTATATTGCATTTTGCATAAGATTTTAAAGCATTTCTAAAGCATTGAACACACAGTTTATCTATTGCCTGTTCCCTATCATTGTGTTCAGTAAACTATTATTGCCATACCATAGTTTAACCAAATGAAATTGTGCAGTGCATATTAGAACTGTGTAGTGCACTTAAAATAACTGAGCACTGCACCTTAAAAACACTGTGTGCAGTGCTTTTTCAGTCATTGAATCACTAGCTTGTTTTCACCTTAGCTTGCTTAAAGGAAAAGCGGTTGCCAGGTAAGAGTAGCGATATTGTCCTTGTGAAGTTTTCCTTGTCATCATCCTCTCTCAGTCAGCATTTAAGATGAACATTGTAGATAACTCTTCCCTTCTCAAAGTTGTTGGCAATAAACTCCCTTATCTTAAAGTTTGTAAAAATCATGTACAAATGTGTGGACTGATTTATTTTTCTTAAAGTTAACCTGTTGTTTGTTTTTCTTTCTTTAAAAAGCTGTTCGCTCACACAATTAATTTATGCCATGATTTTTTTTCTCTACCTAACAGCACCCTTTAATGTGTGTGTTTTTTTTTTTTAATTAAAAATATATTTTTCTTACCTGTAACATTTTTTTTGAGTGTTTTTTATTTTATTGCCTTATAGAGCCCAGCAAAAAATAAAATCTGAACTTCTACAGTAAGTATAGGACATCAGTGAAACGAACCTGCACATAATACAATGGTTTTTTTCTACATAACGTAGAGGAATTTTTTTCTGAAAATTTTGAATCTTGCTTTGTTGTATTGAAGTCTTGTCTTTAAACTTTGCTTTTTTATTCTTAGGACCAATCAATAACTTACTAATTGTTGCTTATTTTTAAAAAGGAAAAGCTGCTAATATTGAAATGGTTAATTTCAAGCCACAAATTGTATTAACCCAGCATTAGGCTTGCATTACAATATTTTACATTAATTTTAATGCAGTTTTTTTTTCTCTTGAGAATATAGTCACCCTTTTAGGCAGTTTGCTTATGGTTGCCAATACTTTTATAAGCTTATTCATTTGATATTCATGTTTTTTTGGTGATTTTGTTTTTAATGCAAAATTATTGTCAACAAAATGGTTGCAGTTTTTGGACTTTGACACCTTGAAGCTGTCTTGTTGAGTCTTGTTTTGTGAGTTTTTTGTGTCAGTATTTAATAAAGCACTAAGTTATACTTTATTTAACTATAAATAAAAGACTTCTAAAAAAAAGTAGGCTAATCTGATCAAATTATTGCAGATTTCATTAAAAAAAATCAATTCTACTTTTTCAATTAGCATTTTATTCATATTTTTAATAAATGTGTCTTTTACTTCAAATTTAAGTGATTTATGCTGATATTGTAAACCATTGTGCGATAACTAACAAAGCTGATAGCTTTAATTACAAAGTGTATGCTTTTTACACCCTTCAAAGGACTCCAACTTAGAATGTGCACAAATGTTCAAAGAGGATTGTGAGCATGGTAAATGTCTGGAAATTGTGCATGTGTGTTCGTCTTGTGAAATCTTGAAAAGGGGGAGGGGGTGATGATTTACAAATTTTGAAATTGAACACTAGACTTCTAAACATGCTGCTGGGTGTATTTTTCTTCCACTGAAATCTTTTTTCCCTGTTTTTGTGAGATGTGTTTGCTGGCTGGGTAATGGTTTGATTCTGTTGGCTGTACAGCTAGAACAACACCCATCCTATGTGTCAAGTTTTTGCTTACGCTCAAGTGATGTTTTAATTACTTTAATTATGTAGTGATAATTTAAAAAAAAAAACAGTTTAAGTATTTGCTTAACTAAGATCAATAACAAAACTTGTATCTCTGCCCTTATAAGACAGCTGTTCTCTACTTCGGAGTGTAAACAATTCAGTGTCCTGTAGGTTCCAAATAGCACCTATACATGACAATATTAGCCTCTATATTGATGATATTAGCCTCTTTAATCTTCTTTATACACTAGAGCAGTGGTTCCCAGCTTAGAAAATACATACAATGAAATAAAAGTAATACCATACTATAACTTTAAACAATGAATCTATTATGATTCAGATTGTCTGCTACTTCTCAATCCACTAGTCTATGTTCACTTGTGCTGCACAAAGGATATGAAAAAAAATGTAATAAATTTAAAAAATCAGTATGTGAAAATTGAGCTGGATACCACAGTAGTGATAAAATTAATTTATTTTCAATTATTTAGCCATTCAGTAACCAAGAAGAGTTCTATACAGTCTCAGATTAAACGCACCAGCTGGTGTTATTCCTGCTCTAGATACTAATTGATCAAAATCTTAGCTCTGCTGTCATTACAAAAAAAATTTTTTAGAGATATATTTTTTAACTTAAGTAACATGTACAAAACAAAGTTATAATTAATATATTGCAATAGCAATATTTGTCTACATTTTTCTTAAGGCTCTATGATTTTATTTTACAGAGACTTATGGTATGCAAGTTGATTATTGAGTGGATTAAATTGTGGATTAAGTAATTAAACTTTGTTTTATAATTTTGTGTCAGCTCAAACCCAGAGCATAAAGATTACCATAAACCCTACAACCAGACTTCTGTGCATGCTTACTATGTACTGGATATTTTCACACAAACTGTGAGTACACGTGCTATTCACACATCCAATGTAAAATTTGAAGCAAAAACATTATTTTTTTAACAGATTATTCAACCTTAATATAACCATGCATTATTGTACTGAACATTGTTTAAATTATTTGACATCAGAAGACACTGGAGTGTTCCCCTGCGCTGGCCTATGTGAACTATGGCAGTGGGGAGACTGCTGCTCACCTGCTTCTCCGTGGGGACTCTGAAGGCAGGGTCACCATCTGGTCCCTACCCCAAGTCTCTGAGAGACAGATGACGCTGGTCCGGCAAGAAAGCTTTGACCGCCTGCCATGTAAACATTTCATACTACATTCTTAGACTATTTACAATCTTACTACCCATACCTATATAGAATTATTTTTCTTTTTAATCCTAATATTTTTTACAACCTAATCTTCATGTTTTATAAAAAAAATTTGGTAATTGTCATGTTCCGAATTAACTTTTCAGCTCTGAGCCCTAAATCCACTACAACTCTTCAAGAGTCTTGGAGTGCTGGATCTTTCCCACCTCCTGGAATTCTGGACCACTTGGTCAGTCAGATTCAAGTTTAGTTTTACAAGTTTCAATTTTTTATATCTGTAATCTGAAGTCCCAATGTTTATACAAGTGCAACAGTCTTAGTGTTAAACATAATTCTAGTCTATCAATCTCAATGTTAAACTGTGTCTGTTAGTGTGACTCACCTGAAGACAAGGAGGAGGTGTTCATCACTGCCACCATCTTCATCCCCTCACAAGGCAAGATCGTGTGTGGCCGCAACAATGGGACCATTGTCATTGTGCCTGCTATAGACTGCATTAAACGCCAGCTCTTGTCCTTCAACAAACCTATTGGTATGTTGGTTTGTTTTTGGTATTTAGTTTTCAAACTAAACACCCACTGCATAAATAGCTACATATTTGCTGCTTATGATAAACAATTTTTTAGAAAATTTGTTAGCTTAGTTCAATGGTTAAATATTGGATGAATCTATTATTAAATTATTTTAATTTTTATCTATTAAAGAAAAATTTTAATTTAAAAAATGTGCTGTTTCCTAATCAAGTTCCAACTCAGAGAAAATAGTTAATTTTTCAGGTGTGTTGTTTAAAATAACATTAAGACAATTTTATTTTTTTAAAATGTACCATACATCACTAAACATTTTTGATAATTTTATATTCTAGCCAAAGTATTTTGTCTGTCTGTAGATGTGACACCCAGGATCCTTGCAGGCCATCACGGCCGTGTCACCTGTCTGCTCTACCCCTTCAATGAGTCAGCCCGCTATGAGCCTAATCACCTGTTGTCAGGTGGAGCTGATTTCTCTGTCATCCTGTGGGATGTGAACGCTGGCATCAAGATTCACACCTTCACAGTGCATGGAGGCAGCTTGACTCAGATGACTGTGCCACCTGCCAATTGTAATGTAAGTAGGAGCTACACTGATTTGAATTATATTCTTATGTAAGTAGGAGCTACACTGATTTAGTTTATATTTTTGTGTAAGTAGGAGCTTCACTGATTTGGTTTACATTCTTGTGTAAGTAGGAGCTACACTGATTTGGTTTATATTCTTGTGTAAGTAGGAGCTACACTGATTTGGTTTATATTCTTGTGTAAGTAGGAGCTACACTGATTTGGTTTATATTCTTGTGTAAGTAGGAGCTACACTGATTTGGTTTATATTCTTGTGTAAGTAGGAGCTACACTGATTTGGTTTATATTCTTGTGTAAGTAGGAGCTACACTGATCTAATTTATATTCTTGTGTAAGTAGGAGCTACACTGATCTGGTTTATATTCTTGTGTAAGTAGGAGCTACACTGATTTGGTTTATATTCTTGTGTAAGTAGGAGCTACACTGATCTAATTTATATTCTTGTGTAAGTAGGAGCTACACTGATTTGGTTTATATTTTTGTGTAAGTAGGAGCTTCACTGATTTGGTTTATATTCTTGTGTAAGTAGGAGCTACACTGATTTGGTTTATATTCTTGTGTAAGTAGGAGCTACACTGATTTGGTTTATATTCTTGTGTAAGTAGGAGCTACACTGATTTGGTTTATATTCTTGTGTAAGTAGGAGCTACACTGATTTGGTTTATATTCTTGTGTAAGTAGGAGCTACACTGATTTGGTTTATATTCTTGTGTAAGTAGGAGCTACACTGATCTAATTTATATTCTTGTGTAAGTAGGAGCTACACTGATCTGGTTTATATTCTTGTGTAAGTAGGAGCTACACTGATTTGGTTTATATTCTTGTGTAAGTAGGAGCTACACTGATTTGGTTTATATTCTTATGTAAGTAGGAGCTTCACTGATTTGGTTTATATTCTTATGTAAGTAGGAGCTACACTGATTTGGTTTATATTCTTGTGTACACTGCATTAAACTTAGTCTTGTATAGATGAAATTTCAGTTAATAGTGTTAACCTTTATAATGGTTAAGAAAAGCAATATCTGAAAGTTAAATAGTCAAGTTGAAAGTTTCCAAATAGTGTTTACATCTCCTCAAATAAATACCATAGCAGCTAGATGGGCTCATAGGTGGCAGATTCAATTGTTGCTATCTTAAACCAAGTCAAGGCTTGTAATTTTATCTTCTTTAGTTGACAGGCCAGTTCATTTACTTGATTGATATCTGGTTAAAAGAATAGTTAACACAGTTTTACATGTTTAACTTGATTTGTATCCTAATACTTAGTTTCTGACAGATTTGTTGTGTCCAACACATCAGCCACCAAACTAATTCTCTTAGACATTTTGATAAACTCTTGACATACCTATATCTTTTTAAAACTATTTTCCTGTATATTTGGCAACAGACAGAAACTATCCCATTTTTTCTGGTCCACAGCCCAGAATTTTGTCCTGCATTTGTTCAGTTGCTGGAGACCACTCTGTCGCTCTTCTGAGTTTAAAGGAAAGGAAATGTCTTCTGCTGGCTTCCCGCCATCTTTACCCTGTGAAGCTGATCAAATGGCGACCACTTGATGATTTCATGCTTGTACAAACCAAGGATGGCGTGGTCACTGTCTGGCAGATGGAAACAGGTGAGGCTGTGGTCACTGTTGGGGCTATTGTTTACCTGGCAGATGGAGACAGGTGAGGCTGTGGTCACTGTTGGGGCTATTGTTTACCTGGCAGATGGAGACAGGTGAGGCTGTGGTCACTGTTGGGGCTATTGTTTACATTCAGGCACTGAGCTACTTGACTTAATGTGGTATAACATAGCCAACAGTGTCAGATATTTAATTTACTAGCAGTTAACTAAAATAATTTGAATTTGCATCTACTGCACTATATTATTTCCTTTGTGACACAAAACAAAATGTATTTGTTTGTTTGACCACAGGTCATCTGGACCGAGTGATAGATGGTAAAACAGCTGAGGATGTGCTGAGTAACTGTGATGAGAACGCCACCCCAGTGGAGGCCTTGACCAACCCCAGCATCACACTAGCCCAGGCACTCAAGCGCAGAAACCTGGCCACATTTAGAAACTTCACTCAACAGAAGCTGAATGTAAGTTCACAGTTAGTCACACCAGTCAGTCTGGTGACTTTCATAAGCTGGAAATGTACTTACTTTTGTAACATACTAGTAGGATGATCCTGTAGTGCAGTGAAAAAAGGGCAGTCGTGGTCGGGTTGGTAAAGCTCATAGTTGCTAAACCAAAATGCCCATAGTTCGAATTCCCAGGCTAATGAGGTTTGATAGCAGGGAACAGCAACCCATCTAGGAAAGAAAACTCCAAAATCATACAACGACTGCCTTGTAGTTTGTTCTTGGATGGACAAGTGCTATGAAAGAAAATCCAAAAAGAAAAGCAGGCTGTATTCAGAGTCAACAGCCTATATGGTGCATAGCATGCTAGCACGTAATACTTAATTGTGTTTTAGGAAATCCCATCCAACATGACAATTAGAATCAAAGAAGTGTAGATGTATACAGTTATAGTCCTTTTAATTCAGTTAAGATAAAATTCTCATATTATTTAATTGTTTTAAATTAGAGTCAAGATTACCTTTCTTGTTCAGATTGCTGCCCAGCCCAACCACATCAACCAAGGGAACAAATCTGAGTTCATGAAACCAACGGGATTCCCTCTCCTCATCCAGGGGGTGAAGACCAACACTAGGGATCCTGATGCACATGTGCTGTTTTTTGACACAGAGGCTCTTATTGGTGAGATATAGAAAACTGTCAAGTTTTCCAGTAGTTCTGTACATAAAACAATATCCTATCAAAATCTGGCAATTCAGAAATCTTTATAAAAGGCTGAACTGTATCTATGTTGATTAAGAGTTGTTTGATAGATGATATGTATGTATGAAAATTTCATTTAAACCTTAAGCTCACATCATCAGATAAAATGGGCAACAATTATTTTTTTCTGTAACCTCCTACACACCTGAAAATCTAAGACGTCCAATTTTTAAACCCCAAACTCACAAGATTACAGGTGAACTCTACTTCACTTGCCCCATGGACCGTCAGGCTTGAAAAGGGAACTAAGTTTTACTTTACACATTGTTAGATGAAATGGGACATTTTTTTTTTCTGTTAATCTCTCAAACCCCAGAAATCTAAGACAAATGTCTTTTAAACCTCAAACAGACATGATTAGATGGAATGGGAAACTAATTTTATTTCTGTTGTTGACATTCCAGTTCATTTGTTGACTGAAGAATATGCATTGCTGTCTCCTGCTGAGCTTGAAGCAAGGGGAATGAACATCACATCAGGGGAGAAAACCCATCCAGTCCCAGAGGTTGTTGACACCCAACAGAAGCTTGCAGGTAGAGTTGCTGACCTTTGTTTGTGGTTAGAATGGTTTGAAGCATGTTAGTTGTGGCATGTACGTTTTTTTTACTAGCTGTTTTTCAAGTATTGTGACCTATAGATTAAAGTTAAATTCAAAATTCAATTGAAATTTCTGAAATGTTTTTTTTTTTTTAATCATTGTTTGATCTCATCTAGCGCTCACTATTCATTTTCTTTTTACTATTTTTGTAAAATCTGTCTGCTATTTTTTTAAAAATCTAGAGTCATTTTTGCATTATTATTTATTCTTGATTTTTATACAGAGATAAAAATAATAATCTTATTGAAACTAGAAATAAATACCTTTTTATTAATACCAGTTTTAATACAGTGTTAATCTTGTGGTATGGTACCATTTAAATTCTCTTAAATAGTGATTAAAATATTTTAAAAAGTTTTTATGTATAGGCACTTTAATCCCTAATAATTGAAGCAGTCATTGATTGCAACAGAAAGTATTTATACAGATTAAGATACTTAAACATACACTTTATATAAAATAATTAAACCAGTCATTGATTGCAACAAAGTATTTATACAGATTAAGATACTTAGACATACACTTTAATATAAAATAATTAAACCAGTCATTGATTGCAACAGAAAGTATTTATACAGATTAAGATACTTAGACATACACTTTAATATAAAATAATTAAACCAGTCATTGATTACAACAGGGACTAAAGATGGAGTGTTTGAACAGGTTATTCGTAAAGCAGGTACATATTAGGTTCATTTGTTTGGTGGTGGCTAGGGTCATTGTGACTTCAAAATAGGCTCTTAACAAATAGGGCTAGAGACGCCCCAGTTGTTGGTAAAGATTAAATAGCCCTGGTTTAGCGTTAAGGTTAATTAACCCCTTTAACCTGTTGGATAACCCTGGTTCAGTTTTAAGGTTATATAACACCATTTTTATCCTGTTGGATACCCCTGTTTCAATGTTAAGGTTATATAACACCATTTTTTAATCTGTTGGATACCCCTGTTTCAATGTTAAGGTTATATAACACTTTTTTATCCTGCTGGATAAGCCATGTTTTGATGGAAGATTACTTAACCCTTGTTTTATTAACATTTTGGATAACCTTCTTCCTTTTCCTTTCATGTGTATATTTAAAAAAAAAATAGATATGATTGAAAACATTTTATTATATATTGAACTTTTTGTTTACATTTATTACTTTTAGCAATTTAACTATAATTAATTTTATTTATTATAAAAGTTATGTACATATGTTAGACACTTTAAAGGAAATAGTTTGATTACAATTTATGGAGAATGTAACATCATTTAATGGCATTATTATGTAGCGGAATATCCATGTTGAGGGGCTTGTCTTCCGTATACTACTAAATTTTATCAGAATGGGTGTAGAAAAGGACACTATTATCTCCCCTGGCTTTTTACTATTTATAAAGCAGCATGTGCCTATTGATTGGCTGAAATAAAACAAAGAATTCTATTATGTATTATTTAAATAATTAGCCCAGGTACCTGTGATAGGAATAAATCTTGATGTGTCAATACATTAGCTATACAACTTGAGTCTGTTACATCTGAGCTAGCTGAGTTAGTCATGTATAGCATAGTCTTATCAGTTTAGCTGCAGTCATAGCATAGATATACGAATAAATCGTGTTGTGTCACATTAGCTATAAAACTTAAGTCTCCATTGCAGCTAAGCTAGTTGAGTTAGTCATTTATAACTGTGATATATGACACAGTTTAGCTGCAGTCATGTTGGAACACAAACAATCCAATTGGCTTCTTGAACTCATTTAACCAGCGAACAGTTAGTTGGTTCTCTACAAGAATTCTATGTGCTTGTCTATCTTGCTTTCAGTGGATGGTGCTGTTTTTTTATGTACTGTTGTTTCTATTTGTTTCTAACTGTGCTAATACTTTCTTATGTAATAATTTTTTTTTGTTCTGTTTTTGTTGTCATTTTGTTTAGTTGACCAGACTTAAACATTCCTTTTGTTGGTTTTAGTGCCTAGAATATTTTTTTGTTCTGATGTTTTTGTTGTCATTTTGTTTAGTTGACCAGACTTAAACATTCCTTTTGTTGGTTTTAGTGCCTAGAATATTTTTTTGTTCTGATGTTTTTGTTGTCAGTTTGTTTAGTTGACCAGACTTAAACATTCCTTTTGTTGGTTTTAGTGCCTAGAATTTTTTTTTGTTCTGATGTTTTTGTTGTCAGTTTGTTTAGTTGACCAGACTTAAACATTCCTTTTGTAGGTTTTAGTGCCTAGAATTTTTTTTCCAATCCAGACACTTCAGGTGCATTTTCTGGCTTTGAAATATTGCGTGAAGATTTCAATGAAGAAGATGATTATGAGGATTTAAGAGAAGAAGAGCGAGATGTTGACTCGGCTTTCTTCTCCATCCCTGTCCAAACCACTGGGGCCCAGAAAGGGCAGCATGCTAAACTGACCAGATTTAACTCAGTCCCTGCCCAATCTCCAGCCTCCCCAACATCCCCCACCTCCCCTCAAGTATTTCCTGTGACCAGTCAACAACCAGAAGCTCCGATGCGAAAGAAATCCAAATTCCCCAACCTGCGGTTCTCAAAATCTAAATCTGTTAGCACTAGCTCGTACCCTGAGCCAGAAGATACAAAAAAGAGCCTTAAAAGTAAGATTTTGAAGAGTCGGCCCAGTAGCATGTCCATAGACTCCAACAAAAGCATGTCCTTGCCCCGTCAAGCCAGCACCTCATCCGAGCCGGAGTCGGCTCCGCCCGTGTCGGAGGCAGACAGTAAGCGTGTGCCCGCCCGTGTAGCCACACTCCCCTCCTCCTATAAGCTGCCCCCTGCTGGCAATCTAGCAAGACAACAGATTGGTGAGAGCTTACCCTGCCTTTCAAATCAGATTTGTTTCTTCATATTACTCCAGATCATATTTTTAATTCAGCCACTTTTGTTTACTAATGCACAGAGTTTTTACAGCATGGTGATTGAAGTGTGATATGAAAACAGATAATCTCTCTCTTTATAAATATGTATTTTTCTACAGTTATGCGCATTATGATAAATTTATGACAATAATATGTAACACTCACTTTTCATCTGATAAAAAAGAAAAAGTTGCCTAAAATAAATTTGCTAAGAAGCATGATAAAAAGAAAATGTGTATTATAAAATATTGATCAGATGGATTCTTATCAGCATAGAGGAATAAACAGAACAGTATTTCAACATAATATTCTAACTATGCTTATTTAGTAGGAGTTAACTCCAGACTAATAGCTTGTGTCTAAAGGGAAATAACTCAGCTGAAATTAGTTTTTATTATTTTCTGTTCAGCCAGTTCCAAAAGAATATTTAAAGATTAAAATACCTTTGAAACTGAATATTTCATTATTGGTAACAACAGGAAAACAGAAAATAAGTACTATGTAATGATTATAAAGTATTCTTTACTACATGAAGAAAGCTTTGAATCATTTTACCCTCTCCCCATTCGATCTGCCAGAAATCCAAAGCATTTTTTTTCTTCCCTTTTTTTTTTACTATCGGCAATGTATTTTTAGTTTCAAAATTGTTGCCTTTATTGTTGGAGGGTGGGGCTAATACTAACAAAAGGAAGTGACCAGATTTCTTAAGATTTTATTAGTAAATTCGTCTTTGTAGTTCTAACACAGGAGCTAGTTTGGAAGTAGTCATAGTTACTTTAATTCTTTGTTGTAAATTGTCTTTAACTGTAGACTACTATTTTAGTTGAAAATTAAATTATCTAATAGTCAACTAAAAAAAATTTTATCTAAAAATATACCTGATATTATTTTACTATCACACTTTTATAAAATATTGTGTTTTTGGCTGCTAAGGTTAATTTAAAGTGAAAAAAAAATTAAATTTTGTGTCTGCAATTAAAATAAATTTTATTAATAAACTTTTTCGAGTTACTAAAGTACTTAATATAAATTATTTGGTTCTTAATATATTTATATTTTAAAAATATACACGTCTAAATATATCAGTATTTTATAAAGTATTATGCTTACAATTACAAAATTCTACAATAAGCATAAAAAGTTTCTATTTACATAAGACACACTGTATTTGTTATGCATTTTTCTTTTTGTAACACTGCCTTTTATGCTGCATCCTTTTATTTCACTGGTGATGCCAAGTATCATTTCAATTAAAAATCACTGGAGCAGTTAATTTTAAACTCTTTATGTTCAACGTTTATTTTATCTAGGAAAACAGATGCATCATCTATTTGGTATGTCAATACCTGACCTTAATTTGTTCTGTTTTGATGATCAAAGAATCTGTTATAAATTAACAAAACTCCCATGTTTTTAATTGTGTTATTTCTGTTTTGAGGATTAAAAAAATCTTAGTTATTTATTTAACAAAACTCCCATTTTTTTACATATGTTGTTTCTGTTTTGACGATTTAAGAATCTTAGTCATAACATAATTTAACCAAACTCCCATTTTTTTACTTGTGTTATTTCTGTTTTCAAGATTAAAGAATCTCAGTCATAACATAATTTAACAAAATTCCCAATGTTTAGTTGTGTTAAACCATCCTAACATTTGATCCTTAATATTTTGAAGAAACTTTTCAATCCATTTTTATAAAACTGCAATTAACCATAAAAATATGATTTTGCAGATAAACAAAGAGTGAAATAATGCAAGATTTAATTGATAACATTTTATCTATTGTACTAAAAGAATAAATTATAAAAAGTATCTCAAGTTTTCTATAAGAAGTCTATTTCCCATCCAATTGGCCTAAACATTTGTAGCATGTGTAGGAAAAAAAAAACTCTCCCTTTTTATTTATATAACTTTAACTTAACTTTTGGTGTGTGAAGTTTGTCTTTATTCTTAGGTGAATTCATGGTAAGTTTTGTGGTTTATTAATGATGTATTGATATCTCTTTGGAATGGTTTTAAAATTAGTAACCATTATGAATATCTTGAATTGAAATTTTTTTTTTTTTGCAAAAGAAAACTGTGGTATATTAACTTTAAAAAGTCCATTACTTTATTAATTGATTATTTCCCTTTTCTCTAACAATTGTGGCAGGTCTGTTAGCCAAAGCTAAGGAGAAAGCTGAGACAGTGACCCAAAAAATTCAGACCAAGCTGGACGCTGTCAGCAACCCTAGCACCCAGCCCAGCGCCCCCATCCAGACCCAACCCACTAGTGTCAAGAAAAGGCCAGAGACCATCAGTGTGCAGGTATATGCTTAATGCACACTTTACATCCTGTCTTCTCTGTCACTTTACATCCTGTCTTCTCTGTCACTTTACATCCTGTCTTCTCTGTCACTTTACATCCTGTCTTCTCTGTCACTTTACATCCTGTCTTCTCTGTCACTTTACATCCTGTCTTCTCTGTCACTTTACATCCTGTCTTCTCTGTCACTTTACATCCTGTCTTCTCTGTCACTTTACATCCTGTCTTCTCTGTCACTTTACATCCTGTCTTCTCTGTCACTTTACATCCTTTCTTCTCTGTCACTTTACATCCTGTCTTCTCTGTCACTTTACATCCTGTCTTCTCTGTTTCCTTAATTTGTGTAAAACAAAGTCTGTCCAACACACATTTATAATTAGACAAACAAATGAGCAGACATTAAAACACACATTTATAACTAGTCAGGGGTCATCCATTTATGACGTCCACAATTTTTTTTTGATTTTGGGGACCCTCCCCCCCCCTCCCCCGTCCGCAAAAAATCCACTTTTTTCCTTATAAAAGTCCATATGCGCCCACAAAAGTCAGTTTTTTTTTCGGACCCCGACCCCCCGCGTGTGGACGTCATAAATGGATGGCCCCTTAAGCGAATGTGCAGCTATTGACAGCCAGGTTTTAACTCACTTCTCTGTGTGCAGGAGTCTTTGAGTATGGCCATCGGAGAGCTGTTCATGTCCTGTCTCCATGCCTGGAACCTTGACCCCCAACTGGATGACCTGTGTCTGAACAAGCTGGGGCTCCACAAGCCCAAGGGCCCAATCAGCTTTGGCCTGCTGTCACATGGGGGTCACATGTCACTCATGCTGCCTGGCTGGCACCGGCATCAGGCTCAGCTGAAATCAGTACCTGGTGGAGCTGGGGGTAACTACTTGGGTCCATTTTCGGTTTAGCTATGCTTAATTAGTTTTAATTACTCAATTAATGATGTTAGTTAAAATTAAATAAATTTGACACAATTCTTCAAATAATAAGTCAATTAAGTCAATTTTTCTTGTTTGAAAACCATCGGTTACGTTTGCTAGAAAAAACAGTTTCTAATTTGCAACATTGGCCTTCAGTTATATACAAGTGGCTACAACAAAGATGTATTTTATCAGTAATCGTCAGTGGAAACAATAGCTTCATTGAGCAAATGTAATAAATAAGAAACAGTGTTGGCTATTTCACATTATAGAGATGTACTAATTGTTGAATTTTTTAGTAACAGTCAAAACCATGCAATAATGATTTACAAAAGAATCTCTTAAGTTTTCTAAGTATGTTAAAAGTTATGCTACTACTATTATGTAATAGTAGAATATGTTATTTCACTGTTATCAATTCTAAAGGATAAATGGCAATTTCCCGCACTAATTTCTCTTTCTTTACTTTAATGGAACTTGCAAATGTGGCAAGTAGTGGTTCAACTGTCAAGCTTAAAGTATTCTTTCTGAGAGCCTATAGATAGAGATGCATTAAGATTGTTTGGTTTTTTTTAATACATTGGCAGTAATGAACCATAAAAACAATAATTTCAACTCATGCCATCTCTCCAGAAACTCCTGCAAGTCTCCTGAGGATGAGCTCAGTAGACAAAAGTAACGAGGTAGACATGAGGTCACCTCACAAGGATTCCAAGGCTTATCAACAGCAAGTGTATGACTTCTCTACCAAGGTAAATAAAGTTTCTCCTGCTAGTTTTGACAAGTCTTTCTCAGCAGTTCCATTGACTTATTTTTGTCAGTGGTATTCCATAACAAGGTAGTTTGACACATATTACAGCACATGTTGTTTACTTTTTTTTTAAATTTAAAAATCATAACTGTCTAAAAAAGTAATTTTTAAAAATAAAAAACCTGTCTAGAAAGAAAAGAAACAAACACAATTCAACTTTTTACTGTTGTGTATTTGACAGTCGAGATGGCAGATATCCAGTGCAGTGACTACTCAGCATTTGCTAAGTGTTATTTCTGTGGCCAACACACTCATGGGAATGAGTAGGGCAGTCTTCATGCCAGAGCTAATGCAGGCCTTAAGGTTGGTTTTACCCTTTAGTATCAGTAGCAAAGCTCATAGATTTAGCCATACTTTTTTGTATATATATATAAAACCACTAGTTATATTTAGCATCTACTGTATCGGTAACAAAACATCCGTATTTTATTTATTAATTTATTTTAGTTGTATATACTTTTTTTTATAATTTATGGAATCAGGATAAATATTCAAAACTTTATAATGTTTTGAATATTTATCTATCGCTCTCCCTAAGTTCTATTGTTTTCTTACTATAAAATAATTAATTTAATGAAAGCTTAATTTAGATACATATATTTTAAGTAACAAGTTCACCTTATCACCATTATCTTTCCTCTACCTTCCTTGTGGAACACAGGCCCTCTGTCAAAGCTTTGCACTCTCCACACTCCTGCTATTTTTTTCAGCTGTTACCAATTCCTTCCTATCCTTTCAGCCTCCCCCAATACACTACATCACCATTTCTTCTTGGGTCAACCCCTGTGCTGCTAATAAAATGTTCAAAATTTCTTTTTTTTTGTTAACACATTTTATAAATAAAGATCCCAATAAGTCTTTTTGCTTCTGATTTTCACCAATGTTAAGGTGTACTCATGTTCAGAATACATGTAAGAAATGTGAATGGAATGTCCTCAGGCCTAAAAGAGAATCAGTGAGTTCCCACTTTGGCATGGTGATGCGCGACACAGAGAGCCCAGACAGTGCAGGAAGCTCTGAGGATGCGGCCGACGCCCTGGCTACCCTCCAGGCACAGGTGAAGCAGGGCTGGAGTCTACTGGCCGCTCTACACTGTGTCCTCTTACCTGAGCTGGTGGGGGTGGAGTACTACCAGTGTCCTCAGCTGGAGATGTTGGCTAGACGTTGGCAGGACAGGTGTTTAGAGGTGTGTACAGCATATAGACAGGTGTTTAGAGGTGTGTATCATGTTAGTTCATGGACAGGTGTTTAGAGGTGTGTATCATATGCTAGTTCATGGACAGGTGTTTAGAGGTGTGTACAGTACATAGACAGGTGTTTAGAGGTTTGTATCATATGTTAGTTCATGGACAGGTGTTTAGAGGTGTGTACAGTACATAGACAGGTGTTTAGAGGTGTGTACAGTACATAGACAGGTGTTTAGAGGTGTGTACAGTACATAGACAGGTGTTTAGAGGTGTGTACAGTACATAGACAGGTGTTTAGAGGTGTGTACAGTACATAGACAGGTGTTTAGAGGTGTGTACAGTACATAGACAGGTGTTTAGAGGTGTGTACAGTACATAGACAAGTGTTTAGAGGTGTGTATAGTATATAGACAGGTGTTTAGAGGTGTGTACAGTACATAGACAGGTGTTTAGAGGTGTGTACAGTACATAGACAGGTGTTTAGAGGTGTGTATCATATGCTAGTTCATGGACAGGTGTTTAGAGGTGTTTATCATATGTTAGTTCATAGACAGGTGTTTAGAGGTGTTTATCATATGTTAGTTCATGGACAGGTGTTTAGAGGTGTGTACAGTACATAGACAGGTGTTTAGAGGTGTGTATCATATATTAGTTCATGGACAGGTGTTTAGAGGTGTGTATCATATGTTAGTTCATGGACAGGTGTTTAGAGGTGTGTATTATATGTTAGTTCATAGACAGGTGTTTAGAGGTGTGTATCATATGCTAGTTCATAGACAGGTGTTTAGAGGTGTGTATCATATGTTAGTTCATGGACAGGTGTTTAGAGGTGTGTATCATATGCTAGTTCATAGACAGGTGTTTAGAGGTGTGTATCATATGCTAGTTCATAGACAGGTGTTGAGGAGTTCGTAAAGTAAAAAAGTAAAGAATCCACTTTAGACCTAGTGATCCATTGGGCAGATGAAGTAGAATATATGATTCTTGACCTCAGCAAATGAAGGGAAGGTGTGGTGTAATCAGCACTATGCCCAACTACCTTTAGATTCCCTAACATGAATTAGGTACCCATCAGAGCTGGGTGGACTACTGGTGGTATGCTTGTATGTTTTCTCAGCCCTACTTTGTATGTTATCCCCACTAGATCAGGGAGGCAGGTGGTATGCTTGTATGTTTTCTCAGCCCTACTTTAACTGTATACTATCCCCTCTAGATCAGGGAGACAGGTGATATGCTTGTATGTTTTCTCAGCCATACTGTATGCTATCTCCACTAGATCAGGGAGGCAGGTGGTATGCTTGTATGTTTTCTCAGCCCTACTTTGTATACTATCCCCACTAGATCAGGGAGGCAGGTGGTATGTTTTCTCAGCCCTACTGTATGCTATCTCCACTAGATCAGGGAGGCAGGTGGTATGCTTGTATGTTTTCTCAGCCCTACTTTGTATACTATCCCCACTAGATCAGGGAGGCAGGTGGTATGTTTTCTCAGCCCTACTGTATGCTATCCCCACTAGATCAGGGAGGCAGGTGGTATGTTTTCTCAGCCCTACTGTATTCTATCCCCACTAGATCAGGGAGGCAGGTGGTATGTTTTCTCAGCCCTACTGTATGCTATCTCCACTAGATCAGGGAGGCAGGTGGTATGCTTGTATGTTTTCTCAGCCCTACTTTGTATACTATCCCCACTAGATCACTGATCAGGGAGGCAGGTGGTATGTTTTCTCAGCCCTACTGTATGCTATCCCCACTAGATCAGGGAGGCAGGTGGTATGTTTTCTCAGCCCTACTGTATTCTATCCCCACTAGATCAGGGAGGCAGCCCAGGCTCTGCTGCTGGCTGAACTGAGGAGGATAAACCCAGAGGGACGCAAGAAGCTGTTGGACAAGTGGGCTCCATTCCTGCCTCACTATGTGGACCCAGAGCTCTCCCTGCTGAGTAACCACAAAGATGGAGAAGAGGATGAGGAGGAAGATGAAGAGGGCATTTTAGCTGGTAAAAGAGGGTTTTCTTACCTTCAAATGTACAAGAGTAAAAATTCATTCTTCTCATTTTAAAAGTAAAGGTTTTTTTTTTTAAACTTACAAAGTACAACAGTAAAAGATATAGCTACAAAATTACTTTTCACTAAGTAATAGAAACATTATTATTAAATAACTGTAAGCCCAACCTCGTCTTTAATTTACTTATGTCTAATCTTTGTCTAGGTGACATCCCACCGCACAAACTGTCAGTTTCATTTGAAAGCAGGCGTAAGCAGGCCACCGCCATCGTAATGCTGGGGGTGATAGGTGCTGAGTTTGGTCATGAGATGGAGCCCAGCAGAACCAAGCCAGAGGAGGTGAAGAAGAGTAAGACTAAAGGAGCTGTGGATGGCTTTAGTCTGACCAATTATTCCCTGGCTCGACATACTAGTATGTTCAAGTTTTTTTATACTTTTTATAAATCTATTTAGAGATGTGTAGCCTAGGTTTTCTTAATACATTTCTTCTAGTTTACTAGATACAAGAACATAATTGTATTATTTTTTCACAATACACACATATTTGACATAATTTATATTTTTTTAAATAGCATAAATGCATTTATAAAGCTGCTTGTATTTTCTTTACAATTCTAAGGCTATATTGCAGGCAAAACCCTTACATTCCTGTATTATGTTGCAGGCAAAGCCCTTACATTCCTGTGTTGTGTTGCAGACAAAGCCCTAACATTCCTGTATTGTGTTGCAGACAAAGCCCTTACATTCCTGTATTGTGTTGCAGACAAAGCCCTTACATTCCTGTGTTGTGTTGCAGACAAAGCCCTTACATTCCTGTGTTGTGTTGCAGACAAAGCCCTTACATTACTGTGTTGTGTTGCAGGCAAAGCCCTAACATTCCTATATTGTATTGCAGGCAAAGCCCTAACATTCCTATATTGTATTGCAGGCAAAGCCCTAACATTCCTGTATTGTGTTGCAGGCAAAGCCCTAACATTCCTGTGTTGTGTTGCAGACAAAGCCCTAACATTCCTGTATTGCATTGCAGGCAAAGCCCTAACATACATGTATTTTGTTGCAGGCAAAGCCCTAACATTCCTGTATTATGTTGCAGGCAAAGCCCTAACATTCCTGTGTTGTGTTGCAGGCAAAGCCCTAACATTCCTGTATTATATTGCAGGCAAAGCCCTAACATTCCTGTGTTGTGTTGCAGGCAAAGCCCTAACATTCCTGTATTGTGTTTCAGACAAAGCCCTAACATTCCTGTATTGTGTTGCTGGCAAAGCCCTAACATTCCTGTGTTGTGGTGCAGACAAAGCCCTAACATTCCTGTGTTGTGTTGCAGGCAAAGCCCTAACATTCCTGTGTTGTGTTGCAGACAAAGCCCTAACATTCCTGTATTGTGTTGCAGACAAAGCCCTAACATTCCTGTGTTGTGGTGCAGACAAAGCCCTAACATTCCTGTGTTGTGTTGCAGACAAAGCCCTAACATTCCTGTGTTGTGTTGCAGGCCCTAACATTCCTGTATTGTGTTGCAGGCAAAGCCCTAACATTCCTGCTGCTGCAGCCACCAAGCCCCAAGCTACCCCCCCACACCCCCATCCGCAGGGCAGCCATTGACCTGATAGGGCGGGGCTTCACTGTCTGGGAGGCTTACCTGGATGCCTCGTCCGTCCTGCTGGGACTCCTGGAGCTGAGCATAGACTCCAACAGACTCATTCCCAGGTACATTCTTGGATTTGTTTCATTTCTCTCCACAACTTTTTTAACTTCACTGTTTTTAATATGCAGTGTTTCTAGATAGAAATTTTAACATGATTGAACTGAAGAACTGATGCACACTAGAGCCTAGGGTTGTTTAAAATCTAATCTCCCTTAGATATTTATTTAGCAGAGACAGTCTACCCCAAGTGCTATAGATTTTAATCTAGAGAAGCTTATTGTTTTAAGAAATGGAAAACTAATGCTTGATGATGTTGGTTGTCTTGTAGAATTAACTAGAGCTTACAATCTCTACCACTGCTGTGTTTAGATCTAACAGATGAAGAAGTCAGTCGAACCATCATGGTTGACATGCTTAACTGTTTCATTTAATTACATGTTTTTTATGGTTAGTAAATAGAAAAGTGTAGTGCATACTATTTTATATAATTTTGTAAGCTAATTGAAGTTAAAGACAATATATTACATAGGACTAATATGCTGGGGATCAAAAATACTCAAGTAAATAATGATGTTAGTGAACTGTGAAATGCAAGTGAATACTGATTTGCTAATGATTAACAAGTTATCATAAAAGTTAGCATTGGCATTTGCCAGATTGTTGTTTGATTACGTGATTTGCCTGCTTTATTTAGTTTATTGTTGAGTGCTAACCAGCTGTACTGTTTCAGGGAAGAGTTTTCACACATAATCCGCCCAGTTATAGAAGGGTAGGGATATCAGCACATAGTTTTACGCACATGAATGGCTTGTGCTTCATAATACATAACAACTATTTTAACAGTTACATTTGTCATTATTTTTGTCATTATGGCAGGGTGGAGCAGTGAGCTGATATATGAGAATTTGACTCTGGACCTGACTGTCCAAATTATGAACACAAACTCTTGACTTCTTCTAGTTTTTATTTCATCTTTGACTCTCCTATCTGTGGAGATAGTTTAATCTCTGACTCTCCTACCTGTGGAAATAGTTTAATCTCTGACTCTCCTACCTGTGTAGATAGTTTAATCTCTGACTCTCCTACCTGTGTAGATAGTTTAATCTCTGACTCTCCTACCTGTGTAGATAGTTTAATCTCTGACTCTCCTACCTGTGGAAATAGTTTAATCTCTGACTCTCCTACCTGTGTAGATAGTTTAATCTCTGACTCTCCTACCTGTGTAGATAGTTTAATCTCTGGATCTCCTATCTGTGGAGATAGTTTAATCTCTGGATCTCCTACCTGTGGAGATATTTTAATCTCTGGATCTCCTATCTGTGGAGACTATCCCACTGAGCATAAAGACACTGACCTTTTACCTGCGCTGCCCTGCTGTATTGAAATTTTTACCTTTTCATCTTACACAACACTAAAATCCATTTTATCTGCCTTTAGCCTTAATTCACTGTAAAAAAACTAGATTTCATGTCATAACATGGTTGGTATAATAAGTAAACATTAACTGCACTTTATAGAAAAAAATGTTGACACTTTTTATGCCCAATGCTATTTTATAAACACCTCAACTGTGCTTTGCATTTTGACATCGGGTATCTGACGGAGTCTTTATTTCAGTGCATCAGCAGCATTGCTTTCATTAGTAGGAATAACACTAACATTTAGCTAAACCCACCATTAAGTTATTAAATCAGCCTGTGACCATTATTAGCATGACTAACTATGGCGTATATGAGGGAACTTAATTACATGAATTCTAGAGATAACATAAATCATCTATAAGTTCTAAAAGCATTGACACTCACAGCATATCAACTTAAAATTGTGTTTCTTATATTTCTACATCAGCCAATCACTAATATTTAGAAACACACTAAAAATGGTAAACTTGTTGTTAAGGCAAACCTAAACTTATAGGCTTTATACTTGACTTTGGATATAGTTATGACACCATCAATCTTTGATACTGCACAGCTTAGCCTAACACATTCTTTAAAAATTTGACCTACAGAAGGACTGAAACAAGAATTACAATTTTCCCGTCATACTTTTTAACATCATTTTTGTATCATACAGTGTGTATTTTTTAGTTGAGGCCTCTAAACAATTTTATTTTCCTCACCCAAACAAACAGGAACATTTTGTAAGTAAATACAATATAATAAATGTCTATCAAAATACAAAAGACTATAGATATTGGGCCTGAATCTTCCCTTCACTGTACCCTAGATTGTTTATCTGTTTCCTGTCTACCTTAATAATTCATCTCTTGTGTGGGAACAGGAGAGGGCGTTAATCCACTTGATGATAAGTCACTGCTAAAAATAAAATCATCCATACTTTTTTTTCCCAAGATATTTAAATAATATCTCTTTTCACTAATGCATCTGAATAATTTCAGTAGTTTATGGAATTATTTTAATTTTGTAAATAAAGTTTACCCCTAACAAAACTGGTGGGTTTTTATTTAATGTAATTATTTTGGTCTTTATTGAACTAGTCACCTACATCAACACCTGGGTTCTGTCTACCTGTATATTTCAAATTATCGTTTCCATTTGTTTTAAATGTTCCTTCCTTGTTACCATCTATATACAATAACATTCACCCACTACAAGTCAATGTTGCTTTTGAAGGCAAAGAAAACAGTGTATCAATGTAAACGGGTGTACCTTAGTATTCCATGTTTTCACCGCTAGAGTTGAATGTTTTATCTTGAATCCAACTACAATTATTTTTTTAATAATTGTTAGTACTTCTACACTTCAAAACTCAGGACTTAATTATCAGTAGCATATTTTTGGTCATTTTTATTGTAAACACTTCTCTTTTGATCACTGCTTCAACTGTTAAAATAAAACAAGGTTAACATTTGTGGACAGATTCAACCTGTAGAGGGTTAAACACATGGTTTAATTTTGTAACTGTGCAAATGAGATTTTTTTAAATACATGACCTCTGTAACAAAGATTACAGTATAACCACTTCAAACAAAGACTTCTTTGACCTGACCTCTCATATGACCACCTCTAACAAAGACTGCTATATGACCACCTCTAACAAAGACTGCTATATGACCACCTCTAACAAAGACTGCTATATGACCACCTCTAACAAAGACTGCTATATGACCACCTCTAACAAAGACTGCTATATGACCACCTCTAACAAAGACTGCTATATGACCTCCTCTAACAAAGACTGCTATATGACCACCTCTAACAAAGACTGCTATATGACCACCTCTAACAAAGACTGCTCTATGACCTCTAACAAAGACTGCTATATGACCTCCTCTAACAAAGATTGCTATATGACCTCCTCTAACAAAGACTGCTCTATGACCTTCTCTAACAAAGACTGCTATATGACCACCTCTAACAAAGATTGCTATATGACCTCCTCTAACAAAGACTGCTCTATGACCTCCTCTAACAAAGACTGCTCTATGACCTTCTCTAACAAAGACTGCTATATGACCACCTCTAACAAAGACTGCTATATGACCACCTCTAACAAAGACTGCTATATGACCACCTCTAACAAAGACTGCTATATGACCACCTCTAACAAAGACTGCTATATGACCACCTCTAACAAAGACTGCTATATGACCACCTCTAACAAAGACTGCTATATGACCACCTCTAACAAAGACTGCTATATGACCTCCTCTAACAAAGACTGCTATATGACCTCCTCTAACAAAGACTCTTGTTTTACCCAATAGTAGGAAAGCACTGTGAGTATGTCAGCTAAACTAGCACAACACAACTCAGGTTTTGGGTTTTCATTACATTAGGTATTTGACTGTATACCCTGGCATTTGTTTTAATACTTAAATCTTGTATCTATAATGAAAACACTTGACTTTATTAAGCACATCACTATTTGCACTCAGCAATGAGATAAAGTATCACTAGGATTGGTGAATGTCCAGGATATACAGTAGTGGGGCTGGAGTGTAATGGTGAAAGAGGTGTAGCTCAGTGGGGGTTTATGTGGCTTTCTTCTCTAGCTGTGGTCCAGGTGGGCTCATGTGGCTTTCTTCTCTAGCTGTGGTCTAGGTGGGCTCATGTGGCTTTCTTCTCTAGCTGTGGTCCAGGTGGGTTCATGTGGCTTTCTTCTCTAGCTGTGGTCCAGGTGGGTTCATGTGGCTTTCTTCTCTAGCTGTGGTCCAGGTGGGCTCATGTGGCTTTCTTCTCTAGCTGTGGTCCAGGTGGGCTCATGTGGCTTTCTTCTCTAGCTGTGGTCCAGGTGGGCTCATGTGGCTTTCTTCTCTAGCTGTGGTCCATGTGGGTTCATATGGCTTTCTTCTCTAGCTGTGGTCCAGGTGGGTTCTACTGGTTACTGATGGGTTAGTGAGTACCATCAGCACATACAACTGTATGGTGACAGATATCTTGCTCTTTAGATTTTTTTTTTATTTCTAGACATGTTAATGAATTTTTTTTTAAACTAAATTTTAAGAACATTTGCTGTAGTTGGTAGAAATACTGTCTTAATCCTCATCAAATGGAGAGTAGGCATGCAAGTTGTGGAAATAAATAACAACTTTTTAATTTATTACTTTTTAAATTGGTAAAAAATATCAGGAATTTTGTTTCTTTGAAACTGTAAAATAACTTTTTAATTGACTCTGATCAATATATGTTGGTTACCCATTGGCTAATGACCTGCTAGTGGTGTGTAAGCTCTTGCTGATCAATGTTGCCCTGTGGGTGTTCTCTATTTAAATGTCTTTGATACCTCTTACTGTCTCGTTGTTATTAATCTTTAAAAAATAAAGAACACCTTTCATGCTGTTTTTTTTTGTTTGCACACAATAAAAATTTACAGGTTTTCTTGTACTACTATGTTGTTTTTAAAAGAAAATATTTGAAACAAAAAATAGGATGCAATAACTCTTAGAAGAAATAAAATTATTTTATTTTTAATAGCTTAGTATTATAATTTTATTTTTTTTAGAAAAATAAAATCAAGATTAAATTTCAGAAACAGTTTCTGCAATGAGCTATGGAATTTTTTTTTAAAACAAAGCCTTTTTGTTCACACAGAAATATGCTAAATTTAAAACAGAATTAATGTTTAGACCTCATGTCTACATCAGCATTCTCAGATAATCTTTAATTAAACCACTGGCAAAAAGTTAATAATGCAGTTCATAGAGTGAAATGCAAATATTTGATACATTGTTGACTCTAAAAGAGATTTTTCTAGTTTTTTATTTATCACTGAGGTTAGTAGAATTGTACAATTATATCTCTTGATAAATAGATAATACATTAATTGCATGATAGTAATCACTAAAACAACATTAGACATATTATGGTGTTTTATAAAAGGGTTCTAGTTTTTGGGGCTTTATCTTTATTATGCAAATTTTTTCTACATGATTAAGCCTTCACATATTTTTCTTGCTTTTTTTGTACTGTTGGCTGCTCCAGCTTAAATATTTTACTAATGGTTTACATTCTAGACTTCTACACACATTTGAGAAGAATCTTAATTTTTATCCCTAATTAAAATTTCAGACAGTAAAAGTAAAATTCTTACTCATAGTTATAATAAATGTTTAGGAAAACTAGAAATTTTAAACTAGTCTAAACTAATTAGAATTTATTTAAAATACATTTTCACACTATTTCTATATTCTGTTTACTTATTAATTAAAAATTTAAGTTTCTCTTTCCACACTTTCTGAATAATTTTTTTAACATTAGTTTTGAGAAAGTGAAAATAAAATTGCCAAACCCTTTAAGGAATGTTTGAAGTTGAATTCCAACACACTGACAGTTTTAGTGAGTGAAAGTAAGTTACCCTACAACTGGTGTGTGTATGTGTACTTTCAGCACCACGTACGGCCTGCCACTGTCTCCGGCAGCTGATGCATGCAGGTCTGCTCGTCACGCTCTGTCGCTCATTGCTACAGCGCGACCTCCGGCCTTTATTATCACCATGGCCAAAGAGGTGGCCCGCTACAACGCCCTGGCCCAGAATGCCCAGCACCAGAACACCCACATACAGAACGTCATTTTGGCCAGGGCCTCTGCTGAAATTTTGCACATCATTGAGCTGCTGGTGGAGAAGATACCCAATGATGTGGCTGATCTCATTGTTGAGGTAAGTGTGTGGGATTAAATTTATTTGTTTTACAATGGTTAATTCATCCTTATACCGCGTTTACACTTGCGACATGTATACTATACATTTCTAGGAAAAAAAACTTCGCAATAAGTGAGTAGGCTCCCCTATTATCTTAGGCCCTATAGCGAAGTTTTTTTTTCTAGACATGTATAGTATACATGTCGCAAGTGTAAACCCGGTATTAAACCCTATGGATGATCTGTGGAGACTGTTGAAGGGCCCATTGCTAGCTCAAACGTCTTAAGATTCTAGGCTAGATGGAAACCTCACAAGAATTTAGATTCCAGGCTAGATTGAGGTTTCTTTTCACTACAAGTTGGACTAAATTTACTTTCAGTTCTGTCTGTTTCTTCACTGAGTGACAAAGGAGAGAAATTGATATTAAAACAAGATATTTTTTCTCTTATGTCAAGTGTAAACTAAATGATTTCAACTTTGCAGGCTATGGATGTGACAATGTTTTGCCTTGACCTTGCTGCGTTGAAGGCTAAAGGTTTGACAGATCTTTTTCCAGCTATTTGCAGGTTTGTCAGTTGTTTATTTATTTTTCAAGTCACTCGTAAAGTAAAAAATTGCTTGTTTTGTATTTAATTCATTTTAACTAAGCTCTGAAATATTTTAGGTTTAGCATGGTTGCCTACTGAAATATTTTATCCTTCAGGTTTAGCATGGTGGCCTACTGAAATATTTTAGGTTTAGCATGGTTGCCTACTGAAATATTTTATCCTTCAGGTTTAGCATGGTGGCCTACTGAAATATTTTATCCTTCAGGTTTAGCATGGTGGCCTACTGAAATATTTTATCCTTCAGGTTTAGCATGGTGGCCTACTGAAAGTTTTTATCTTTTAGGTTTAGCATGGTGGCCTACTGAAATATTTTATCCTTCAGGTTTAGCATGGTGGCCTACTGAAATATTTTATCCTTCAGGTTTAGCATGGTGGCCTACTGAAATATTTTATCTTTTAGGTTTAGCATGGTTGCCTACTGAAATATTTTATCTTTTAGGTTTAGCATGGTGGCCTATTGCCAGTCAACCAAGAGGGTTTGGGTTGGAGCCAAAAATGGTACAATAGCTTTGTATGAGATGAAACAGCATTCAAAATGCCAGGTAATATCTATCCTAATGTCATGATATTTTAAACTTATTACATGACAGTTGTCATGATTTTTAAAACATGTCACATGACTTATGTCAAGATATTGTAAATATATTACATTACATGTTAGGATATTGAAAACATATTCGGCTATATTACATACCAGCATATTGTAAAAATAGTACATGGATCTCGTTTGTTTTACCTTCAAAATGATATGACAGATTTCTAAAGGTTTTTTTTTAATTCTAAACTTTTAAAGCTTTATAACATAATATACAGAATAAACCATAATCTTTAAAAAAAAAGTAGTTTTACATCATCATTAATGCTACCTGTAGTATTGGCCTTTTAATATTTTGTTTACTTTATGTAGTTGATACCCCAGTAAAACCACATATATTTGTGTATTCTGTCCTCCAGACAATCAATGGCCACCAGGGAATCATCACCGCAGTAGCTGTCAATGCTGATGGGAAATACCTGGCCACTTTTTCACATGTTGACTGCAAGCTCAAATTTTGGCAGGTACGTGCCAGTTTGGCTGCCAATTTATTTTACTCCTGTTTCCTATGATCTGACTTCAACTCTCAAAACAAATTCATACATCAAAAGTTCTATAACACTAGACTTTGGGCCCCTAGGCCATTGATCTATCTTGGAGGCCAATCACTGAAGTTTTTCTCCATTGTGGAATCCACTCTCATCTGTGTAAAGATGTTCTCTAGTTTTTTTTAAGAAGAGTATATCTCAATATTTCATTGTGAACTTGACTGCAGACTACACCTTATTCATATTTTGTATGTAAAAAAAAGACTGCAGTTAACTGAGTTTTAAAACTGGGGAGGTTATAATCAAATATATGTAGAATCAGTTCATCCAGCTCTGATGGGTACCTGACTTACATTGGGGAAAGTATAGGCTGCTGGACATAGTGCTGACCACACTATCCCTTTATATACTGAAGTCAAGAAACATATGAACTCTACTTCATCTGCCCAATGGATCACTAACTCTAAAGAGAAACTTTATGTTGTTTTTTTCTTACAGTTTACTGATCATTAAATGTCAAAACTGGTTTCTTTCAGACTCCATCCAATTCGTTGTTTGGGATAGGATCCCAGCAAACAAAGCTGCTAAAGACCTACAACACACCACCTGTATCCACCACAGCGGCCGTCAACATCTTAAAACTGGTGCGGCTTGTCTGGGTGGACAAGAACGTTGTGGTGTTGCTGACAGTGGACGGTCAAGAATTGAAGTACAACATCTGATCTAAGATTGGACGGTCAAGAATTGAAGTACAACATCTGATCAAAGATTGGACGGTCAAGAATTGAAGTACAACATCTGATCTAAGATTGGACGGTCAAGAATTGAAGTACAACATCTGATCAAAGATTGGACGGTCAAGAATTGAAGTACAACATCTGATCAAAGATTGGACGGTCAAGAGTTGAAGTACAACATCTGATCTAAGATTGGATGGTCAAGAATTGAAGTACAACATCTGATCAAAGATTGGATGGTCAAGAATTGAAGTACAACATCTGATCAAAGATTGGACGGTCAAGAATTGAAGTACAACATTTGATCAAAGATTGACTTTATTCAATGGATTTCTTTGTTGACATTCCTTTTTTAAATCTCTTTTACTGGATATATTTAGGCTATACTGAATTATTATGGATGATGATGAGATTTAAAAAGTCAGGGTTCAAAATGGTTTGCATAAATGTGATTAGAATGATTGTGATATAGATTGTAAATACGTGGGACATTGAGCCATAAAGGTATTTATTTTATAATACACCATGGTTTCAGAGTAAACTATAAAGGGAGACAACTTTTGTTTTGCTCAATAGAGTTACTACATGTTTTTCAGTCATGTTTAGAATTTTTTTACATCATTTCCCTTTTCATAGCATCTCTTTTCATGATGTCTATAAGTGATGGTTAGCTGTTGGTTGTAATGTCGGTTAGATAAGTAGCTTCACCATTATATGTGAATTATTGGATAAGTGTATTAAGTGTTCATGAATTGAATCTTATAAAAAGTTCTAAATAAAATGTTTAAAACATTATAGGTAATAACTCAGCTGTGCAATATATTTTATCTCTTACATATTCTGTATTTTATTAAAAGTACTAGTAATTGTAAAATGTTTAATTCTTTACATTGTACATGGTCAGAAATGTTATATTTTATGCCAAGTGTGTAGTCTGTATAATCATATAATATCTCAAGGGGTTCTATTTCCATATGTAAAGTTTCCAAATGTACAAGTTATTCCCTATAATCTAGTAGCAAGTCTATAACTGTGTACTACTCAAGATTTAAAAATGAATCCCTTTAGGAATTAAAATAATATCATAGTTAGCTCAAGCACTGTCATTGTTATTTATCCTAGATATTTATTTTTAGTTATGCCCTATTATTTGATGTTTAATACATCATCAGATTGTTAAGTTTAATATATTTTTAGTGAAGTCCTATTATGGACTTTTAGTAAATCATCAGATTGTTTAGATATATGTATTGTTATGATCATTTTTCCCTGACACTGTTCTAGATTGATTGAAATTTGTGAATGTGAACATCTATTTATTTAAATTCAGTATTAAAACACTTTCTTATATTTATGAGAAACTCAATTGTGTAAACCTGAAATAATGTGATTTTGACAATCAAAAGAATTGTATATTTAAAAAGCAAATTTTAACAATTTCTACAAAATTGTTAGATTTCTGAAATCTAGAAACTGTAACTTTATTTAAATATTAGTGGAGGTTTATTTGATTTTTTGTTTAAAAGAAACTTTTACAATATATTTTTATAACCGTGACTGTGTGTGTGAAGTGTCAGGGATACAAATGTGTTACTCACAATGTGATATGGTGTCTTTCATGCTAATCATCTTGTACATTCATGTCTTAAGGATTTTCTTTTTGTGGAAAAACTACCAACGTTTTTTTAAAACCTTTTTTATATCAGATAGTATACATTTAACATAATTTTTAGAAAACAAAAGTTTGTAACATCATTTAATTTAATGCTTGAATTAAATGTACATTGTTTAAAAACAAAATAAAATTACATCCCAACATAAACTGTCTTTTTAAAGTAAATAATACAAATAACACATCCTGGCAACACTGATCCACATTGCCAGCTATACTGTCACATACGAGGTCCAAACAACAGGATTACTTGCTGCAGAGATGTTATACATGTAGTTAAAGAAAATTGGGACAGACTAGAAAGATGATTAAGAAAAAGGTAAAAATGATTAGGAAAAGGTTAGAGCTATCATGGTGTCCTTGAGAATGTAATATAACTATATATCAGATACTATTTTATAGGGAAAAAAATTGTAAAAGATCTAAAAATCTACTTTACAAGAAGGATGCTACAAAATCAGAAAAAATATTCTAATTCTACAGCAAAGATCCTATGAAACCTGGAAAACTATTCTACAGGAAAAGATGGGGGAAAATATGTAAAAATAGTGTTTTGGTTCACTATAAACCAAAGTAAATAAATCAATCTAAGTAGAACAAAAGCTAAAAGTTACCCTTGTGGCCATTCGGGCAGATAACTGAGTTCACCAAGTTGTTGGGCAATGTTTAGCCACACTGGGACGAGGGGGGGGGGGGAGGTCTGTTCCACTGTAGAAGACAAGAATACATGAGAAATATTAAACAAAAACACTATTAATTACATACTTTCAAATTCACTAAATCGACCTATTTTCTTTAGTTACAATAGTAAACATATAGTGTATGTCCCAAAGGGTATGTAAACGTTTAATGTTATAGCATGGCAAAGAATATTTTTAAGAGCTTGTTATTATACCAGGTAGTAGTTTTATTTGATAATTTTTTTATATTTAGATATTGAAAACATTATTCTACTGTGTCTATTCTTTCCAAGTCCATCGTTTGTAGGTTGACACTGTAGGACACTGCTGTTTGGACTATACTCTATTGACGTATGTTACTCGAGTTACTCGAATATCCTTCAAAAAAACTACACTACACTATTAGTTCTATTATATGCCTCTTAGAAGGTTGGTTTCAGGAACAAAAAATCTGCAATGTGACCTAATCTAAGTTTGTGAAAACGGAAAACTCGACGCACCCACTACCCTATGTTAAATGTGAAGTTTCATCATCTGTAGTAATTTAGTTAGAGTGGGTTTTTTTAAGGCTAATTAGAATCTAGTAGACCTAATTACGCCCATATGCCTATAATATAAAATAAATGGTAACTTGAACCAGTGTCTCTTCCAGACTTTTTTCTTTGGGGGGGGGGGGGGGGGGGGGAAGGGGCACTTGATATTTTCGGGGGGGGGGGGGGGGTTAACATTTTCCAGGGGGGGGGGGGCGGATACTGGTGAAAGTATATGTTTTCTATATAAATTCCATGTCGTTCGGGAGGGGGTGGGGGCTCCGAAGAGTTGCCTGGAAGAAACTTGAAATAATTAAAAGCATAATCATTAAATAATATTTAGATCCAGGCCAAGGCTTAATACGTTTAGCGTCAAACGGAGGTAAACAGATAATCATTTCTAGTAAAAACGGACAAGAAGGCTGTTCGGCAGGTTTGTGTTTTTATTTAATAAAATACGCAATTTAATATGTCGTAATACCGCTCCGCTTCCACAACTGAATGATCTATAATAGTTAACACGGGCGAAGTGAGTGTAGCGGAATGGTTTAAATTAAATTTTAGTAATGTTTTTTTTTTTTAATAGAAGAGCGAATTAAATCAAAACACTGCCCGTGTTGACTGAAATATGAGGGAATTAATCTAAGAGTATGTTAAATAAACTTGTACGCATGGGGGTCATCCATAAATGACGTCACGCTTTTTTTGACGATTTTTACCTCCCCCCCCTCCCCTCCGTCACACGTCGTCACAAAAAGCCAGACCCCCCCCCCCTAAAATGACGTCACACCTCAACCTACAACCCCCCCTCAAAATTGCAGTTAAATTTTTTTTAAACATCGATATTTTTCCAAAATCTTGTCTAAACTATTACAATTTATTAAAACAGTTATCTAAAACGCGAAATAACGTCTAAAATTCGTTTTCTAACATTGCTTTTTTATAATGCAAAAATGTGACGTCGCAACATCTGACCCCCCCCCCCTCCCCCTCATCACACATCGTCACAAAATTACGGACCCCCCCCTCCCCCCTACGAGTGTGACGTCATTTATGGATGACCCCATGTCAGATTTACACAGGCCAGTGATGAATGTATTTGTAAGATTTAAAGAACGTATAATTATTGTCTTCACGACATTTATCGATTTAAAAAATTGTAAATTGTAAATAGAAAACGATACCGGCGCCAAGTAGCCAACATTTTTAATTAACGAAAAAATGTTTTATCCTAGATTATGGGACGTTTAAGTAGGCCTATTTTCGATTCTACGTGATGAAAAGCACCTTGACGGATGACCTACGAATAGGAATTTTTGCCCAAAAAATAACTCAAGAACATTTCAGGGGAGGCTACACTGCCAAAGAAAACGTATCAGGGGAAGGAACTATTACAAAAAATAATTATTTTATTAAGTTGATTTGTCGTGTTAATTTCATGTTATATTTAACTTTTAGTACAAAGTATTACTGTATTAACAATTTAATTTTTACCATTTAGTTTATTACTTGAATAATTGCTTGATAATTAATTTTTGTTACATAATTAAAATAATTATAATTATATTTTTAAAACCATAATATTTATATTTTAATGATATTATATATATTCTGAATTTCCATATTTAGTCAGTTATCAATGGGAATCATGTTCATAATGATTCGAAATTCTTTGACGGGAGTACCATCTCCCCCACTGTTCTCAATATTACGATCGGATTCTAGTTGGCGTCGCAAGTCTAGAAAAAGGTATAGACCAGGGGTCGGCAACCTGCGGCTCGCGAGCCGCATGCGGCTCTTTTGATATCAAGATGCGGCTCTCCAACTCTTTGAACAAATACTAATAATCTTAATAAAACATAACATATTTTAAATTAAAAAATGTTAGTGGCTCTTTAAAACCAGGGAAATTTTGAAAATTGTAACTTTTGGCTCTTCCGCTTCAAAAGGTTGCCGACCCCTGGTATAGACTTGATAATTAACAGATCACGACATAGTAATAATTCGTATCTTAAATTCACCCACACACAACCCTTGAAGGCCTATATTGGCACAATTGTCTAAACTATTTGTTCATATTTTAAGAATTATGTGAAGTATCCCATTATTAATCACAAAATGGGATGTTCATCATTTTTGTTATAATTTCGGGGTTTTAAAACATTCAATGTCGGAGTTTTATCATATTTATAAGTCGTTTTTTTTTTGTTTTTTTTTATTTATTTATTTAATTTTTGTAAAAGAAACTAAGAATTTGCGAAACATAGATTTATTTCTGTATGGCTACATTTTACTAATCTCGTTCAGAAAAGTGTGAAGTCATATTAAAGTAAATGGTTTTCTTTTGTCTAGCAGACGTCAGAAATGGCTTCCAGCATAGACTAGGTCATCCATGTTTTCTTTTGCTTGACTTTACACTTTACGGGTAAAGCGATGTAACAAATTTGACACGATTGAAACAAAATGTACGTTACTAGGTCCTACCTGTAAGGTCTACACAAATAAAAATGCAGTGACTAAAGTGTTCTCATCAACAAGATATATACACGTCAAGATAAATTACTCTTAATTACCTTATAAGCAATTTTTGTTGATTTTAATTTTAGTCGTATATACCCTACGTGGACGGCAGGAGGAGGGGGAGATACGCTGTGGCAAAAGCAGGGATTATTAGGGAGCCTTTTAAAATCTCATGGAACTCAATTTCAATGTATTAATGTCGATATTATATTCGTGTCGTTTTTACAGTAATTTACACTATTTTATGGCATCAATATTATTTATTGTAAAGGGAAATCAATACTGCATTAAAATATAAAGGGAGGCTACTTCATAAGTTTGTTGAAGTTTTAAAATCTTTATTTATAAAGCAAAAGTATTAATTTATTAAAATTTAATTCTCAGATTATTATAACTGCCATAATTTTACATTCATATTTGGCATTGTGTAATGAAGTTTATGTTTAACTAATATTTGTAGAAACATTTTTTTTTATTTAGTAATATTTTTGCAGCTTTATATGAAGTCTTGGGTTTTTTGTATATATTATTTATGTCCCTCTGTTATGGTATGTTTTTTTTGATCACCTTGTACGTATTTTACTCTTTGGTGGGAGTCACACTACCCCGAAATATCATAATATCATGAACAGAAATAGCCTCTGAACTACCCTAGTCCAGGGGTCGGCAACCTATTGAGTCGAAAGAGCCAAAAGTTATAAATTACAAAATTTCCCAGTTTTTTAAGAGCCCTAACATTATTTTTCCAATTTGATTAGAATTAAGTAAATAAATTTAATTGTTTATTTCAAATAAATACCGGGTAAATATGAACTAATATTGATTCATGGAAAAACATGTTTCGCACAAAAAAGTGTTTTAGCTAGCTCTGCTATGAGTAAGTTAGTTATCAAATAATGTAACTATAGGACAATCCCAATCCACATTAGAAGCCAATAACTTTGTTTTTTTCTTTCTTTACGGACACTACTGGCTCAGGAGGTGTCTCCCATAGCCAAGCAGCCCTCAACTAACTGGCTTAGATATAGGTTTGATAACTGAATCGGTCGCTTCTGTCCTTCGGTTCTCACAGTGCTTATCTTCCACCCTACTTGTTCCCCACAGTCCAGTACCTGGCTCCACCGTAGGATACTATAACTAAAATACTTCGAAGAGGGATGCATTCTGAATAAAATAACATTCCCCATTTAACGATATTCGAAAAAGTCGGCACTTCAGCAGTGGCAATAGTGGAATGGTCGACGGGGGGCTGGCTACAGCACGGCTGTGGGGTTGGGCCTGGTGCCAAAGCGGCTGTCAGCTTCCATTTACTTTCTACCTCACCTATTCTCACTGTTCTCTGATGAGTTTTTTAATCCTATTTAAAGTTGTTTTTCTTTACAGTAAATATTTTTATGAGTTTAGAAAATGAAATAATATAATTATTAATCATTGTGCATGGAACTCGAGAGCCGCACCTTGACATCAAAAGGTTGCCCACCCCTGCCCTATTCATATGCATGTGGCAATTAAATTTAAACAAGCTTTTAATATGCATGTGGCAATTTAAACAAGCTTTTAATAACACATCTTCACATCCGTTTTCCTTGTCTTGTGATTGAAGCAGAGGCGTAGCGACCCTTCCCGGCGCCCGGGGACAAACTTTTCGATTTGCACCTCCCCCCATCAAACTTTCGATTTGCACCCCCCCCCCTCGAGATTTCCATTTGCACCCCCCCCCCCCTCCGTCAACCTTTCAATTTATTTTTCCAACTCATTTTGGCGCCCCCTAAGGTCGGCGCCCGGGGACATATGTCCCGCCCCCCCCTCGCTACGCTACTGGATTGAAGCTCCACCCAACTCACATCTAGTGCAACTATATGTTTTATACTTGATAGACTAGAAGTAGGTGCACCTATGACAATGTAAGGACACTTTTAATATTTATTTTAAAAAGGTTCTTATTAGCATTATAAATATATAGGCCTATATATATATATATATATATATATATATATATATATATATATATATATAGGCTATATATATACTCCATTTTAAGTGACTCATTTTCCAAAGGCCAATCCCAAAAATAAATGCTGCATTCCAAACCATTGACTCCAGCTATAAATGTTTCAGTCCTAACAGCTGACTCCAGCTATAAACATTTCAGTCCTAACATCTGACTCCAGCTATAAACATTTCAGTCCTAACAGCTCTCCAGCTATAAATGTTTCAATCCAAACTATTTACTCGACCAAATTAATTCTGAAGTCCTAGACCTTTAAACCACAAAACGCAACTAATATAAAAACTATGCTGTTCAAAATTGTAGGCTGCTTGAAAATATGGTAGTTGAAGAAAAATATCACAAATTAAGAGTTTTACCAAAAATATTTAATTTAATACTCAGGTGCATACAGAAACAACAATAACATTTGGGACTGCAATGTTTTTAAGGCACAAGAATAGCAAATTTATACAGTATCCAAAAGGAAATCCTTAGATGGAAAAACAAAGTACAGTCAATCTGAGCAGTACACACACTGCCACAAAATTAACAATAACAAACTGAAATAAAGTTACCATCCTAATAAAATATTTCAAGAAATGTTATATCACCACTGTGGTAAACAGTATTGTTACATAGTAGCAATAGTTCCATTATACATTAATGGATTATTATTAGGAATACAGCACTGATTATTTGTGTTGAAAAAGCATTCAATAAATATAAAAATAAAAAGAGTACTAAAGATATAATTCATCAATTATTATGTCAGATTTACTATAATCTCATAATGTGTGCAGAAAGAAATTGTGGATTCTTAAAATGTAAAGATTTTATTAAAAATATGATCAACAGAGAAATAAATTTTTAAAAAATTATCTACAAATGGTTTTACAATAAAATTTTGCCATTTTATTTATTCTGCTCAGTGCATAGAGTCTAGATTAATGTAATTTTAAGAAGAATTTTTTTTAACAATATAGTATATGGGTTTTTTAAATTTCATTTAAAAACATGAAAAGAAATGGTAATCAAAATTTAACCATTTTTAAAATAAAAAGTATTAACTCTTTATCGTTCTAGGTCATTACATCAGTATGCAATCAAAATAATATTACAATGCCATTTAATTATTTCATTGTATATTTATTTAATAAAAGTAAAATAATACAACTAATGTCCAACTGTGACTAGCAGTCAGGTGAACAGGTAAGACTTTGGGTTCATCAATTAGAAACCACTTTTCATTAAGTGACAACAATATTAAACATGTCAAAAAAAAACAACCATTTTAAATCACAGGTTATTTTTTCACAGTGTTCTCATAACAATTTTTCTTTGGTTTTAATTGAAATATATCAAAAGCACAGGCATATCATAACTTGGATGAAACAGGTGGATCGTTTAACTCCTCCGCTACTAGCAAAGATGGCAGCTGTTTTGGCATCATGCGGTCTGGCTCTTGGTTAGGGTCACAACGGTACTTAGAGAAGTCTGTGACCCCTTCAGATCTCAAATAATCTTCATCTATTAAGGCTTTTCCATTTAATCTAGCAGAAAAAAAAAATCAATATTAGAAAATTAATTAAGTACAAAAAAAAGTTTAACAAATATTTTTCAAGTTGAAACACTTAAAAGAAGTGTTTAAAAATTTCAGGTATGAAACTGAAACAGACAACATTTTTTTATTAACATCCTCTTTATAAAGTAAATACATCAGCCTTAACTGCATTTAAACAAATTTATAATATAATATTAATTATTTATTGATAACATAGAATATGTAACAAATAAAATTAAAAATTACTTGTCAGTCTTTTCTTCTGCAATACCAAAACAGGCATCAGCAAAAATGGTTGACTTCCTCATGTAACATGGTGCCAAGTTCCGTACCTGAGTCACATGACTCTCTATAACTGTGGCAGGCCATAGAGCACTGATTGACACACCTGCAGAAGGTGGGTAAATTATGTTGAGTAAGAATGGGGATCTAGGACTAGTCGTATGACACAGTGAATTATACTTCGGTCTAACAGTGACAATGCTATCAGTGTTTCTTCCAGACTTTTTTCTCCGGGGGGGGGGGGCACTTGAAATCTTCGGGGGGGCGGTAAACTTTCTTCGGGGGGGCGGACACTGTTAAAAGTATATATTTTCTATATAAATTATATAAATTTCATTTCGTTCGGGGGGGCGGTAAAAATTTTTCGGGGGGGCTTCGCCCCCCCGAAGAGATGCCTGGAAGAAACTCTGAATGCTATTCAGCTAAGGCATAAATAATGTTTTCTAATTGTCTTTTCTAGAGGGACAAATATTTTGTTTTCATCAGTGGCTTAATTACCTGTTTCTTGCAACTCATTAGCCAGCCCATGCACCAGCACAGTCATTGCCACCTTTGTCATTGAATAGGGAGTTTTACCTTTAAAAAACCTGGAAAATATTAAAAACAAAGTGAAACAGATATTGTTTTCCAATCGACTAGGCCCAATTGACATTCTATTTTTACATATATACTCCCTACCTGTTATATATAGGAGGTGAAACCAGTATCAAACGTCCTGTCTTCCTTTCAAGCATGTGTGGTAATATATTCTGCACCATGCAGTAAGCGCCCCGAGCATTGACTTGGTTCATCAAGTCCCATCTCTTAAGTGGAGTTTCCTGAACACTTTTCCACAAAACAGCTCCTGAAAGTCAACAGAAAATACCTTCTTAAGAAAAAAAAACAATATCTGCCACATAGCGCACCACACCTGGGTGTCCAGTAAATGAGGTATCGCAAGTTTCCTAGGTGTGGAGAGCCCTTTCCACTACTCTTATCTGACTATTTCTAATTGAATCTACATTATCTTATGTAGTGTAAATAATTTACCTGCATTATACACAGCAACATCCAGGTGACCAAACTGTTCCACGCATCTGCTTAATGTATTGGTGATGTTTTCTTCAGTTCGGACATCACAGCATACTGGAAAAGCTTTGCCACCTTTGTCTTCAATTTCTTTTACAACATCATAAATTGTACCTAAAATTAAGATTGAAAAAAATGTGCTGTTGTTTTTTTTTTAATTTCGCTCTTTGATACTGTTGCAAGGAGAAGTCTCATTAAAAGGATATTACGTATGAAAGATATTGTTGTGATGACTTTCACTAACAGTGAGTTTTGGGTAGGCCTAAAATGTAATGAGTGCAGCTAAATATTACACAATCCTTACCTGGTTGCTTCTCATTTGACTCGGTAGTTTTTGCAGCTACACAAACTTTGTATCCGTTTTCTGCAAACTTCAATGCGATTTGTCTTCCAATGCCTCTTGATCCTCCTATCACTAGAGTAGAGCACTCTTCATATTCCTGGTTTTAGTTTTACACTTTCACAAAGCTTGTAACTTGTAGCAAAATTTTACAATTTGAAATTTGATTTCAATAACAAGACTTAGAAGTAGGTTTTCTGAATATAGGCAGTATATAATATATTGATTATATTCAACATTGATATTAATATTATTAACTTTAACTTATTAAATAGCATAGAATATGGTTATTAGAGGCTGTAATAAATTTAAATTAATAAGGCTAGGCCTCTATCATAGTCTATCTATATTAATATTTTAATAGCCTAGAGTAAATTTATGATTAGGCCTAATCTTACTAATAGATTTTGTCATAAAATATCATATAGATCTAGGCCTAGATCTACTAGAGATTACTTTCTTTCTACATGCAAGAAGTAGAAGCAAAATGAACTTTGACACAAGAACACTGAGCAGTAAACAAAGAGGGTGTGAACTGTGAACGGATTGGTTAATTTAATAATTTAGTAGTTAGATCTAGTTGAACAATGAAGAGCTGACTCAGTGACCATGTCACTGACACTTTGTCTAGTAACTAGATCTAGAAATTCTAGATCTAGAATCTAGAGTCTATAAAGAATAAAGAGTAAAGGGGCGTCTGCGGACAGACGTAGCAAAAAAAAAAATCGGAACTCTTGATTTCCATTGAGCACCATTCAGTAACCGTTTCACATAGATCTAGAAACAAACCGAAAGTACTGTGTTACTCGCATTCTTTCTAGAAACTAGACTAGATCTAGTCTAGATCTAGATTAGTAAAAAGTTTAATCCGTATGAGTCATACGTAATTACGTATTCAATATTCAAGAACAGCAGTGATGAATTTCTGAACTATGAAATGAATGATGATTGCTGATTGATTGAATGAATGAAATGAGTAGATTTAAAAATTAAAAAGACATTGAATTTTATAGGCCTATTTAAAAATTAGATCTAAATTCTATATCAAATCTTGATTCTGGTTTCATATTTGTTTCTAAATCTAGATTCTATATCTACTCCACTCGCCATATTTTTATTAATACAAAAAGATTCTTTTTTGTTTAGTAAACAATGTTTACTGATGATGTTTACTTTTCACTTTTTGCTTGTCGTAGTCACGTTACACATCAAATATTGTCAGATAAATATTTTTACAGCTAGCCAAATATTATATTATATTTATAGATCTAGATCTACCATTTGATTTCACTTTTTAGATTAATTTTACTGTTATATCTACTAGGGGGGGGGTCCGTAATTTTTTGACGGTGTGTAATGAGGGGGGAGGGTTCAGATGGTGTGACGTCACACTTTTGCTTTATAAAAAAGCAATGTTAGAAAACGAATTTTAGCCGCTATTTCGCGTTTTAGAAAACTGATTTAATATATTGTAGTATGAATTAATTAAAATACTCCATGTTGACACAGTTCCGACAAGATTTTGGAAAAATAGCGTTTAAGAAAAATTCAACTGCAATTTTAGGGGGGGGAGTTGTATGATAAGGGGTGTCGTCATTTTAGGGAGGGGGGAGTCTGGCTTTTTGTAAAGATGTATGAGAGAGGGTAGGGAGAAGATAATATGAAACTTCTTCTTTCTTAATTTTAGTGTTGGAAGGGATCCCCTCCAACACAATTAAGTATGTCAACTGGTTATGCGCCATTGGAGGCCATTGACTCCGATTTCAGCCTGCTTTTCTCTTTAGATTTGCTTCCATAGCCTTTGTCCAACCAAGAACAAACTACAAGGCAGCAGTTTGATTTTGGAGTTATCTCTCCTAGAAGAGTTGCTGTCCCCAGCTACAGAGCCTCATCTGTCCGAGGGTTCGAACTTGAGACTTTTAGGTTTAACAAACACAATAAGCTTTACCGATTCGACATTTTTTGTCTTGTTTTCTGTTACTTAAAATTTGACTAATTTTTGTTATTATAGTTATTTAGTGTTGTAAAAATATATAATAATAATATTTTCAGAGAGTCTAACGCCCCCTCCCCCACCCTAACGAAATGGAATGTATATAGAAAATATATACTTTTAACAGTGTCCGCCTCCCCCACCCCAAAAATTTCAAGTGTCCCCCTCCCCCCCCCCCCCAGTATCGTAGCTACCGTAAAACTAGCGTAAGATAGGCATAGGGGTCCAAGGCAAATAGGGGCCCTTTTTCGAAAGTTTGAGGGAGGGGGGGGGGGGGTGCAAATCGAAATTTTGAGGGGGGGATGCAAATCGAAGTCTGAGGGGGGTGTGCAAATCGAAAGTTTGTCCCCGGTCGCTACGCCTCTGGGGGGGGGGGGGGGGGGGGGGCATTAACACTTTTTGCAAAGGGGCCCAAAAATCCTAGCTACGCCACTGTTCCCCCCCCCCCCCCAACCCAAGAAAAAAGTCTGGAAGAAACACACTGCTTGTGATGTGCCCAACATGTGCACTAATTTACTCTACCTTGTTATTTTCATATTGGGGATTTGCGAGCTAATTGATTGTCATTAGTCCCTTACAATACCAACTGTATTTGAAATGAAAGATCTTTTTGCGAACCGAAGCAAGAACATTTTATCATATTGAATGGTGTGGCACACTTTTTATATTTAAAAAAAAATATGACTCAATTATTAATATTTCCTATTTTCTTTCAGAGCTATGTGCCACTTATAAGCTATATTAATCATACAAATGTAGGTCTACATACAATAAAGTCGATGTAGCAACAACAAAAAGAATGAACCAAAAAATGGATGAACAACATAACCATCTAAAGTAATTTAAAAATAAGTAGTGAACTGGTTATTAGAAGAATTTTATTTTTGAATTATCCGTTATATCAATTTTCGGACAATTTCGTTGGATATGTTACTTGTTTTTTTTTTTTTTTTTTTTTTTTTTTTTGCAGACATCGTATACCTTTATATGCTTACACAGGTACGCTTATGTATATGTTTCAGATGTACATACGTACACAATCCCATACCCACACAGACTCTTAATTTGCTGCAAGTTCTAACGGTCAGCACATAAATCAGCCTGACACTGACAGCAACATGGAGACAATTTCGTCTGACATTGGCTGTCTGCCACGTGATCTATCGGCAGTTTTTCCCGCCCATCGATCTCATGAGCGCGGAGTTGTTCTGATTTCCCGGCACTTTTTATTGGTTCGGAGTTGTTCTGAGTTACCAGCACTTTTTTTGGTTCGGAGTTGTTCTGAGTTACCAGCAGTTTACAAACGGGAGCAATATGAACTTTTATTGTGTGAGAAATGTTACAATGTTTAGATATTATGTCAGCCCTAGAATATGAACTTTTATTGTGTGAGAAATGTTACAATGTTTAGATATTATGTCAGCCCTAGAATATGAACTTTTATTATGTGAGAAATGTTACAATGTTTAGATATTATGTCAGCCCTAGAATATGAACTTTTATTATGTGAGAAATGTTACAATGTTTAGATATTATGTCAGCCCTAGAATATGAACTTTTATTGTGTGAGAAATGTTACAATGTTTAGATATTATGTCAGCCCTAGCATATAAAATTTTATTGTGTGAGAAATGTTACAATGTTTAGATGTTATGTCAGCCCTAGAGTATACAATTTTATTGTGTGAGAAATGTTACAAAGTTTAGATATTATGTCAGCCCTAGAATATAAAATTTTATTGTGTGAGAAATGTTACAATGTTTAGATATTATGTCAGCCCTAGCATATAAAATTTTATTGTGTGAGAAATGTTACAATGTTTAGATGTTATGTCAGCCCTAGAGTATACAATTTTATTGTGTGAGAAATGTTACAAAGTTTAGATATTATGTCAGCCGTAGAGTATAAAATTTTATTGTGTGAGAAATGTTACAATGTTTAGATATTATGTCAGCCCTAGAGTATAAAATTTTATTGTGTGAGAAATGTTACAATGTTTAGATTATGTCAGCCCTAGAATATGAAATTTTATTGTGTGAGAAATGTTACAATGTTTAGATATTATGTCAGCCCTAGAGTATAAAATTTTATTGTGTGAGAAATGTTACAATGTTTAGATATTATGTCAGCCGTAGAGTATAACATTTTATTGTGTGAGAAATGTTACAATGTTTAGATATTATGTCAGCCATAGCTCTATCTGACTGATGCGTTATGATTATCTTTGTAGTTCCGGATTGCTATCTGTTTCTTTGTTTCATGATTCCACTTTGATGTCTATTTGCCTGATGTTCATATTTTACAGCCCATAAATCATTCTGGCTGATTTTCATTGTTTATGTAATACCAGATAGTTTTTCTGCCTTAGATCAGCCTTTCGTGCAATTATTTGCTAAATTGTTTTACTATTGTCAAGTTAACGTACTATGACATATTCCTCGTGGTTTATTTACTGAATGGTTTTTCTTTTATAGTTAAAATGGTGTATTTATTTGCACTAATTTCAATTTTTTTCAAAAGTGATTTTCAGAAAAAAAAATTGTAAAAACAAAAAAAAAAAATAATTGAAAATTTGAAAATGTAATCTATTACGATTGTTAGCACCTCGTATCTTTATAATCCATATTAAATTATATCCGGCAAACTGCTTTTTAAAAGCAACAAATATATGACACAGACATTTAATATCTGGACTTATAAAATGCTTCTTATCAAAAATAGCATTGCGGCCTTGCCAGTTTTATATCCGGTGCAGCAATTTATAGGCAGATTTAACATTGTTTAGTATTTTCTAGACGCTCTTTAACATAACTAGTTTATGTTATGAGACCATAAAAGTAACCCAGCCGTTTATTGCAGATCTACGTGTCCCTCTTGGCTATAGGGCTGCAAGATGCAAAGGTAAGATGTTTAATTCTTGCCTGCTGGCTAAAATATAGGCAATTATTGAATTTCTTAATCTACAGGTAAGTATCAACATATTCGCTAGTGTATGTGACGCATGGAACATATTCATGTATGCAGAGGCGTAGCGAAAGGGGGAAGGGCGGGGGGGGGGACATATGTCCCCGGGCGCCGACCTTAGGGGGCGCCAAAATGGGTTGGAAAAATAGATTGAAAGGTTGAGGGGGGGTGTAAATCGAAAGTTTGTCCCCGGGCGCCGGAAAGGGTCGCTACGCCTCTGCATGTATGTTTTGATTAAAATACCTTGTGCCCCCCCCCCCCGCCCACTCCCGAATACGTAAAAGAGATTTTAACGTGTTCCAGACTACTATGCACACAGAAGGCACCCGCTTCATCCTGTATTTTACTGAAGGCAGCCGGGTGACCTTGCCGGCAAGGCCGCTGCATTTGTACTTCACCACCAGGTCATCGAACGAGATCACGGTGCGGGCCACCTCGCCGTCCTACACCGACGGGGTCAAGGTCAACGAAACCATCCGCCTGACGTCGTCCACCCCAGCGGTGGTCCCCATCGCAGCGGCCCTCCGGACCACCGAGTTCGGCAACGAGACGAAGGTGATCCTCGTCGAGTCGACGGGCCTGATCTCAGTGTACGGCCTGAACCCCAGCGCCAACCAGGCGGCGCTCTTCACGGTCCTGCCCGTCACTGCGCTGGGCACTGAGTACATCTTTCCCAGCCTCACGGCCTTCAACATCCCCAGGTGACGACTTGGGTAGAATCAGGGGCGTAGCGAGGGGGGGGGGGTGCGGACCGCACCGGGTGACACCATTTAGGGGGGTGACACCAAGGCAAAAAAGAGCAAAATATATAGAGAAAAACTTGAGGGGGGGGGTGCAAATCGAAAACTTGAAAGTTTGTCCCCGGGAAGGGTCGCTACGGCTCTGGGGGGTGACACCATTAAGTGCCACACCGGGTGACACCCGACCTCGCTACGCCACTGGGTAGAATAAACGAAGATTTTAAAACAAACATCAACTTTCAGAACTAGCACAACTTTACGAATAAAATGTGTATTTCGAAGCATTGTTTTAAACACAAATTTCGATAATTTATTAACCAGCACCACGTATAATAATTCAATACTTCCTTGTTTTTACACATTGATATATCCTTTCTTAATCAAAACTATCTGAATTTTAAAAATTGAAACTTCCAGCCAAGGGTTTATGGGTATCGTCACTCAGGAGGACCAGACATCGTTCGAAGTTTTCCTCTCGTCTTCTTCCCAAAAATCTATCGCCTCCATCAGAGGAATAGAGTATCCTCCCAGGAGCGTCATCAGGGTAAAACTTTTTTTTCTCTAGTATTTGTTTATCTTGTTAGTCGCTTGGTGTGATGTTTTTCTCAAGTATTTGTGTATCTTGTTAGTCGCTTGTTGTGATGTTTTCCTCAAGTGTTTGTGTATCTTGTTAGTCGCTTGGTGTGATGTTTTTCTCAAGTATTTGTGTATCTTGTAAGTCGCTTGTTGTGATGTTTTTCTCAAGTATTTGTGTATCTTGTAAGTCGCTTGGTGTGATGTTTTTCTCAAGTATTTGTGTATCTTGTAAGTCGCTTGTTGTAATGATTTTCTCAAGTGTTTGTGTATCTTGTAAGTCGCTTGTTGTAATGTTTTTCTCAAGTATTTGTGTATCTTGTTAGTCGCTTGTTGTGATGTTTTTCTCAAGTATTTGTGTATCTTGTTAGTCGCTTGTTGTGATGTTTTTCTCAAGTATTTGTGTATCTTGTTAGTCGCTTGTTGTGATGTTTTTCTCAAGTGTTTGTGTATCTTGTTAGTCGCTTGTTGGGATGTTTTTCTCAAGTGTTTGTGCATCTTGTTAGTCGCTTGTTGTGATGTTTTTCTCAAGTGTTTGTGTATCTTGTAAGTCGCTTGGTGTGATGTTTTTCTCAAGTGTTTGTGTATCTTATTAGTCGCTTGTTGCGATATTTTCCTCAAGTACGTGTGTATCTTGTTATTTGCTTGTTGTGAAGTCGATGATTTCTGTCATCAATAAAAACTGTATCACGAAATTTGTTACCTAATGTTTATGGAATGGCGTGGCCAAGCGGTAGAGCGCTAGACTTCTAACTCTGAAGTCTCGAGTTTGAATCCGGGTTCAAGTCAGTGGAACTTTTCTGAATCCACTCAGCTCTGTTGAGTACGAAACTCACGTTAAGGAAAGTAAAATCACCTGGGCGTAGTGTTGGCCACACTACCTTTTAAAATGCCAAGGTTACTGAAACAGGTGAACTCTACTTCACTTGCCCCATGAACCGTCAGGTTAAAAAAGAGAACATTACTTTTATAGACAATGTTCATTGATTACAAATTTTAAATTTCGAAAATTATAAAATCTAAAATGTGCAATATAATTATATTTTTAATGTAGTTAGTTGTTGTTTTTTTTTTTACCACCGACCCGATTTAAAAAATAAATAAGTTTCATTTTTTGTCCACTAGGCAACTCTAAACAAGTACGAAGTTTCTGAAATCCGACAAATCCCGAACTGCCCGGACTGCGACCTAACAGGAAGCAGGATCAGCGCCAGCAAGCCAATCGCCGTCTTCAGCACTGTAGCACTGACCAATCCGGTGAACGACGGGGGAGGGGGTGACCTGCTGGTCGAGCAGCTCGTGCCCCTGTCCCTGTGGGGTAGATCTTACATCACCCAGTCACCCCCAGAAAACTCGCTCGGTAATTTTGATTTTTTTTACACAAAAATGTATTTGGTTTTTTGTATAGATGTCGTAAATAGAAAATTTGAATTAGGAGCGTTGAAAAAAGCATATATATATATATATATATATATATATATATATATATATATATATATATATATATATATATATATATATATATATATATATATATAATGTATGTGTGTATTTTTTAACCAGCCAATCTGGTACGTGTGATGTCTGGTGACCACAACGTTACCGTGTACCGGTCTGACATGAAGACATTTAAACTGGACAAACCTGGGGATTTTAAGGACATTTTCATCACAGACCACGACTATCTAATGATACAGGGGGATGGCAGATTACAGGCAAGTCTTCTTTCGTGTTTATGTTTGTTTTATGAAAACTGATCAACTGTATGCTCAACTGATAGTTCTACTAGTTCTAGAATATATATATATATATATATATATATATATATATATATATATATATATATATATATATATATATATATATATATATATATATATATATATATATATATATATATATTCTAGAACTAGTAGAACCATCCTGTTTACATTAATAGTTTTTCGAGATGTATACACACCGTTATGTTTTATATCCATCTATTCCAAGTTCGTCTTTACATTGTGTAAAGCTTGTGTATCTGTATTGCGTAACTTATCATTTTTTGCACCAGCTTGTCCTTGAAACCGACACTACCATCCTACCATAGATACAAATATTGCCCCCACCCCTACCACCCTACCATAGATACAAATATTGACCTTCACCCCTACCACCCTCCCATAGATACAAATATTGACCTTCACCCCTACCACCCTACCATAGATACAAATATTGACCTTCACCCCTACCACCCTACCATAGATACAAATATTGACCTTCACCCCTACCACCCTACCATAGATACAAATATTGACCCCACCCCTACCACCCTCCCATAGATACAAATATTGACCTTCACCCCTACCACCCTACCATAGATACAAATATTGCCCCCACCCCTACCACCCTACCATAGATACAAATATTGACCTTCACCCCTACCACCCTACTATAGACACAAATGGTAAACCCCCTACCACCGCCACCCTACCCTGACTACAAATGTGGACGCCCGCCACTAAAATCCTACCATCATTACCCACATGTCTTCTTGAGCCAGGTCACTCAATCGTCTGCCGTGTTTCCCTTCCTGCTAATCGTGGAGCCGTTGGAACATTTCAGCAACTACGTCCACGTCCCTAGCGTGCTGATAGACGCCACAAGAAACGGCAGCAACCTACAGCAGAACACCGTCAACATATTCGCTAGTGTATGTGACGCCCAAAACATATACAGTAAGTGTCAACATATTCGCTAGTGTATGTGACGCCCAAAACATATACAGTAAGTGTCAACATATTCGCTAGTGTATGTGATGCCCGGAACATATACAGTAAGTGTCAACATATTCGCTAATGACGCCCGGAACATATACAGTAAGTGTCAGCATATTCGCTAGTATATGTGACGCCCGGAACATATACAGTAGTGTCAACATATTCGCTAGTATATGTGACGCCCGGAACATATACAGTAAGTGTCAGCATATTCGCTAATGACGCCCTGGAACATACAGTAAGTGTCAGCATATTCGCTAGTATATGTGACGCCCGGAACATATACAGTAGTGTCAACATATTCGCTAGTATATGTGACGCCCGGAACATATACAGTAGTGTCAACATATTCGCTAGTATATGTGACGCCCGGAACATATACAGTAAGTGTCAACATATTCGCTAGTGTATGTGACGCCCGGAACATATTCAGTAAGTGTCAACATATTCGCTAGTGTATGTGACGCCAGGAACATATACAGTAAGTATCAACATATTCGCTAATGACGCCCAAAACATATTCAGTAAGTGTCAACATATTCGCTAGTGTATGTGACGCCCGAACCATATACAGTAAGTGTCAGCATATTCGCTAATGACGCCCGGAACATATTCAGTAAGTGTCAACATATTCGCTAGTGTATGTGACGCCCGGAACATATACAGTAAGTATCAACATATTCGCTAATGACGCCCAAAACATATTCAGTAAGTTAGTGTCAACATATTCGCTAGTGTATGTGACGCCCGAACCATATACAGTAAGTGTCAGCATATTCGCTAATGACGCCCAAAATATATTCAGTAAGTATCAACATATTCGCTAGTGTATGTGGCGCTCGAAACATATTCAATAAGTTTTAGTTTTAGGCTTTAATACTTTTTTTATAGAATCTTTGTCTGGTAAAGTAGTAAAGTCGTTGTTAACATTGAGTTAATCATTAGAGTCATGGGACTCGAGTCCAAACGACGTCCCTGAGTCCATCCAGCTCTGATGAGCACCAGACTCAGGGAGGGTAAAGGCGGCTGGACATAGTGCTAACCACACCATCCATTCATATGCCGTGGTTGTTGGAACAAGTGAAGCTGGATGGGGCCAACTCTTAAGATCTTATTAGTGAAAACAAATTCCTGACACGCACTGGTTTCGAACCTGAAACCTTCAGGATAGTTAATATTATCACATATACACCCCCTTCCATATTAACCCTCTACGTTGATTTACCGTTGCTTTACAGTCAACAAAACCAAGACGCCCACCTGGCGAGCGTTGGGGACCACCGGCTATGTGGTGGCCAATGAGAAAATCCCCAACACAGGATTTCACCTGGTCGACAGCGGCATAGAGAAGCTCAACGTCAGATTTGGGGGCTATGTGTACGGGCAAGGGGAGGCCTCGGCCTACGCTGCACCTCTGGCTATGGAGGGTGGGAGCCCTGTAGGGGTAAGGTCTTGTTACTTGAAATGAAATATTAAGATGCAGTAATGTCACAAAGCGGGGGGCTGGGCATGCGGTCCGCAATGACATATTTTAGGGTAGGGGTGGACACCAAATAGTAAAATTAGCAGTCAAAACAATGTTTTATCCTGTTATAAATAAGATAATAGTAAGGAGGGTGACACCTAACTGAAATTGGAAAATTGTTGGATGGGGTAAAACTCTTAGTGTCCGCAGCGGGTGACACTCGACCTATTGACGCCACTGTTCAGATGGTATGTAAAATGTAATGACACAACAGAGAGATAGAGGTCGGGAGCCGTATTGATGTATCAACTTATGACATGTAATTATGAAACACTGCGATTGGTGGAGAGTCAATATAAACAGCCCCAAAATATACACGTGTTTTATAATATCAACACTTGCTTTCCATATTTAAAAATGTGATTATCCTCATACGCTCTGCCCCCCAACCACGCGGTCCCCAAGTAGGTGAGTCTCGTGAACTGGGACGACAACCCATCTAGTATCAAAGAACTAATGCCTTGTATTTTGTTCTTGGGTGGACACCATGAAAGAAAAATAGGCCGAAGTCAGAGTGATGGTGCGTATGGCGAATAAAATTTGAACACGTAATGCTTAATTGTGTTGGAGGAAATACACTTCAATATTGTTAAACATAGAACGAAGAAGAAAAATTATTGTAATGGGAAACATAGGTCAACCTAATCAATGAGAGTTAAAAAAAAATTCAAAATATCATGTTTTAAATAGATTATTGAATAGTTAAGTCCTCTATTATTGATATATGTATAATTATATTGTTCTATTTATATTTTTTGCCAGAACTTTCCTTGGGCTGATCCTGACGCAGTGGCTGTTCATCAAGCCAATCTGGCATCCACAGGTAGACAACTCTTCAGCAACAAACCTCTATTGATAATCTGTGTTAATCCCAAATTCGACGCATTCATTGTAAAATTGTTAATCCCAAATTCGACGCTTTCATTGTAAAATAGTTTAAAATGTTATTTGGCCTCAGAGGTGTAGCGACGGGGGAGGGTTTACATATGTCCCCGGGCGCCAACTCTAGGGGTGCCAAAATGGGTTGAAAAAAAATAAAAGCTCATTTTAGTTGCAGTTCTGAATTATAAATATGAAAATCATATTGGGGGGGGGGGGCGCCAAATTGAAAGTTTGTCCCCGAGCACCAGAAGGGGTCGCTACATCTCTGTTTGGCCTACAAAATTAATACAATATATTGAGAGTGTTAAGCGAAAGTGTAGGTCTAATTAAAAAAAATGTAACACGGGTATTGAACCTGCCATAAATAGATCTAAATCAACTGCAAACTATTTTTCTCCCCAGACCGAATCCAGCAACAAATCTGGAGGCTGAAAGAAAAAAACCTCCTCTCCGTGTACAAACCTCTGCGCGAGTCTGTCGTCTTCTCCAAGTTCAGCTGTTTGGACAGCTGCAAGAAGCTGCCCAGCTGCCTGTACGCCTCCATTGAGAAGGAGAACAATAAAATCCGGTGTCGTCTGTTTGACGAACGCAGCAGGTGTGATCCCAAGATGAAGAAACCAGGAGTCCGGACCTACGTCTCCAGGATAACCTTTTGGACACAGATTTGAATCTCTTCTACTTTTTTTCTTTTTAATGTGAGTTTGTGTCATCAAGGATTTCCAAAAGAATGTGGTGATTTGTGACAAGTGAGTTTTCAATCAAAACAAGAATAAATAAATCTAAGTGTTTACTGATTGCTATATGTCTATGTTGCTTTTATTTACAGTCAATCATTTATCATTACTATCCCACTATTTACGCACTGACAAACCCACCCACCCACATATATATATATATATATATATATATATATATATATATATATATATATATATATATATATATATATATATATATATATATATATATATATAAGTAGGCTACCTTTTCGAACCAGAGAATCAATGAAGGGGAGGTAGAGTTTACCTGTTTCAATGACCTCTGCATATGATACATCCTAATATATAAAAGGCCATGTGCGCACTTCTCTCTCTCTATCTCTGTCCGCAAAATATTTTCGCAGGGTATCACATCAGAATCTTCAGCGATATATAGAGAACTTGATACGGATTTTTGTTGAAAATAATATGGTAGATTTTTTAAATGTATAACCAACATTTTATTTAAAGAAGAAAAATAAAAAATAAAGGCATATTAGAATGTAGAAAAACAGTTTTAATTATGCAACACGAAAAGTGTTTATAGTTGTGAAAAAGAACCCATGAAACAATGACGTCACTAATATTTTTACATTAACTAATGACGTAATCTGCCGAGTTTAGAATAAAAAGGAATGAACTTTTTCATTCAAATTTGATCTAGACCTATGTACGCTATGAAATGTATACAATACAATTTTTCCGGTCTAAACTTATAAAATTTATTTTATCTATTTGGATTCTAGATCTAGAAGTTATCGTGTTTACAGACGCAAATCCACACACACACACACACACATACACACACACACACAGACACACACACGGACAGAATTGCAAAGTCCAGTTTTTCCGACTCGATAACGCGTAAAACGCCGAAATTTTAATAAATCTGGATTTAGCATTTTTGCCTGAGTCCCCTATACTCCGTTTATGATGAAATACTGAGAAGTAAAACGGTGGAAACTGTCAAAACTTCATGTGGTTTTTTTGCACGATAACAATAATTTCTCTATACTCTGTATACGAGAAAGTTAAAAAAAACGGCAGATTTTATATATAGATGAATCACAACAAATAACAAATGTTTCAAAAAACTATGAGAAAATGAAATATTCAGATCCTACAAACTATGAAAGCAGTGTATAATGGTTAATTATATAGGAAACAATAACGCACTTTTGAAATATAAATATATGGTAGAAAAATTGAATTTAGCATAGCATATTTGGCATTGAAAGATAATAGTATTAGTATTAATATATTAATAGATATGATACTAGTCTAATTAGACTATTAGGCCTATATTTTTGGCCTATACAGTACAAAAGCAAGAAAACTTTAAAATTTATCTAATCCCTTCTATTAAACTGAGATAACAAAATATTCTAATGACAGAAACCAATATAAATATGCCTTAAAGAGTAAAAACAGGTATCTAATTGTAAAGAATTAAGGCAAAAAAAAAAATAAAACGGTAGTGATCTCCCCTAAACTTTCTCGAATATTCTTATATAAAACAACAGGGGATGGTAACTCGGGATATAGTTATGATTTTTAATCCATTTTAAATACTTAAACTTTTTAAAATAGAATAGAATCTCATAAAAAAAGAATTGCGCACCAAGCGGACGCCGAATAAAGATGTGTATAATAGTGCGGAATATTATTAGTAGTTTATAAATTCACATGCGTTTTTTGATAAATCGGAAATAGCGTAAATTAGTACTTCCGGTCAACGGAAATTACTCAAAATTTGACAGCAGGTAGAGATATAGATCTGAAATAGTACTCAAGTTATAGGCTTTTGAAAAATTCAAAGTAGAAAAAGTACCACTTCCGGTTATCGGAAATCGCTCAAAAGTTTATCAGGATCTACGATTTTGATAAAATATTTATATTTGAAATTTCATCAGCCTAGCTGTAACGGTACTCAAGTTATTGTGTTTACACACAGACAGACAAACAAACACACACACACACTCAGACATACGGACCAGATTGCAAAATTATGTTTTTCCGTATCAGTGAGGTGTAAAACGTCGAGATTTGCAAAAATCTGGATTTTTTTGCACGATTACAAGACTTTCTCTATATTTCGTATATACGAGAAAGTAAAAAAGCAAGAAGCTTCATTATTTGTATGTAAAGTAGGAAAGAAATCAAATGTACTCTCATTTTAAACTGACATACCTGGGTAATATTGCTGAACTTTGTCAGCTTTTCCTATCTAAACCTTTCCTGTACAGACTTGTCACTTATACTTTAAAGCAGGAATATTTAAAAAAATGTTTTTATAAACATTCCATGTTTTGTACTTTTTTCCCGTGGAAATGTTAACTTTGTTCCCATGGTAACAATAAGTTTAAAAATCACCCATCAAGTGATTCCATCACTGAATACAGGACTGTCATCATCCAGATACAAGTGTCATCACCCACATACAAGACTGTCTTCATCCATTTGTCATCATCCAGATACAGGACTGTTATCATCCAGATACAGGACTGTTATCATCCAGATACAGGACTGTTATCATCCAGATACAGGACTGTCTTCATCCAGAAACAAGACTGTTATCATCCATCTGTGTCTGTAGATCTAGGTGGGTTTTGCCATAGGCTGTAGCCCTCTCATCTTGTAGTATTCAGTCACTTGGTTTGGGACTTCAGCCAAAACATGGCGCGCCAACTCTGTTGGGCTGCTCTGTAAATAAATATATTACATTGTAGAATAAGGTTTACGCGTATTCTACTAAACAACACCAATTCTAAAATAAATTGAAATTGGAGTTTAACTATATAAATTTTATTAAAATTATAGGACAGAAGCCCTTTGTCCCACAATGAATCAAAAGGATACAAAGATATAAGATGAAAATTATTTATTGTTACCAGATGTAAGAAACTTTACATAGGCACATGCATGAATTAGTGAGAGTTTGAAATTTTTGCTTACATGTTTGAAATCCCCGAAGGGAACAAACTGGACAATATCTCTCTTAGCTGGCTCCCCATTAGCTGCCCTCAGCACCCCATCGTCTGCATCTAATACCTCCATGTCACTGAAGTCTGCTTGGCCCACTCCAACTATGATGAGAGACATGGGCAGTTTGCTGGCCTCTACTATAGCACTTTTTGTATTGGACATGTCACTTAGAACACCATCGGTCAGCATCAGTAGGATGAAATAGGCCTGGAAAACAAAAAGACACTTTACTTAAGTTCCCCAATTTTTGTAACAGATTATAAACTAGGATAAATATAAAAAATATAAAAGTATTTTTAGTTGTGTCTTAAATGTTTCAATGTATTGCTTGTTATACCTTCTGATTCTAATAGGTAAGAATTAATGAAAGAGATTTGACTGTTTAAATAAAGATTTTAATTGCAGCATTGTTTAACAGTGTAGTTGAAATTTTTTTTAAAATAGTTGATTGTAAGATAATGAACTCACTTCATTTTAAATTCTTCATTTTATATTTCTTTAAAATTGTGAGGATTATGAACCCACTTTAACTTAAATTCCTATTTCGTTAAAAATTGTGATAGTAACACTATAAACTTACTTAATGTTAAATTTGTATTTAAAAAATTTGTAATAGTAAAATTAAGAACATACTTTATTATAAATCCCTATTACATCAAAAATTGTGATAGTAAGATTATGAACCCACTTCATTTATAATCCTAATTTCGTTAACAATTGTGATAGTAGGATTATGAACCTATTTTATTGTAAATCCAAAAAAAAAAAACGCCACTCACATGAGCTCCTTTAGAGCCCTCCTCCTTCTGAGCATCAGCAGCAGACCTGGCCACATTATGAATGATAGGAGCAGCATTGGTTGGTCCATACAGCTTGACTAGTCGGATACAGTTATAATAGGCTTCGAGAATCCCATCTATGCCTAGCAAATACAGACAAAATCAGATAGAAATATATAGCTTTCATTGCATCAAGAATGGTATAACTTGTTATATTTACATATTTTACAATACCACATGTTTGATAGTTAGAATAATCAAAACAAAATATTAAAAAACAAATATTACAAAATTGAAGTTCAGTATTAAAATGTGAAATAATAAAATAATGTCCACATCAAGCTAAATTATTTTAAATATTGAGCATAACAACAGTTAATGTTTTGTTTTGTCAGCAAGCCTCCCTGTATACCCACTTACAACCATAGTAAAACATGAAATAACTGAAGTCATAGAAACATGTTTTAAAATTCGGCCAAAATAACATGAAGTAATCTACAACTGAGAGTCTAGTCACCTTGACAATCGGGGTACTGAAGGTTGAAGTTTATAGGAAATTCATGAGATAATTCCAAATCAGGTGGTATTCGCGCTCCAAAGCCTAGGGCAGGGAACATCTTGTCACTGTTAACAAAATCAATCATTAAATTAGTAATTAACCACAACAGATGCTTTTTTTTTAAATTTATTGGTAATAAACCACAACATCCTGTGCCGTTGCTTAATTTAACCACAGCAACACTGACATTAAGTATTATTTCAAAGCCAAAAGTAGACACAGGTACATAATATAGTCCTAGTGAAGAAAACAGTTTTAGCCAGACGGGACCCGAACCCACCACTCCACATGACACAGAATGGCCTCGCCTACTGGGCTTTAGGTCTAAGTGTAAACATTAAGGCCAGTTAGCTCTATACAAATAGAGAATGCCTGATCATCCATTTTTATGGAAATTTGGACAGTCGTGCCTCTAACCCCAAAAGGTGCAAACAATCCAGTTTTAATACAATTCCTTTTCCCACACTATCTTCATGCAAACGTGCAAAAAAATATAATAACTTACGTGTCGTAGTCCTGACACACCTCCCCTACAGTTTTTATTGCTGTCATGTATTCATTGGGTACGAGAGGGTTAATATAGTGAAGTGATGTAGACTGGGACGGGTTGCCATTTGATGCTGTAAAATCTATACCAACCTAATGAAAGATATCAGCTTAGTTAGCACATCCATGAAAACAAAGCACCTGCCTGTTTGTTTAACTCAACTAAATAATACTCACTATAAAATTGATCTGCATGCCTGCAGTCACAAAATCTAGGAAGGTGTATTCTTTGACAATCTGTGGGAAAGAATTCAAGAGAGTTGTACAAATAAAATCAAGAAAAAAAAGTAGAAATTGAAAGTAGTGGGGGATGTGTAGGTCACTTGTGAGAGAATGAGCTGTTTATTAGTTGCTTTTCTCTGGCTAGGTCAAATCACTACCCAATGAGATTTTTTAATTGAGAGGAAAAATGAAAACTCACTTTACAGGAGGTTAAATGTATAGTTCCTGAATTGGTGTATTTTTTTTTCTTTGCTTTACGGGCAGGATTGATACATGGCCAGGTCACCTGAAAAATATTAAGGAAACATAGGCTGAATGATTTTGTAGCATTTGGTTCAATGGCGCGCAGACCTATACAGATGCCCGGGGCAAACTCAAGTAGAAGATGCCCCCATAAATACTTTATATATATATATATATATATATATATATATATATATATATATATATATATATATATATATATATATATATATATATATATATATATATATATATATATATAAAGCTTAGTTACAATCCGTTACAATCCGTTAATACACACAGAAAAGCATTTTTTTAAAAATTGTACTTATCTTAATTAAGATGGAAACGTTGACTACAGCCATCTAAAAAATCCAAAAGGAATGTATGTTTCAGAGGCGTAGCGACCCTTCCCTGCGCCCGGGGACAAACTTTTCGATTTGCACCCCCCCTCAAACTTTTGATTTGCAGCCCCCCCCCCCCTTAAGATTTCAATTAGCACCCCCCCCTCAAAATTTCGATTTGCACCCCCCTCAAACTTTTGATTTGCACCCCCCTCAACATTTCAATTTATGTTTCCAACCCATTTTTGCGCCCCCTAAGGTCGGCGCCCAGGGACATATGCCCCCCCGCCCCCCCCCCCCTCACTACGCTACTGGAATGGTTGGAACTTGGGGGGGGGGGGAGAGGGGGAGACAATTGCGGGACGTGTCGTGGTGTGGGGGGGGGGCTGTGATGCATTACAAAAGAGTCTCATCCGGTTTTGTATTACCGCCCGGCACCGAGGTTACAAAAACGTTGTCAATGTCTACAATTAGGGCGTCGCGTCAGATACGCCTTTATTTATGGCTGCTTCTCTCTTGGCCTGTTTAGGAATTCCTATAGTGTAACTAATACAGGTGAGAGTGTGCATTGAACTAGAGATGTTTCAGATTTTTAAAATCTCTAAACCACTCGGTCAAAAGGTCAATGCTTTAAGGAAATGTGATGCTAGGTACTCTAAAACATCGGTCCGTGTCTAACCATTCACTTCGCTATGTCAGACCCTCCCTACAACTTGGACGTGAATTCCCAAATTTAACACCTAGGTAACGCCTTCTGTCCAGTTCAGATGGGGGAAAATCCACTAATGTTGACCATGGCCTGAACCCACCCCAACATTTCATTACATCAATTTGGGATCAATTACTGTACAGATGGCTCTAGTATTAGTTGAAATAAAACTGGGTCTATATTGTGTGCCCCCAATTAAGATAATGAGTAGGTGCTTTGGGGTGGGTGAAAGTTGGTGTGGTGAGGTAAAAGAACACACAGACTGTGCATTTAAATGTGAGCGGGTGAATGGATTATTTTGTATTATTTTATTTGGTGCGAATCTGTGAGTGCATGGTGGTCCAATGGGGAACGGCCACGGGGTCCCTCTTCCGCCCGTATAAATTGACCGCTCGGATAAATTTTCTTTCTTTTGACCCGAGGCAAGATTTAGATAGGGTCGGTTTCTGTGTTGCGCGTGGCGCACCGCACTCGTGGAGGTATTTGTTTTTTTATACTTTATCTTTATGTGATTTGTATGAATGCGACTGCCGATGTGTTCTCGTTTTATTTCTTTTTCGTCTAAAACGAGATAGTTGGCATCGGCATGTCTGGTATGCACATGGTGTGTTATTTTGAAAGATTTAAAATGTATTTGTGTATTTTCTAAACCCTTGGCGTGTGTTTTCGGACCACGTGGTTTAGGCCAGTGCGTTTAGGAATGTTTCCTAAACAGGTGCGAATGCGTGTGTGCATTTACTTGTTTTACCTTATTATGATGTGTTGTTATTGTGGGTTCCCCACGATGACTAGGATTGGCTTAGTCAATAGTCAGTTGTTTTAGGCAGTAATTAGATTAGCATAATTTAGTTGCCTCGAGTTTTAGGTTGTTAAAAATTAATGTGTGTGCTGTTTCGTGCAACGTCATGTTGAGTATCGCTTGCTTTGTGTCTGCCTTCATTGGGGCCTTAGCGGAGTGTGTTAACTTTAATGTTATCAATAATCATGTTGTTTAGGTAGACCAATGGCTTCGGGCTGCTACTTGTGTAGGAAAGATTGGTTCTACAATGAATTTGTTTTACACGTTATTTTTAAGTTGCTAATTCTTGGTTAGACAGTGGTTAGTTGTGTTTTTGAGAATTGCTTTAGAATTGTAATAGTAGGGATTAGTTTTACTCGAGGCTTTAGCTAGATAGTATTAGTAGGTAGCATTTTGAACTTGTGTATATATTTATGTATATATCTGCCATTACCATGCATTTTTCTTATGTTTTCCTTTTCTTTTTCTCTTCCCCCCCCCTTCCAGTGAGGTTGCTTGTGCAACTTGGCTGGGTGTTTTGTTATATATGAATTGTTTTGTTTGGTGTAAAAAGTTGGTTTGATATATATTGTTTTGTACGTACTGTTTTTTACGTAATGTCTTTTGTGTGTGCTGAGGCGATGAGGTGAGGGCGAAGGCGTTCCTCTTTCCATGAAGTATACACCTGTTTTGTTTTGTTTAGTCGTGTTTTGTTTCGTTGAGTTCTGTTTGTTTTGTATGTCTTGAGTGTTTTATTTTGTCTAGATCTAGATTCTAGTTTTTTTATAATAACTTTTGGTTCCATATTTTGTTAAATAAATTTTATTATATTGTTAAAGTTTTTGTTTTATTTTTAGTAGTTTTATTATTTAGACTAAGGTTAAGGTATTAACCAGTCTGGGTTTAGCCGGGCTTGCACTGACCGGACGGTAGTTAGTTAGATAAGCCTAGGGAAGGGTAGGGTAGATTTTAAGGTACCCCCCCCCCTAGCAGGGCTTACATAAATTTATGCTTATCGGATGGGAAAAAAACAGTCTCCAGATTCGAGTACAATAGGAGGTTTGTGTCTAAATTGAGGTAGGGAACCAAGTGACAGCCAGCTACACCTTATTTATGTGTTTCTCGACGCTACTACCGGGCGGCCATGAATGCCGGTAATTAAGACGTGTGAGACTTCAGGACAACTTTACAATCAAGTGAACTCAGCCCACTGTATCAAAACAGTACGCACTTTAAAGTTTGTATTTAATCCCTACAAAATTTTGAAAAAACAAAAATCCATATGGTCTTGAATATTAAAAAGAACATTATTACAATAAAAAAAAAAACAACAGGCTATGTGCTTAATCACTCTACGAATGCCGTTACGTCCATCAAAATGAATATGGGCATAATTATTGTATCGAAGCCCTACAAACATCATGTAATGAATAGATATATAATAAAGATGTCCCGATAATATATGAAACGAACATGGGCATATAATTACTACATGTATTCCCTTCAGACATTCAATAATGAATATAAGCAAAATAAATATCATCCGATAATATATAAAACGAATATGGGCATAATTGCTGTAATTATATAAATACAAACGTGAATACAAGTAAATTACTTTAAAGATGCCCTGACGATATATAAAATGAATGCGGGCATAATTACTGTTTGGATGCCCTTCAAAACTATTATGATGAATATAAGCAAAATTACATTAAAGATGCCCCTACAGTGTATAAATTATAATCATGGATTACCATAAGAGTATAAAATGAGTATGGGCATTGTAACAGTTAAATGTAGATGAATGTATGTTTCGAGTGTGTATCTAAAAAAGCGATATGAATATAAAATATAGGATGGGTGTGCGCATGCGCTAAGGAAAGGAAGCAGAGAGAGGTAGAGAGAGCGCGAGGAGATGACGAAACTGAAGTCGTGGTTCTAGTAGTGTAGCTGCTATATTATCTGATATCAATAAAATACTGTAAAATCACCAATAATGTGGTTTGTATTTGCCTTTAGTTTGTGCCATGAACCCAGTCATACAAAAGGGCTGTGACAGGCATGTTCTCTAAAAGATGCCCCTACCTACACTATACATAAATAAGTATCAGATACTCTATTTATTGAAAGACTGCATACATTTATTCGCGGAACATCAATGACTACTATACCACTACCCTTCACCAATGCCCCTTTCTCCCTGAAGTGTTATGAAACGGACAGTACGATGACTTTTGTTGATTGTAAATACACATTTCGGTGAATGAATTCGGCAAATTGATAATTCTGTCTAGGTAGACAAACCTAAGAAGACTTTTAACTTTCCTAAAAAAAAAAAAAAAAAAAAAAAATTTACCCCGTTGTATGCCCCCTTGATGTGGATGCCCGGGGCCTGCCCCCCCCCCCCCTTCTGCACGCCACTGATTTGATATAAGTATTAGTGCTTAATTGAATAAAGCTAAAATTAAAACATAAATGTTAAAAATACTGATCTATAATTAACAGTTTTCATGTAATAAATGTTATTGCCATTTTAATTGTATATTTAGATGATAAGAAAAGTAAAGTTTCCCTTTCAAACCTGACGGTCTATGGGGCAAGTGAAGTAGAGTTCACTTGTTTCTGTGACCTCGGCATATGAAGAGATAGTGTGGTCAGCACTATGCCCAGCCGCCTTTACTTTCCCTAACGTGAGTTAGGTACCCATCAGAGTTGGGTGGACTCAGGGACGGTCTACTGACTTGAACCCGGATTCGAACTCGAGACTTTCGGGTTAGCAGTCCAGCTCTCTACCGCTAGACCACTCCGTCCCCTAATGATAAGTTACATCTAAAATAAATAAGTTGATTATAAGAAAACTAGCCGTCCCGGCCAGGCATTGCACTGGCTTCTCTGAAAAACGTATCTGTAAAGGACCATAACGTATGTGTTTAGTAATCAGCATTTATCAGGCATTGCCCACCCTAACCACAACCAACCAAAACACACAAAAAACGCAAACATAACACTAACACAAAACAAACACAAACAAAAACACAAAAACAAACGCAAAGACAAACCCAACCACAAACACAAAGTAAACACAAACACTAACGCAAACAAAAAAGCAAACGAAAACAAATCCAAACGCAAACACAAACCCAACTACAACCAAACAAAACCAAAACACAAAAAAAAACGCAAACATAACGCAAACGCAAATACAAACACAAACACAAACGAAAACACAAAAACAAACGCAAACACAAACACAATCACAAACACAAAGAAAACACAAACGCAAAGAAAAAAGCAAACGAAAACAAACCCAAACCCTATTCCAAACGCAAACACAGCCACAAACGCAAACCCAAACTCAAACACAAAGAAAACACAAACGCAAAGATAAACTCAAAGTGTCCACAGTCTAGTCCGGGGCGCCAAATCGCACCATGACTACGTGCGGCGTAACCGCCTGATTCAACTTAGTAAACGACTATAGTGCCCAACTTATTCATAGTCTTTTGAACTCACTTACGCGAACGTAGGTACCATAGTGTACACTGGAAGGCCCGGGGCGTCAAATAGCACCCTGTCGGGGTGCCGGAGGACGCCCGGATTTAATTCACTCAAAGACTATAGTAACCTTTCTTATCCATAGTCTATCGCACTGTTTAAAACAAAATTATGCAGCATAGCGCTCACATGATAGCCCAGGTCGCCAAATCGATCCGTGCAGGGGCGCCGGCGGACGCGCCTGTTTCAATTTAGTGAACAAAATTATAATACTCCAAGCTTATCCGTAAATGGAAAGAAGTAAACATATAGGATTTGTAGGATCTGGCTTATTAAATGTTATTGATTTTTAAAAATAATTAGTGAACAGTATGTTCAGTGTATAGAATAAATAAAAGGCAGTATTAAAAATACTAACGACATTGCAGTTAATCAATCCCCGCTAATTATGTAATTTTTTTTTCTTAACAACAAAACACATTAATAAAAAGTAAATTCTTTCTTCCTCCGATTTAATGGGTTTTTTAAAGGTAAGTAACTGTGCAGTCAATACATTTCAGACACAATTTTAGAAATTTTATAAACGTTGATACACTTTTTAAAAATTTATGTAATGTTCATAATTTAAAATTATCATTCTAATTATATAAAATCAAAATTGTTTTTAAAGACTTTCAATGGTATTTTTTTACTCAGAAATTTAGACCATTAGCACTATAATCATCTAACACTTAAATCCATGGAAGTATCCACGACAACCATTTTACATTTTACAAACACGTTACATACAGAATTGAACTTTATATATTAGATATAAAATAGTTTGAAAAATCTGTTGACTGAAATATGAAAACAAAAGGGAGATATGAAGGACCATACCTCTTTTGTTGCTGCTCTGGACATTTCTTCAAATGTTGTTGTACAGGTGCCAATGAAATCATGGCTTCCACTACTATCCCAATCATAGCAATCAATCTGATATAATTTAAAATATTTCAACCACTATTTACATGTAAAAAAAATAAAGTATTAGCACAGATATATCAAACATTACATTGAAACATTTCAATAGCAATCGCAACAATAACAACTGACACTAATGTTCAAATCTTAGCACAGTATGCATGAAGGCTAAAGATTTAACTGTGGCTGACCTTAATTTTCTGAAGTCTGTTTCCTCCACAGAGTTTCTGTAGTGACAACTGGAAGGGTCTCCATGAAGGATTTAGGTTACTTTTAACGACCTGTCAACCCAAAGAAGCTTAATTTGTGAGTGTTTAAAACGTATACACATACATGTACGCATAAGTGGCATGTATTTAAATTATAAGCCTATGTAAGCCGACACACTTATATATATATATATATATATATATATATATATATATATATATATATATATATATATATATATATATATATACTTTGTTTCTTTAGGGTGGGGGGTGACACCATGAAGTACAGCACTGGGTGACACCAGACCTAACGACGCCACTGCATTGATTTAATACAACCGTTTTTATATTGATAATAGAACTGACCTCTGTTGTATGGACCATTTGCCAGCTACCATCTGGGGCTGCTCTGTTTATTACCAGGTAGGGATCAGATTTCCCAAAGAAATCCTGTGGGATAACACATTATTTTATTACTACATTGTTTCATTTTACTGCCATCAGAAGGTCAAAGAAACAGGTGTTAAATGTGTCAATCTACCTCTGGTAAAATAAGTGCAGTTCAATCTACCTCTGGTAAAATAAGTGCAGTGACTCTCCCACAACCTACATCTCCTATACTAGAGGGTAGAGTGCACAAGTGCTAACACTCAAGTCTCAAGTTTGATTACCAAGCTAGAGTAAGTATTGAGTAACTGGATCTTCACAGCTGGATGGGTAGGCCTACCTCACCTAAATCAGGTTAGGCAAAGTAAAGGCGGTGGCTGGACACTTTCTCTTCCTATACCAATTTCACAGAAACAGGTGAACTCTACTTCATATGCCTCACAGACCACCAAGCCAGAAAGGTTAAATAACCCCGGTAAGCTTGCACCTATCTGATTTCAGCAGCTCAAAAAAATCTTTGGTCTCAATAACAAAATCTCTGTTATATTTAATAGAAAAATCAAACACTATCTGGCATGTGCCAGTTACTAATCAAAATATGCAACTAAAAATAATTCATTTATGTTTGTAAAACAAAATAATTCTAAACTATTAAATAAACCGGGAGTGATCTCCCCTAGACTTTCTCGAATATTCTTATATAAAATAACAAGGGATGGGAACTCGGGCTATAGACATGATTTTTAATCCATTTTAAATACTTAAAGTTTTAAAAATAGAATAAAATCTCGTAGACAAATTAATTGCACACCAAGTGAACGCCAAATAAAAAAGCGCATAATAGTGCGCAATATTATTAGTACTTTTAAAATTTGCATTAGTTTTTTGAAAAATCGGAACTAGCGTAAATTACTCAAAATTTAACAGAAGGTAGAGAATTAGATCTTTTACTTACATGTGAAATTTCATTTTTCTATCTGAAATAGTACTCAAGTTATAGGCTTTTTAAAAATTCAAAGTAGAAAAAGTACCACTTCCGATAATTGGAAATCGCTCAAAAGTTGATACGGATCTACGATTTTGATAAAATACTTATATATGAAATTTCATCAACCTAGCTGTAACGGTACTCAAGTTATCGTGTTTACACACGGACAGACAGACAGACAGACACACAGACATACGGACAAGATTGCAAAATTATGTTTTTCCGTATCAGTGAGGTGTAAAACGTCGAGATTTGTAAAAATCTCGATTTTTTTTTTTGCACGATTACAAGACTTTCTCTATACTTCGTATATTCGAGAAAGTAAAAAATCAGACCTAATTCATAGTTAATGCTTACCTTTTTGTCAAGTTTTGAAGCTCTAAATGTAAGTAAAGTGTTTTCAGTTCCTTCTTTGATTTCTTCTGTTCTGATCTATAAATAATTTAAAACAATAAATAACAAAAGTATATCAAGAAATGTAATGATAAGTTTAATATTTATAGAATGGAAAAAAAAAAGCAAAAATAAATAATTCTGTAAAATATGAGTTTAAAATTAAAAAGAACTAACTGTGATGGTTCCTTGTCCAGCTTGCTTACCATTCTTCAGAAACAATTTAGAGGTAAATGGGGTGTTGGATACAAGCTAAGAAAGAGAAAAAATTGTTACATCGTTTTATAAGATCCTTTTTAATTTGATAACAATAAAATATCTAAATCATTTGTACATTGCAAGTTTTCGAGTTCTTCCAACAATGACTAAAAACTCTGAGTCTAACCTGACCCGAAGCTGACAGATCCCCACACTGTATAATCTCACCTAAGGCTGACAGACCCCCCTTCCCCCACAGTATTACCTGACCCAGCATATATTACCTGACCCAGTGTGGTCTCTAGCTGACCCAAGAAGTCATCATCTGTCAACTGTGGTGAGACATTATCAATATCATACACAGCAATCAACAGCTTCTGAACTTCCTCAAAGAAATAGTTGATGACAAATGTTTTGGCAAACTTTGGGTTCAGGTTATTCTTTATATTCTCTGTTCTTCCATACTGTAAACATATTAAAATATTTTTTTTAAAATGATGATTGGAAATTTCCATTACCTGCTTTTTATTGAATTATTATTTCATCAGAGTGTAAAACAGTTGTGTTACCTCCTCCCACTTCCCCGCACACAACGTGTATAGAGCAGCGCAAGGATCTGACTTGGAAAGTAAATCTTTGTTCAAAAGGTTTTTACATTCCAGCTGAATCTCCACCCTGGATTTAAACAGGTCAGGACCTGGTGTGTTAACCCCAGCTGAATGAGAAGATAAACAAGATTAATAATTCATAGCATGTTAAAAAAATTAATAGGAGAGTATCATAAACATTTTTTTTAAATTTATATCCAGAATTACTGGAATGACTTCGTTGAAATTAAAAAAATATCAGTCATTGAATTTATTAAATAAAACAATTTTAATTCATGTGTGTATGTTTGTGTCAAGAACTGACAATTACAGGGGAGCTAGAAAAAACCTGTCATTTAAAAGAGAACTAGAACATAATAAACCGGGAGTGATCTCCCCTAAACTTTCTCGAATATTCTTATATAAAATAACAGGGGATGGGAACTCGGGCTATATACATGATTTTTAATCCACTTTAAATTCTTAAAGTTTTAAAAATAGAATAAAATCTCGTAGACAAATTAATTGCACACCAAGTGAACGCCAAATAAAAAAGCGCATAATAGTGCGCAATATTATTAGTACTTTAAAAATTTATATTAGTTTTTTGAGAAATCGGAAGTAGCGTAAATTACTACTTCCGGTCAACGGAAATTACTCAAAATTTAACAGAAGGTAGAGAATTAGATCTTTTACTTACATGTGAAATTTCATTTATCTATCTGAAATAGTACTCAAGTTATAGGCTTTTGAAAAATTCAAAGTAGGAAAAGTACCACTTCCGATAATCGGAAATCGCTCAAAAGTTGATAGGGATCTACGATTTTGATAAAATACTTATATATGAAATTTCATCAACCTAGCTGTAACGGTTCTCAAGTAATCGTGTTTACACACGGACAGACAGACACACACACAGACACACAGACATACGGACAAGATTGCAAATATATGTTTTTCCGTATCAGTGAGGTGTAAAACGTCGAGATTTGTAAAAATCTCGATTTTTTTTTTTTGCACGATTACAATACTTTCTCTATTCTTCGTATATACGAGAAAGTAAAAATGGTAGTTACAAGAGGACTAGAGAATAAAAAAAAATTAATTACAAGAGAACTAGAAAATATATTTTAATTAGAAGGGAACTAGAAATAATATTAATAAATCAAATATAAATCAAATATAAAAACCTTTATATCAACAAGCATTTAAATGCAATGAAAATAAGAAAATAAAACTTATTTTCCTTTCTTTAATTAAATCTTTTGTCGCTAAAATATGTAAAAGATCTCATGAGCAACCAAAGCTTGTATTAAAGAAAGCAATTTAGGTTTATTTTCTTATTTTTAGTGCATTTAAAACTT